TTCAATAAAATTATTTAATATATTTTTTTCTCCATTATAAAGAAATTGATGATGATTGCGACAATAATGATGAGATGAATATCATGATTTTTGGTTACGTCAACGGGTAGAAAAATCGATTTTCTATTTGTTTTTAATTTTTAGATTGAATTTACTTTTTTAATGATCAAAGAAGATAAAGTTTTATTATATTTTTCTTGTGAATTTTTTGATAATTGTCTTAGTTGAAACTTTTGAAATTGTCAAAGAATAAATTGTTTTGAAATTATATTATATTTATGTATTTATTTTATGTCCAATCACATTAAATTTTTCTGATCATATTCAAATCATTGATCAAAAATATATTTATTTTATGTCCGCTCTCATTATTCTTCGTTAATTGAGATATTTATCATTAAGACATACATGAAATAATTCGATAAACAATACTTAATCGTTTATTGAATACATAAAATATTTTCAATATTTTTCATTTTACTTTTATTAATATATTTATATTGATACTTTTAATTTTATCTGTTTTAATTTTCAAGATATATTGCGATATAATGTTAAGTTTGATATGTTAAATTTATTGTAGTACACTAACAAATTGATACAGTATCGATATGAAAAATGTTATAATGTAACAATATATCAAATAAGTCACTATTGAATCACTGTAACATTTTATCATATACCAATATTTACTGTCAGAATAGAGCTAACAATGACTCGTAGAATGTGACGCCCTAGGAACAAAACGATCATCCTTCAATCTCCTTAATTGAATAGATTTATTTTGGCACACAAAAGGTCCGTTGCCACCCTTTGATCGGTGATTGTCCTTTTAAGAAAACAACAAATACGGTGAAGAAAAAAAAAATACTTGAAAATTGACAAAAAATGAATGAAAAAAAAGAAGATAGTTAAAAAGATGAAAACAAGACGAGAAGAAAAATAAACCAAAAATATATTAGAAAAAAAGATTGAAAAGAGAAAATTAATAAAAAAAAAAATTAAAAAGTACATGCAGCAATTATAGATCAAAGTAGTGTTAATATTTTTAATAATAAATTTATAATTAAAATAATTTAATAATATTATTCTTTTATATAAAAAGAGAATAATAATGATAATAAAATAAATATTTATTAGTGTTAATAAGATAAAGTGAATAATAATAATAATATAATACTTATTAGTGTTGTATATTCATAGTTTTTAAATTTATAAAATATTTTTTTATTATACAATATATTTTTTATACAAGTATATTGATTTATTTCTATTAATTCATAATAACTAAAAATAGAAAAAGGAGATTGTTTAAAATACATAATTACTTTTTTAAAAAACTTTAATAAAGATTTTTATATAAATTATCTTTTCCTACCCCTAGCTCGCTCCTTCGCTTCCGATTCATACATTCTAACTTGGCTACTATTTACTGTACAATATAGTAGTTTCTTTACCGAATAAAAGAAGCACTATTTTCATTTTGGTAAGAAAATTTAGATTGGTAAGATGAAGTGTAAATATTATGCGATGTAATGAGAAAATAATGTATATATATTTTTTATTTGAGTGGCGTGATGATATAAAATATTTTTTATTTTTTATTTTAAAAATATTACAAAGTATGTAAAATATATCAAAATAAAAAATATTACATAGTATGTAAAATGAAAGAGTATAAAATTTTCAATATATCATGAAATTATTCCTCTAAAAATAATTTATGTCTTCGCTTGTCAGGATGACAAGTTCCTCCACATTGAGGATATTTGTTGGGTTTGGGCTCCCAACTATGTAAATTAAAGGTCCAAATTTAATGGGTAACTAGGCATAATTGATAATTATGACCTAATTATCTTTGGAAAAAAAAAAATCAGCAGCAACAACCACGTTCAAAACAGTAAAACAGAGCAGTTCTGTGTTTTTTTTTTTCCCCTGCACAATTTTGGAGATTAGATCGATCGACATAGCAAACGTTGTCTGATCGGCTTGAAAGTTTTACTTAAGATGGAGGAAGTCTATATCGTCAATCTGAATGGTGAAGATCGATTTTCAACGGCCCGATTTTCAAATAAAAATTGGGTTGTTCTTGAAACATAAATTTGCCGATGATGTCAATAATCTTAACATCCTACTCATCAACACACCTCATTATCTTTGCAACTTTTAACTAAAGGGTTGACACCAATGTCTATTTCAACTACACCTTAAACTACCCATTTTCCGTAGACTTCCCAGAAAATACTATTCGCAATTTTCTTTTTTTTTTTTTTATCAAAATGAATTTGAGATAGGCTTTTCAGCTGAAAGTACATCCTGGTAAACCATCATAGTTGTTGAATCTCTTTCTCTTAGATCGTTTTCACGCCGAAGGAAAGTATACGAAAAGGAAGAAAAGACACGACAGTGAATTGGAGCGGTACATCAAGGCGATCATAATATTTCACTTTAACTATATATATTAATCAATATATCATTATTGCAAAAATCAACTTAAAACCAAACAAAACTTAAACATCTCAATTCAAAAAAAATTAAAATCAACTTAAATTTCAACTTACAACTAAATGTACCATAGTTGATCTATCAAATCTATTAGGAATGCAAATGCATTTTTATATTTTCTTAAAAAAATTTATGATGCAACTTTAGAGTTAAGTGTATTAAGAACTATTGCTATTGCATTTTATTGTTGTGAAAGAAATCGAACCGTTTTCTATCACTTTATTGTGCAAACATGTGAAAAATCAGTGAAGTGATGGATTAAAAAAATTTAATAAGTAGCAATTAAGTGAGAAATCTTCCAATCACAAAATTTAATATTTTTCAACATTGTTGTTTTTTCTTTCTCTTTATTTTATGTTGTTTAAAAATATTTACATTATTCAAGTGATGGATTAAAATTTTTTTATCATATTTAAATAATTGATAAAAATATATATATATTTATTTTATTTCCACTCACATTATTCTTTGTTAATGGAGATATTTATTATTCAAGACATACAAAAAATAATTCTTTAGACAATACTTAATTGTTTATTGAATATATGAAATATTTTCATTCTACTTTTATTAATATATTTATATTGATATTTTTAATTTTATCTTTTTTTTTTTTTTTACGATATGTCTTGCGGAATAATGTTAATTTGGTATGTTAAAGTTTTTTGTCGTACACTGATAAATTGATTTAGTATCCATATGAGAAATATTATACTGTAACAATATATCAAATAAATCATATTAGATCAATATAATATTTTATCATACCGATACTTACAATCAGAGTAAAGTTATACAAGGATTTGGAGAATGTGACACCCTTAGAAGATAGACATCCTTCAATTTTTTTAATTGAATAAATCTATATTGGCACATGAAAGGTCTGTTGCCCCTTTAGTTGGTGATTTTTCTTTTAAGGAAACAACAATGTGATAGAAAAAGGAAAAACTTGAAATTGACAAGAAAATAATAAAGAAAAAAGATGGAGCGAGGTAGCAATAAAGAAGAAAAATTAATCAAAGATTAATGAGGAAAAAAAATTGAGAAGGGAAAGAAAATAAAAAAATGCAATGTTGCAACAGCTATAGGTTAAAACAGTGTTAATATTTTTAATAATAAATTTATAATTAAAATAATTTAATATTATTATTAGTTTATAAATAGAGAATATTATGATAATAAAATAAATATTTATTAGTGTTTAATAATTTAGAGTGAATAATAATATTATGTATTATTGTTATATATTTATAATTTTTAAAATTTATAAAATATTTTTTATTATACAAAATATTTTTTATATAGTATATTTCAAATTTTTTTATTAATTTATAATAACTAAAAATAGAAAAAAAAAATTGTTTAAACCGTTACGTTTATGCCGGGATTGATTTTTTTTATCTGTGTATCGAAAATTTGGTTAAAAAATATAAAATATGTAGTATTATTTTAAGTTGAATATTTGAAGATTTTTTATTTGTTAATTTTTGTAAAAAAATTATGTTATGTATTACTCTCTCCGTCCATTTTTGGTCAGTCCCGTAACAAAGTATTGGTTTTTTTTTCTAATAATTGTATTATCTACCTAACATTAAAATATCTTTATATCACACAATACTAATAGGGTTATTTTAATCATTTTTACTATATTCCTACTACGTATCAATATAATACTAATATACCTTAAACTCTGTGTAAAAAACAAATAAATATTTACTTAAATGATGGAGGGAGTATTATTTTTTAAAATCACAATAAATAGTATCGATAGAACACGGTGAATTACATTTTTTAAAAAAAATTAATAAACTTTTTAGATAAACTTTTTTTTTTCTACCTCTAGTTTGCTACTTCGCCTCCAATTCAAACATTCTGAGTTGACCACTGTTTACCTACAACATAGTACTCCATTTGTCTTATATAAGAAGTAATATTTTGATTTGGATACGAGAATTTAAATTGATAGAATAAAATGTAAATTATTTGATATGATAAAAAAAAAATAAAAATAAAAAAATAAAAAAAATTGTATTTTTTTTTATTTTATTGATGTGATGATATAAAATATAGTAATTATTTTTTATTTTAAAAATATTATAAAATATATAAGATATATTAAAATAAAAAATATTAGCGAGTATGCAAGATGAAAGAACTAAAAAAAAATTTCAATATATCCTAGTATTATGAAATTATTCCTCTCAAACTAATTTATACCCTTAACTCATGTACATAATTGGGCCCTCTCTTAGAGCCTTTTACTCTAACCACTACGTTTCTCTAATTGGGCTCAAATTCAATCAAATCAATCCTCTCCAGACCAGATCCATTAATTTTTGTAGCCGTTAGATTCACGCCACGTAAAACAATCCTGGCCGTTGATGTACATACCGTGGGCCCACCCGACTCCCCGACACAACCCTGATATACGTAAGTAAGGTGCAGAACATTTATTACACATATATTGGAGCTTGTCTGTGTTTCAAACTCCAAACTCAATTTCATTTTCCCTTTTCTTTTTCAAAAAAAAAAAAAAAAATACATATATGAGGCGGCATCTTCTAGAAGCCCTCTTCGCCGCCGCCGCCTTCTTGCTCCCGGCGGCAGCGGCGGCGGTCCAGGCAAGTCATCACCTCCTGAACACCACCGGCGCCACCACCTCCGGCGGCGGCGGCGGCGGCCGGTGCAACATGTTCAGAGGAAAATGGGTTTTCGATGGGTCGTATCCATTGTACGATTACTCGAAATGTCCTTTCATGTATGACGAATTTAATTGCCTCAAGTTCCGGCGACCTGACCGTATGTACCTCAAGTATCGATGGCAGCCATTTTCCTGCAACTTGCCAAGGTTCTTGATATATTGATTCAATTCACATTATAATTATATTCTTTGATTGATTAAAGATTAATTTTTTATTTGCAGGTTTAATGGGTTGTATTTTTTGGAGAAGTTTAGGGGGAAGAAGATAATGTTCGTGGGTGACTCGATGAGTTTGAACATGTGGGTGTCTTTGAGCTGTATGATCCATTCTTGGGTACCTAATGCAAGAACTGCATTCGTAAGAACACAAGGCCTTTCTGAAATTGCATTCTTGGTAAGAACACAAGTACCATATCATTTATTTATTTGATTTTTATTAATAATTGACAAGATATCAGATCATTGAAGTATTAAGTAGGAGTCGCCTCGGGTTCCATGCATTTGTTGTGGGGTGGGGTGGGGTGGGGTGCATGTTGGATCCATGGCCATTAAATAATTAATTAATTAATCAGCTTTTGAGAAGGTAAAGTTATAAATGTGAATTCATTGGTATCTCTGCAATCTTTCTCATTCAGCTACTTTTTTTTTGAACTCTTTCATTGCGCTGTCCGAACGGGCCGACCGGTTCGGGTCCGCTTCAGTCTGGCACGTACCGGGCCGAACTCCTATTTCTTTGTTAATTTATACTTCCTATCTTATTTTCTTATTTAGTAATCGTGGTCTCCACTTTATAATAAAATTATTTTTATTTTATGAAACTATCCTTAATTATTACTCTAATCTACTTTTTAAAATTATTCAAAAAGTAAAAATATTTTAATTTTTTACATTCTATTTTATACCAACTTTCAATTAAATACTATTATTCTTTAACTTCCGTGCCTACTCCTACTCTTATAAGATATTTTTTGGGAACAGAGGGAGTATATTTACAATGTTTATATTTTATACAAATTTCTAAAAATATGTATAAGGAAATTTGTGTGTTTGACTACTAGTCCTCTGTCATCTAATTAAATTTATATATTTTTTTTGGGGTTTACTATAAAAAAAATAGGAAGTAAAAAATTATTCCCTCCTTCTCAGGTATTATGTCCATATTGCCATTTCTGTCCGTACCACATACCATGTCACTTTTCTTTTTTGGAAAATAATTATACACTTTAATCTCATTTTAAATTTTTTAATTTTTTTTAATTTTAATTAAACTAATTAGTTATCTTAATCTTAATTTATAATTATTTATATTATAGAATAATTATTTTCACTAATACATTCTTAATTATCTACTAATTATACCCCTCCTAAAATACCGTGTCTATGGTGTAGCAGATACGGTATATGGGGCAAAGGGAGTACTATTTTTTTTTTTTTTTTACCTTAAAAAAATTACTCCTTTTGTGTCAAACACTTTGTGATATTTCTTTTTTTTTATATGTCTTGAACACTCTGCAATATTTTTAAAATAAGAAATAATTAATTATATTTAATTTATATCCTATATTTTATCTCATCATATCACCTTAATAAAAGAATAAAATATATACTCTTCGTCACATCATCTTATTTCTAAATTGTTCCAACTTAAATGTAGCACCTGATTTCTTATTTAGAATGGGACGAAAAGAGTATTATTTTCAAATATTTTTATTAAAATTTGTATGGAACCAAATATGCCTAATTTTTAATGACAGAGGAGTATATATTTGAAATAAAAAAGTGCATATATAATTTATTTTTTTTAACACTTGTGTCAACATTCTATTAGTTTATACTAGTATTGTGTATATATATTTAACATTTTATATTGTATTTTATATATGTAGAAATTATATTACTGCTTTGCTGCAACATTAAGTAGTCGTGCTGTCCCTCACTCGCTTTAAAGTTCAATATTCCAATAGGACCATTTTTTAGTATTATTTCTGTCCTCGATGCATAATAATAATAATAATAATAATAAGAAGAAGAATAATTTTTTGTTTCAGTGTAGCTTCGAGATTAAAAATAATAAAATTTTAAATTAGAATGAATATTTAATTTGATATAAATTATATTTCATGTTATGAAGAGTGAGGATGTCCAAAATCCTATATCCAAACTCTACATTTTTTTTGGCTAACCTACACTTTGGTATCAATTATTTATTATTTATATATATATATATATTGCATATAATTTTAAATGCCATTTCGATTTAGAGTTGCTTTTATTTTCTGAAATAAAAAATCATATTATAATTTTTTTTTTTTGTTACATAATTCGTTACTATTCGAGTTCATCGTTAAACCACCAAATTATTATTATTATGAAACAACAATGCTCCTATCTTCATTTTAGTTTTAATTGTTTTCACATTATTTTTTATATAAAAATAAATATTTGATTTGATATTTAAATATATTCACATAATTTATATACAACAACACTGGAATATAATAAAAGGAACAATTAATTATTTAGGGCGTGTTTGGCAATTAACTGGTTTGACTAGATGTTTATATTAAAATGTTTGGTAAAATAATTGTTTGATATTAGCTGTTTATACGTAAAATGACAATTGAGGATATTTTTATTTTATTTTTGTTTCTAATATATTCAATTATGTTCTTTTGAGTTTAGAATGTTTAAAATTTTTTGTTATTAGTTATTGAAAATTGTAAATGAGTTATAAAAGTATTTATTTTTATTACAGTTAGATTTAAAAAAAATAATATATTTTTATTAAAATATATAAATAGTTTTTTCTATTAAAAATGATGTAAAATATAAAATAATAAATTTTTCGTGTATATATTTATTATGTTAGTTATCGATTAGTTCATTATATTTATAGTTTTTAATAAATTTAATTTATTAATTTATTTTTAGTATAAAATTTATATAATCTAATTTTAATATAAAAATAAATTATTAATATTTATATTTTCTATTTTATGTTGATTTTAATAAATTTATATATTTTACAATTAAAGTAATTTTTATATAAAAATTAATTATTTTAAATTTATAAAAGTAAAACTATAATATAATATAATATTCTAATATAATTAATAAATAATTAAAATATATTTATTTGTGCAAAATGCATAATAAATTTTTAAGGGTATATATAAAAAAAATTTATAGAAAAAATTATTTCAAAACATTAGGTAAATTAGTTTTTCAGAAATTAATTTTTTTGGGTCCAAAAAACTATTTCAAAAAGCTAATTTACCAAACATCTAAATTAGCTTTTTGACTGATCGTAAAAGCTGTTCAATAAGCTAAAAGCTCTTAAAAAAAAAAAAAACTATTTGTCAAACACCCCTTAATTAAAATGGAGTAGGTTTTATGTAATCTAAAATTTACAAAAACTGATGCACACAAATTTGAAAAACGATGTTGTTATGCAACGAGCTTATTATTAATTAATTAATTAATTAATTTTGGTAAAGTAAAGTACAGTAGAATATCTGATCGAAATTTTTTCCCTTTATTTCCATTTTACATCATTACAAAGGCGGATAGGATAAGGCAATAATAATCACTAGTGTTTTTATTTTTATTATTTTTGAAAATATTTGTCCTAAAAAAGTGGTCAGGTCAGGTCAGGTAGAGAAAATCAAGAAAGTTATGGATGCACATGACGCTCCATGATTGATGGATGGATATCAATTACATATAATTAAAAACTGGTTTATTTGATTTTATTGGAATAATAATAATAATACTATCTCCATCATCTCTCAAGTTAGATGTCCTGATTACGGTAGATACAAAAATTTAAAATAAATATAATCAGTAAATAATTAAAAATATATTAATAAAAATAATTAATCTTTAGTATAAATTATTATACATTAAAATAAAAATAATTAATTAGTTTAGTTAAAATTTAAAATAAAATTAAGATGAATAATTATTTTTTAAAAAATAGAAAGTGACAGATAGGACGAATTAGCACTAACGAAGGTGTGAAATCTATCGATTATATGTAAAAGGGATCCGTTTATGATTGTGTCATCTTTGAAAATGAGACAGGGCATTCATTGCATTGCACGTGACCCCACTCACTGTGTCTCTCTTCTTCAATTTCAAGCCCATCCAATATATTAATATTAATTCTTACACATTGAAATCTTCTCGTGTGTGAACAAATTCTTGAAGGTAGGCACAAGCCTTCTCTTGTGTAGATTGTCACACGAGAATTATGTTATATAATAAAATCATGTCTACTCATTTATAGGCATAGTATATATACATAAATAATGGCCACATAATCTTAATAATATTAACAAATATATATATATACACACACGCGCAGGAGGATAGTTACGGTTAAATCAGCACCATGCTGATTTTTCACATCAAAATACTCATATATGCAAATAACACACATTAGTATTACATACAAATATATGTTATGTATAATAAAGGTATGTGTTATTTTTTTAATAATTAACAAGTGTGTTGTATACAAGTATGTCATGTGGTAAAATCAACTGTTGTGTGTGTTGTATGAGACTATAGCATGTGCTGTATTTGTATTATACTAACATATACAACGTGTTGTATTGTGTATTGTTAAGACTATAGCATGTGTGTTTTGTTCATGTATTGTATTTGTATTATATTAACATATACAGGGTGTTATTTGTAGTAATATTATGTGTTGTCTAATAGCACACGATGTGTTGTTCAGCACAGTACTGAATTTTAAATTCAGTACCATAGTCGTCGCCATATATATATAATATACCTAAATTTAAACTTAAAGTCATCTTGTAAAGGCAGGTCTGGTAGTGTTCGATGGACTTATGACCGTTAGGTTATGAATTTAAACTTTTGACGTCTTTGGATCTTGTATGTCACACATAATTCGTCTAGTGTAATTTGTCTTGTTTAATGTCTTATTTCCACTTCTATAAGTCTTTCTATCCTTAGGCAATTCAACAAGTTTCCGAGTGTTATTTTTGTATATGATTTTCATTTCCATATCCATGTCGAATTTCCAATTTTGTGAGCCTCTTAGACTTATTCGAACATTGAATCTTTAATATTTATTGTGTACTACAGGATTATGGAGTTAAGCTGTTGCTATATCGAACTCCATTTCTCGTGGACATGGAGAGCCAAAAGGCGGGTCGAGTATTGAAACTTGATTCGATCCGAAGTGGCAACTCGTGGATGGGAATGGACATCCTCATCTTTAACTCTTGGCATTGGTGGACTCACACAGGAAGAACTCAACCGTACGTAGTTAAATTTAATCGATCGATCGATCAATCTATATTTTTTGTGTTTCATTACATTAATTGATTACTTAGTACTCATTCTCTAGCTCTTGATTCATTCCTTAGGGCGCAGATCTCACGTTGAACTGCTGATTTGATTAGATCTAACATATTTTATAAGATAAATTATGAATATTCAGCTATATATATCATAAATATTATTTACCTTATAATATATGTTGATCCGATCAAATCAGCATGGATGAGATCCGTGCCCCAATTTTAACAATAAGGATTGACACATATACTTGCAACATATTAGATGGGATTTATTGCAAGAAAGAGGGAAGCTCTACAAAGACATGAACCGAATGATCGCATACTACAAAGGTTTAACGACATGGGCAAGATGGATCAACCGAAATGTCGATCCATCCAAAACTCGAGTCTTTTTCCAAGGAATCTCGCCTACGCATTACGAGTAAGCTAACCATTACAACCCTCTATATCAACCCATACTAATTTCTTTATCCTTTTCGAATTTTTTTTTTAAAAAATGTCATAATATAAAGCGACGAATGTATTGTAGGGGTAGCGATTGGAACGAGCCACTAAATTCGTGCAAAGGGGAAGTGCAACCATTCTGGGGTTTGAAGTATCCGGCGGGAATTCCTCTGGCGAACGTGGTGGTCGACAAAGTTTTAAGCCGGATCAAGAAACCTGTTTATTTGTTGGACATCACGGCGCTGTCGCAATACCGGAAAGACGCGCACCCGACCTACTATGGTCGCCATGGCTTGGATTGCAGCCATTGGTGTCTCCCTGGCTTGCCTGATACTTGGAATCTCTTGCTTTATGCTGCTCTATTCAATAAGTAGAAAGATCCAATTTTTACATTGAATTATTTGGACACAACTAGCTCATTTGATCATGTTGTATTACTATGTACGTATGTATGTTCTTTGTTTGTTTCAATTTATGATCGAAGAAGAGATAGATCTCTTGTTTGATAAATGAACGAACTCGAGTTTTGTTCGCGAACTTTCGTTAAAATAATATATTTATTATAAATATTATATATACATATAAAATTATAATTTATATATAAATAATATATCAATTTAAAATAAATAAATAAAATAATTTTAATTTTTTTTTAATTTATATAGAAATTTAAAAAAAAGTGAGACAAATGAGTTCGAACGAACTCAAAGGAGCTTAATCAAGTCTAAACGAATCGAACACGAACACGAGCTCAAACAATAAAATTTCTTAACGAGCTGAGCTCAGACACTACAAATAAACTCGAAAGCTTAACGAACAAACACAAGTCTTGTTCGCGAACATTAACGAACGAACATGAACAATTAAAATTCGAGTCGGATCGGCTTATTAACAGCTCTATATGCAGGTTAATTACTAGGGTAAATTATATAATACCCTTGTGATTCAGTAAAAATGCACAAAACACCTTGTGTTTTATTTATTGCGTTAAATCCCCTTGTGTTAATGTAAAATTTGCACGAAACACTTTCTTCGTACAAAACTGATGTTGAATTCTAAATAAAACATAAATTACAAGTTTTATATAAATAAAAAATTTAAAATATCTTAAATATTTTTTAATAAAATAAATAAATAAATAATCCTTCATTATATAGTTTTTTAAGATAAATTGTTATTTGATTTTTACAAAAATTGTAAAAATAAATTATTGATCAATTATTTATTTATTTATTTTATTAAAAATTATTTAAAATATTTTAAATTTTTTATTTGTATAAAACTTCTTTAATTTAGGTCTCTTTATTTAAAATCGAACATCAATTTTGGACATGAGAGTTTCGTAGAAATTTTATATTAATACAGGGACTTTCACGCAATAAATAAAACTCACAGTGTTTTGTGCATTTTTACTTCAAAAGTGGCGTTCTATAATTTACCCTAATTACTATTAGAAAAATTCATTGTCAAACTTTTAGATCGACACAAAAAATCAATTTAATAGATACTTCGAATCTAAAGTTAGTAAATTTAATAATCACCAGCAAAATCTATCGAGCATAAATTATAGCCTAAAATGATGCAAAGCCTGTCCATCTTCTTCTTCTTCCGCCATTAAAATAGCCCTCAAGACTATCTCTTCTGCATTTCGAATCAACAATCATCAATGGCGTCCGAGCAACTGAGAAGGGAGGATGATGATCATCACGTCACAAATGTACAAACCAATCCCGTCGAAAAAGATCGAGTGTCGCATATGACGACACATTTCGAGTCTCTTGCGCACCCGGAGGAGGCCGCCAGAGAAGCCAAACATGGCGGCGACCCTCAATTCGACGTCAAATCTGAATCGAAAAACAAAGGCGGCGTAGCAGAGACCGACGAAGAGGAACTCACTTACACCGAAGTAGGCGGCGAAGAAGCAAAACAGAATCCGGCGACAACGGCGGAGGCTAATCCCGACTCGGGACAATCGGCGCAGCAGAGCTCAACGGAAGTGATCAAAGAAATGCAAGCATCGGCGATGGAGAAGGCCCGTGTAGCAAAGGATTACACGGTCGAGAAGGCGATAGAGACAAAGGACATAGTCGCCGAATACGTCGCCGAGAAGGCAAAGGTCGCGAAGGAGACTACTCTCGACACCACAAAGGCGGCGGCAGAATATATTGGCCAGAGAGCGGCAGCGGCCAAGGAAGCGGCGGTGGTGGCAGGGTGGGGGACGGCGCATGTCACTCTCGAGAAGGTGGCCGAGGCCACTAGGGCAGCCGCCGGGTATGTGGGCGAGAGGGCCGTGGCGGCTAAGGATAATAAGGATAAGGCGGCTATCGACGCCGGTAAGAATGTCTCCGGGGAGGCAACAATGACGACAGCGACAGCGACAGCGGCGGAAGAAAAGGCAACAGAGAATTCAGACAAGGATGGGAAAGATTTGAAGACAGCATAGATAAGATGATCAACGAAGTTAATCGTATGCCGTTAGTTTATGTGTTTTTTTTTTTTTTTTTTTGGTAGAACAAGATTCGATCCGATTACCTTAAACTATACCTCACCAACTCGGTCATTCTTTCTGGACAATAAATTCAAGTTTTCTTAGGCAAACTAACACGATCCCTATGCGGATTAATAAAGTAGGCCCTCGACGATATAACAATTTATTTGACATATATTACAGAGATGATTCTAAGACTTCCTCCTGAAACTTGTGGGCTCGACTACGAGCAATTAGACCTGTTTCAATTCAGGGTTGGATCAATCCGACAACAAGAACTGGCAAGATGATAGTATCTCCGCAGGAACTAAATAACATAAAGTGGCGATAGCTGAATAGCAACTAGACAATCTAGGGAAATAATGAGAGTTCAACGTCGAAACAAGACAACCTAGGAATGCATAGGAATAAGAATAATAAATGCCGTTGAACTTAAATGTCTGTCTATCTAAAAAAATATTACCATAACTTAACATTGAATTAGAAAATACCTGCAGGCATAGGAACACTTTGAACTGCGACTACCGAAAGCTTCAATGGCTGCTTCTCTTTCAAGCACAATCTGAATAATGTACACTTTACACAGAAACTTTACAGAAATTGCAGGTTAAGCACTACAGTTGTATGTCCAGAACATGCAATGAAAATAAAAAAAAGAAGCAATTTCTTGTCATCAATTGTACACACAACCGAACTATGAGATACACACGATTAGCTAGCATGTGCAATCATCACATATTTTACAGTTTTGTTTCCAAATTCGATCCTCTGTTTTCTCCCACTAAAGAAATTTACAAATTCACCTGAGAATTGCAATTTGTTAAGCGATCAATCAATCCATCGAACAGTGTATGACTGTATATGAAGATTGTTCCTCCGTTGGAAGCATCCATTCGCCAAGATCTGTTAAATAATCGTGTTACAAAGGTTTAGTACATGTACTCAATGAATCTGAAATATTAAATCTATTCCATTTAAACTGTGCAAGAATAAAAGAATGACAAATCAACCAATGTTCATATCATCTCTCCTATTATAATTGGCATTGCTTAAGCCGTTGGTGTTGCTTCTACACATTAAAACTTTGCTAATCTTTCAAAATTGTATGTAATTGCTAAGGTTCCACTCCATTTCAACGGATCATCATATTAATAAGAGACTTTATAAAACAACCAATGGTGGGGTTAGTAGAAATTAACAGGGTAAGAAACTAAGCATTTGGTGCATTCATTTGGCATTTGAAACAAACATTTGACTAGCTAGGTCTACCATCGCCCCTAGTATACAGAACTATTTTTATGACGAATGATAGCATGATAGAAGCATTGCTTTTTCTTAGAGATATAGTTGTGCGGTAGAAATATTCAAGCTAAAGATCATCAGTGATTTCTCTAAGGCTCCAGGAAACTGTTGTACGAGAATTGGAGAAAACCCAGAGACGCTAGTTAGAAAATGTGTTCATACCTAAGAAACATCATTGATATATGCAAATTTCACCCAGAATGGCCAAACCTGGGAAATGCAACAAATTATTTCCAGAAGGAAATGCATTTTTTCATGTACTAATTCCTTCAAGAAAATCATAAGTTTAGCTAACCCACCCCAGACAGATTCCAAATTTAGTATCCGAAGTAAGTTCAAGTGAATATAGAGCTAATTAAAGATATTCAACTGAAACATGTGTCCACCAGCTTCAAGCCAATATTAATTAAGGAAGATGGCATACTATGGTTCACCAGTCCTTTGAAACAATGCAACAAATTATTTCCAGAAGCTCACACAAAATTGCACAGAATTATAAAATAAATTCCAGAGTATAACTTAACTTTAAGATCCATAGCGCACTAATCTAACATAAGTTATGCATATGACTAAAATGCTTAAGTTTTAAACAATTTAATATTAAGGAGTTCTAACAAATTATAAAAAATAGTTTCGACATGTGATTGAAAAACTGAAGAAAATATAAAAACAGAGGATATATATATTTATGTATGCATATAGTCAAAATTAAGAGAATTACAATGCAACTACGTGAAAAGAGGCAAAACAAGTAAGATTATCTGGAGTAAAGTGATGATCATCCTCAGAGAAAGGGAAGAAGCAATCATATTTTGCCTTGAATTAGAAGTGTTTCTTTTGAAATTCTTTTTTTCATAAAGAAAGACAAAGAAGAAAGGTGTGTTGCCCTTAGGTACTTGCTCACACATGGATTCTTATCATTCATCACCCTGTTGTTTGCAATTGGGGAGTTTAAAAACAAGAAAATAGCCGAATATCTATTTTCTTGTTTTAAACATCAAGGGATTTTCTGATATTAATTATACTGTCAGTTGAAAAAAGGCAAGTCATTAACTAACTGAGGTTTTACGAAGAAAAGGACAAATCTTCCAACAAATTAGATAATGCTCCGTAAATTATTTGCTGATCAAAAAATTCCATCGAGTCCGTGAACACAAGTGATGATCCGAAGCGTCACACTTCTAGCCTAAACACTATGACCAAATCAATAACTCCAATAGATCAAACAGGTGCCAAGTCAAAATAATAAATCGTCAAAATCAAAAACTACCTAACTACTAAAAGCCCCGGAAAGAATAGGTAATTAATGTATCAAGTACCGAACTTTACAACATTGGATTCACATCCACATTAAATACAACAGAAAGACAGGATTTCCTTCTAGAAACATCATACTTTAAATGAATGTTACACTACCTTAACTTCACTTCCTCGGCGAGGGTCCACCATTAGATCCATCAACAGAGGAACTTTCATGGTCAGAATCTACAATAAAGAATAATAATTACAAGTCTGAGCTTGCTATTCATATAACAATAATAATCATACGCCACGTGCATCTTGAATGGTCAAGGAACTGCATTTAAACAAGAAAACAAAGAATATTTTATTACTACCACTGGATGAAGATCCAGAATCAGAGCTAGAGATGCTCTGGCTGGCTCCTTGATTTTTCTTGTCACGCGCCTGCTTTTCTACGTCAACCGGGGTTGAGATAACTCCCTCTACATCTGTCAAGAAAATAAACATCTTTTTAAATTTCAATTGAATTTTCATTGGTAGTGGATGACTTAAACAAATATTAGTTATTTCCCTTCTAACGATAATTACCTTTTCTACTTTCTTTAGGGGTTTCTGTTGCAACCTGCAGAGAAAGCCACATCATAAGGTATGGAAACAAAATAGTAATTACAATGAACTTAAGGAAACAAAGAATCGACCGTAAATTACCTTTTCCTTGGTCTCTGGACCAGCAGTTAATCCACTAACTATTTCAGCCTTTCTTTTGTTCTTACTCAAACTCTTCTTATAATTAGTTATGAACCTATCGAGCTCCCAAAGGGTTTCCGTATCAACACTATCAATGTCAACCTCTATTTCATCATCTTGCTGCGAAACGAAAGGATTCCTCTTCTTAATAATCTGAACGACACTTTCAAGCTTCTCTGATGGTAAGCTTTGCAGATTTATACTAAGTTTCTGCTTTTCTTCATAAGTCATGTCCCTTTTATTAGGTTCTTTTGCCTTTGGCTTCTTCGGGATAGGCGCCCTACCTTGAGCAACACTTGCAACCTTTCTCTTCGGCGCAATTGATGAAGCCATTGATTCAGATCTATCAATAGTCTTTGGCTTAGCCCGTGACTGTGGCAAAGACTTCCGAAGAGGCGCTGGAGAACCCACATCAATGTCCATATCGAGCTTCAAATCGCGCATGTACTCGGCTTCTATGAGAGTCCATTTGTCCTCAAACATTTTCGACAATTGTTCAGCCATCACATACACATCTTGGCCTTTGGGATTATACGTCATGGCATTTCGGAATGTAAGTCTAACATCCTCAGCAAATTCCATGGGCGTCTTGTACCAATTCCGCGTTAATCTATCCTTTACAGTACTGAGATCCATAGGCTTTTTTATGATCTCAAAATAGTCGTGCAAACCAAGCGCGGCCGCATCCACAGGCATGTTAAAAACCCAACCATGTTTGTGCTTCATCAATCTCTCCAAAAGTGCACTACAACTTTTCAATACTTGATTTGGAAATTTATCAGTCCGCGGCACACTACCGACTCCCTTCTTCCCATTCGATTTCAGCTTCTTGTTACTTTCGGACGCAGGAATCTTATCCTTCCCAAGCAAGAACTCCGAATTTCGGTACAACTTGTTCGCCTTTGGCGTCCTCTTCTCCTTCTCTGCACTATCATTCCCCATGTTGCTGTGTTCATTCACCAACACATTCAACTGCTTCACCGATCGAGGCTGCAGCATCTCATCCCCATCCTGATTTTCAAATCCCTTCTTTTGTCTCTCATTTGCCTCAATCTTCCTCATCACGCTCCTCACAGTCTCACGTTCCCCTTCCAACTTCCTCTTCAATTCTAATGCCTCGTGTTTTGACTTCATTGACAAGCTTATCCAGACCTTGTCTTCCTGCCGCAGAAACCCTCCCTTCACAACCAGTCCAGAGAAATTATCCGAAGCCAGATCAAAACCAGAAACCCTAGCTTGAGGATTTGGGAGCGGCGGCTGCTCCTTCGACAAATTACTGTTCTCAATTCCTTTGAACGATCTTCTACTGTACACCTTACGCCCCAACAGCTTCTCCTCCTCTTTTGAGCCTTCGTCTCCACCGCCCAACATTGTCCCAGAATGCAATTAACCTAACGAAATTATTAAAAAATAATTATAATAATAAAAAAAACGTTGCAGATCACAGGCTAACTACAACACCTTACTAGCTAAACGCTTCTGAATTCCTACTACAACCGGAGACAGCCGCAGCCATTGGAAGGAAGCGGCGAGGTTAAATTAGGGTTTTGAGGCCATACCTTGGGCGTTTCTCTCCCCCATCCCAGCGAGCTGCTTTACTCTTTGTTTCTTCTTATCTTGTCTTGTCGAAACACTGAAGTGGTGGTGGAGAGGTTTGGGTGGGGGGTTTGGGGGGCGGAGAGAGTGTACGCGGGATGACGAAGCGTGATTACACCGCGCATTTTGAACGGCTAGGATTGCATCGCGGTGACTGTGGGCCGACAGCTGATGGTTGAAAGCAATAGGGGCCGGGGGCGTTACAGGATTCTGACCTTGAAGATTGTGCTTCTCAGACGCTCGTGTGGCGGCGCGTGCGAACAAGACTCGCCGGCGCAGGGTGGTAATTGGGCTGTTGTCCGATTACTGGGCTTCTCCTCGGCCTTTTCACAGAAATAGTTAATAAACGTTATCCAAGAAAACTATGACCATGAAGACGAGCAGCTGACTACCCTCATTTGTTAATTACATTTAGGTATTTGGGGTGGTTTGTTCTTCCGAGTTGATTTATACCTCCGTCCCATAACAAAGTATCTATTTTTTCATATTAGTTTGTCCTATAATAAAGTATTCATTTCTTTTTAGTAACTGTATTGTCTATTTAACATTACAAATACCTTTACAACTTACAATATATTACACAAATATTATTATCTTTATATCACACATACTAATAAGGTTATTTTAGTCATTTCTACTTTATTCCTACTATATCCCAATATAATACTAAAATTTCTAAAACTACCTGCAAAAAAGCAAATGGATATTTAATTTCGGAACGGAGGGAGTATTTCAGATTTATGCGTTTTTCGAAATTTAAAGAATATTGATATTATATTAGTAGTGAGTAAAAATGCAGGTAAAAGACTTGTGAGTGTATTAGTGTAAAAAGTAGTGGCAATTGTGTAATAATAATGAAAATTAATGGTAGTTTTATAGTAATACGGTTATTTATGAAAATGAGACTATTGTTTTAGAACAGACAAAAATGGTAAACAAGACTATTGTATTGGAATGGAAAGAGTATTTTATTAGTAAATGAAACTGTGTTAAAATTTTGATATTTTAAACTTTGACTTATTTTTTTATAAAGTAATTGTATTTAAAAACTAAAATTCAATTTTTTAATTGATTTTTGGCCTTCTAATTGGGGCAATATTATTTATATGTATATAATTACAATAATTTAGGGAGAAAGATCGGATATGTTTTTTCTTTTAATTTTTTAATTTTAATTTTTTGTTTTTGCACATGTTTTTTTAAAAATAAAAAATAAAAATTTAATACATAATTCTCTATATTTCATATAAAAAAAATATCTTCAAATTATTTTACAAAATAAAAACACCTTTCTCTAACATAGGCAAAAGTTCTCTCCCATTCTTTTCTCAGTGCATACGGACATGATGTTATCTATTTGTTATGACATAAAAACCTTCTACCATTATTTCTCGATTGTGTTTTAAATAAATTTATAAGGTAGAACTAAAGTTGAGAAGAAGTTGGTAAGTATTTTTTTTTTTTTGGAGTCTCTTAAATTTTATTATTTGATTTGATTTAAATATATATATATATATATTTTCTTTCTTATAAAACATTATTCCATCCGTCCGATGAAAATTAGTTACATTTCTTTTAAAATTAAAAAAAAAATCTAACTAATTTTTACAAAGGAATATCGTAAATCTAACTCTCTTATAGGACTACATGACATTTATGATTTTTTAAGAATCGGAATTCTAACACGAGACCTCCTTCCATCACTTAAAAAGATTTATACTATGCTTTTAGTGTAGAAAATTAGCAACAAATTCAGATTGGCGTTCTTTTGTAAGTTTTTTATAAAATTTTATTATTCAAATTTATTTTTTTCTCAAAAAATATTAAATCAAATAATTATTTTTTATTTTTTTTTAATATATTAAAAATCAATTTTACATTCAAAATATCACATGTAACACTTATTTATATCGCATCAAATAACTATTCAAATTCTAACTTTTTACTTTTTAAAAATCTCAAACCCAAAAATCAAACCCCTAGAAGAAGAAAATTGACAAGAGATAGATTAGTATATGAAAATTATAAGAGAATTGGTCACAACAATGAGACTTATTTTAAAATCTACGAAATACTTTAATTGTATAAAAATATTTAAGATAAAAAGAGTAACGGGTATATAGAAAATTATCCCAATATGAATGCTGATGTCGCACACTAAATTGAAATACTTTAGATATTTAATTTATTGTTTATATCATATTTAATTGGTTTAGATTATGATTTAATCATACCTATTAGATTAAATTAATTTTTATTTAAGTCTGTCGATTTTGTATTATGTTTATTTATAAACTTCTATTTTTATTACCAATTATATGCAATTCTGAAATTTCTATAAAATATAATATCAAATCATTTTTTATTTTTTTATTTTTTCTGAAATAAAGATAGCTTATCAATGCAATAAATTTGGTGTTCAAGAATTGGACGTTGGAAGTGGAATTGTAGAAGGATTGGACGACGGCCAACTAAGGTATTAAATATTTGGTTTATTGGTTATATTAAATTTAGTTGATTTAGATTGTGATACAATCACGAAAGTTTGTTGGTTATTTTAAAATATATTATTATTATAATTTTTATTGTTTTTATTTTTATTTTTAAATATTTTAATAAGTTTAAGAGTAATAAAATTTTTATAAAATATTAATAATTAAATATTTTACAATAAAAAAATATTAGAAAAATTTATCATTTAAAATAAAGTAAAAAAATAATTTTACAAACTTCAAATGAATATTTAATAATATAAATTATAATTTACCTTATATATTTGGACAAAATATGTAATATAACTAAAATAATTTAATGTTAAAATAAAGTTTATTACGAACAAAATCAATTATAAAAATATATATACTCCCTCCGTCCAATTTCTATTGTCCTAAGGTATATTTGCACGGTTGTTTGGGTGATTATCTTTTTGTTATGATTGACAAATTTGTCTTCGTACGGTAGAGATTAAAAGTAATAAATGAATAAAGGTAAAAATGTAAAATTTGTATTTAAAAAAGAAAATATGACAATAGTTGTTGTACGTCCCAAATAGGAAAGTAGGATATTAGTTTGTGGACGGAGGGAGTATAAGTTATACATATATTTGGATGTGTTTAGAACTTGATTGATTATTAAAATAAAATTATTATTTATATACATATCAATTTTTGTTTTTACAATTTAACGAATAAAATCAATTCTCCAAATAATTTAATTATAATACTTTGATAACAAAATTGTAACTCTTATGATGAAAAATAAAAAAATAACATATAACATATAACTTAATATAAATTATGATGAATTACTAATAAGAATGTACATAAAATAATTTTTATATATTACAAATAAAAAAAACCACCAAACTCTATAGCTAAACACCTGCATTTATTTTTTCTTTTCTTTTCTTCTTTGTTCCCATTTCTTTTTTTTATTCTGGTTTCTTTTTTCTTCTTTTAACATCCCTCTCTCTCTACCTTAAATGCTACAATCAGTTGTGAAAACAAATTACTATAGGAAGAAATTAAATACATAATGAAAAAGAGTAATAAATTCAAATTTTCAATTTCAACGTCCAAAAAAAATTCTCTGACTGCAGTAAATATAACATCGTGAAAAGAAATCATTAGGCAATATAAATAAATCAATAAACCTAAATAAAATTTAGAAATAAAAGCGAGCGAATTCTCCGGCAAACAACTTCTTATGTTTAGAAGGCAGTCTTTTCAGATCCAACTTTATAACTTTTGCTCTGTGCAAAAAAACAAAAAAAAAAAAGCACACCAAAATAAACAATTTAGAAAATAACAAAAAAAAAACTGTAATCAATACAAAGGTATCAAAACAATTGTAAAAATTTGAAAGAATATGAAAAGAAAATAAAAAAAAAATTGTGAAAAATAGAATGAAATTTTAGAAAAATGTAATTACTCACCCCATTTATAAACACTATGAAAAACTATATAAAATATATATATATCAAAATTCTGACGTTACAAAATTGCAAAAATTTACAAAAAGTGAAATACACGCTTGAGCTCTTTTATATATATATATATATGATATGATATGATATGATCCACTGTACCCTACGAACTTATAGAATCTTGTTTTCATTGTCAATTTATGCAACATTTTGCAAAATATTTTGACAACCTTTGCCTCTTATTCACTTCCAAGGTTTGATTATTTTTACTTGCTCTAAATATTGATCTTCTAAAACTAGGGTTAGGAAAGAGAGTACAAAATGACATATTTATATCGTATCAAATATTTTTTAATTAAAAGTTTTATTATTCGAAATCAAATTAAATTTTCCGGCCAATGTGTATACATGTAAGATAGATACAAACCAAATACACTCCCTGACTTCGTGCAAATCAATGTATTTTTAAGCCCATCTCTGTTTCTTTTTAATTTATTCAAATCTTGGGTATTTTACTATTTGAATTCTGTATTTATCTGTAAAAAAAATATATATATTTTTTGTTTTTTTAACAAAAATATATTATCGAACATTATTTTAATTTAAACTTAAATCAAAAAATTCCTAAACTACTCAAAAGAAATACTTTCTTGACAAGACAGAAATCTAATCTATTGCTTCTGGCCTTCAAAAAACTGTGTACATATAGATATAGATGTATGAAACCACGTTTAAGTCCACTATGAACTGTCCCCCTTATTTCTCAAACCTATCCATAAAACAAAAAGGGACCAACAAACACACATCCTTATCCATGCAACCATTAACACTGTTTAACTTACCGCTCATATTATTAAGACAAAATTGTTCATAACTCAATTGTATTTTGAAAAGTTTCTCTATTCTTCTTCATAATTTGGTAACTATGTGAAATTTTCTTTTATTTTAAAAAATATTGTACAAAATCTATTTTTAGGAATTTTTATTTAATATTTTCTAAAACACGAAAAATGATTAAATTATATATGATTTTGCCTATTATATATATATATATATCAGTGTTCATCTGATTCTAATCTTTAAAATCTACCATGTAGTTTTAAAAACTATTCTACACCAGTTAGCAAGAAAAATGGCTTGTGCAAGATTTATTATATCTTTGTTCATTGTCCTTAAACTTTCTTGCTACATAGTTGCTTCGGCTTCGGCTCTTCGGATTCCATCTAAAAATGCCGACACCAGTGCTTACTTTCAAAGTATAAGAGGCTTGAGCCGCGATGGAGTAGAGCTGTACGCATCATCGAGGAGGTTGAGAGGACAGAGTTTTGACGACAGGGTGGCACCAGGTGGACCTGATCCCCAGCATCATTCGATCCCGAGGAAGATTTTCGGCTAATGAATGAGCTTCTTAATTCATCATCATTCATGTATGTTGCTGCTCATGAATTTAGAGACAGATTGATTAATGGTAACATTGCTAGCTACCATATGATACCATTATATATATATATATATATTGTTCAAATTAATGTTATGAATTCATGGATTTTTGTTTTTGTTTTGGAATTTATATATGGATATCACCTAGGATCTGTTTATTTTTAGTGATTTTTTTTTCCCAAAGTTTTATGCATTTTTTTACTATTCTCTAAAAATATATTGCTTCATCTATCATACATCAATTCATTATTTAAACAAAAATTTGTAAAAAAAAAAAAAAAAAAAACATCAAGCAAACCAACCCTAATGCCGATGAAAAGTTTCGTGAAATAATTTAGGCATACAACATTTGTAAGAAAGTTTGGAATATGTTTTTAAGGTTTTTTACCTTCATTTTTTTTTTCTTTTTTTGGTTGCAACACGAGGATCACACTTAATTTTAGAGTTCTGATTTAATCCGTGGAAATATTATCCAGTTTATACTAGCTAAGCATAAAATGAGAAAAAAAAAAAAATGATTTCTCATTAATTTAGCAAGGGAATTTGCAAGAAAAATCTAATTTCTCACAATATTTCCCTATTTTGCGAGTACATTTTTTAATGTTCTATATCTTGAAAAAAGAATTGTGAGGGGTGTTACGAGGGATTTAATTAATCCCGTAGAGAACTCAATATTTAAAACCCAAAATTGGACTTAGAACAGATTGCATTACCGAACACACACACCCTAAATTTTCTTATCGGATATGTTGTAATTTCCTTTCAAAACAACTTCATCATTAACTAGTTAGTATTAAGAGAACCAATCTTTGTTATAACACATGTAATAAGAACATGCCAAATCAAGTGCCTAAATGTCCCCAATTAGGTAAGTGAGCCAACCGATAGCACGAGAATGTCGTTGCCTTTAAATTATATCGTTATTCTCATCGGTGCCTTTAACAATCTTGTTAAACTAATAAAACACACATCTTAATCCAACATAATTTAAAATCGTTCTAGCCACCAAATTTTTCAATATTGTATTTCCATGTATTTTACTTTGCCATAAAAGATAGAAATAAACTAAGCCAAACAAGCTGTTAAGGCATTTTGCCAATCATTTGAATGAATTTGGAGTGTAAAAATCACTTATTAGTCTATTCTTTTATCTTTTACATTTTTATTTTCATAAAAATATATTATTATATTTTATTAAATATTTTAAAAAAAAAGTTTTAATTAAACAACGAAAATGCCCAAAAAAAAATACTTTCAAAATTATCAATAAATAACCACAAATAAAGTAACAAATTTTAAAACAATGAAACAAGACTCCCAATTCTTTTTTTTTTTTTTTTTGTTTACTTAGAATTATTCTAAGTAGCTTCGGCTCTTTTGCCTCATCGTTTGAGTGACGCATCGAACAGATATCGATCATGTTATGTAGAATAAATTCAACTGTAAATTAATCACTCCAACACAATCACCTCTTTTGCATCTGCCCATGTATCAATTCTGTTCTTTGCAATTTCCACCTGCATTTTATATACACAAACTTATAAGACTTATCTCTCGAAAAACACCGGCCAATAAGCCCCGCGATGCTTATTATAATCAAATATAGCCATCGTATTCCTGAGGAATTAAATCTAGCAACAACATTTCGGATAGAATAACGACGACGACCAAAAATTGCAAGACTAATAGTTGTATTTTGGTTATTAAGGCCGGGTAATTGTTGGGAGCTTTAAATTAATATTTATATAAAAATATATATTACATTAAATATTTATATTTTATTTAAAATATTACGTCTAATATCTATTTTCTATGCAAAAAAATCATATTGAATATTTATTTTTATATCGTATTAAATATTTATCCAAATAGCATAAATACACTCCTAAAAAGGATGATGAGATGATTTAAATTTATACCTCTTTATTCCAATCGGTTCGAACAGTGACCCAAATCAAGATTAGGGTCTGCATGAGCATGCCTCCCAACATTCCCAACCATATTCCCTACAACAAATTATATATCATCATTAAAATTTATAATAAAAAAAAAATAATTTATTTTGTTTACAAAACGTCGTATTAAAATATAATATAAAAAAGTCAAAGTGAACAAATAAAATATATTTTTATTGAGAAATACAAGAGTTGAATTAACCAAAGTGAATACGAACTTAACTAAGATTTAGTGCTATCACTAATTTTTTATTTTATTTTTTGAGTAATGAAATTTCGAAATGTTTTATATGCTCTATTGTTTTGGTTTAATGTTTTAAAAATAGCTAATTTTTGAATGAAATATTTTTAAGATTTTTATTTCATAAATAGCGTAACAACCAAAAACAAGATTGAAAACATAAGTAAACAAAATCAAGTCTAAAATTGATTTTTTTTTTTTTTTTATTTATTTTATATGATGGTGAAACTTCAATAAGACACTACAAAAAAATAATATATTTGTAACAGAATTTCGTTCCTAAAGTTCACGTAGCTAACGTAATTTCATTCCTATTTCCGTCTCTAATGTCATTAGTAACGGAAAAAGTAGATTTAGAGACAAAAAAAATATTGTTACAAAAATGATTTTTTCTTGTAGTGAGAATTCAACTCTACTTTTGCGAACATTCATAAATTACAAAGTAAATTACTCTCAAACATATACGAAAAAAATAAAGAAATTAATTACCTTAATGCCAAAATTGAATTGGAAGCCGAGGAGAGCGCCGAGTGGAACACCGATGACATAGTAACACCCAACGTTCACGTACGCCACAAATGCTTGCCATCCACACCCAACCGCGACACCTTTGAATCAAGTTATCCATTGTCATTGTCGTCGTTAAAGCACAAATAACTATTTCACTCAAAATATATATAAATAAATTTTTTTTAAAATACCGAAATAACACACCATATAATTCAATAAGTAGTCGTTTTATTGTAAATTATTGCAAATTTTAATGGCACAATCTAAAATAATTAAATATAGATAGTAATATATAGCTATATTATTATTGAAGAAAAGTCCTAATACTAAATGAAATGTTTGATTTTATATCTATATACATTCAATACTCACTTATAATATACGATTCCTATATTTTTGCTAACAAACAAATATATTTATTTGTATTTAAATTTTTATAAACTAATTATGCATTTACCATTGAAGCTACTAAAACCTTTGAGTTGAATTGTAAAACTATATATATATATATATATTTACTTCTTAATGGTATTATTTGTAATATTGTATAAAATGTGAAAATATTTTTTATTAAAGTAACACTATTTTTATTAAAAAAAAAAAAAAAGACAAATTAATTTAATAAGTATTGTGGAGTTTGGTGGAAATTTGAGAAGTTGGTTTTTTGCAATTAATGATTCGAAGATCTTGTCACCAACCATCCATTAATTAATTAATTACTTAATAAAATATAGTACATGTGATAAGGTGAACTCCTGCTATTTTTTGGTGTTCAATTTTTATTTTTATTTTTTATTTTTTATAATATTCATCCTCTGTGTTATAGATAAAAATATATTATTTTTAAAAATATAATACTCCAAACTTTTATGGATAATTTTAAGAAAGTAAATAATATTTTAATATAATGAAGTATATTATAAAAATATGAATCAAGCCAAACAAAATATCCTTTAGTTCCGTGACAAAAGCAATGAAATGAATAATAATTAATCAATAACTTATGGGCTTGAATTTTAAGATCTCAAGAAAATAAAATATATAAATAATTTGGATTGCGACAGTATATTTTATATTTTATTATTTATTTATATAGTAGTACTGTTTCTGTTCCATAATTTTTATTATTATTATTATTTCATTTGTCCCACACCTCTTTGATTATATTTTTTAAAAAAAAATTAATATATAATTATTTTTATATATTTTTTAATTATTTATTAATTATATTACTTGTCAAATTTAGAATCTATAATAGACAAGACACAAAAGATATGGGTTGACGTGTATGATGGATGAGGTTTTGTGAGAAATAATGCAAAGAAGACAAGAAAAATAAAATAAAATAAATATATAAGAAGGATATGTATATGTATATATTACCAGAGAGAACAGGCTGTATTCCGTTGAGGACGACAGAGCAGGCCAAGAATGGCGTGAGCTCTGAGACAGCCTCTGAAACCACTTCACCCTCCGTGAAGATGTAGCTTATTTCATGGCGGAATATCAGCGTCGCCGCCGCGAATATCACCGCCACCACCAACGACGACGCCGTCGTCACCACCACGCTGAACGCCGCCGACCTCGGGTGTCCGCCGCCGACCTCATTGCTAACCCTTATACTGTAATCGTAATCATTATTATTATTATTATTATGACAACCACAGGGGATTAGAAATGATAAAAGAAATTAGGTATTCTCATATTTTGTAAAAAAAAAACAAAAAACTTCCCGGTCACATTTATTTTTATGTCGTTGTATTTAATATTAAAAATATCATTATATTTGTATACTTTTTTGTACAAATATCTTTCTAGTACACTAATTTTTTCTTAATTTGTACTACGTTTTGATATAATAATTAATATTCAAATATTAACACGCAAAAAGTAAATGAGACCTTTAGAGCCAAACGAACGTAATATAGTATATATATATATATATATGTGGCGGCGGTTACCATGCTGAATTTAAAATTTAGCACTGTGCCGAACAGTATATAGTGTGTTGTTTGACAACACATGGTATTACTAATACACCGTACTGTATATACTAATATAATACACATACATCACGTGAAAAATGAACACATATTATAGTCTTTACATCATATGTTGTCCGACAACACACAATAATTACAGACAACACATTATATATATTAATATAATACAAGTACAGTACATAAACTAACATAGCACACTTGTTATTATAAAAAAAAAAAAAACAACACATACCATTATTATACACATGTGTCGTATATAATAATATTATGTGATGTTTGTACATATAACGTGTGCTAAGTTGAAAAATCAGTATGATGCTGATTTTATATATATATATTACTTCCTCTGTCCTAGTTACTGTATTCTCATTTTTATTTCCGTCTGTCTCACTTTAATTACATATTAAATTTTTTAATTTATAATTTTTTAATTTTAATTAAATTAATTGGTTAATCTAATTTTAATTTTAATTTATTTTTATTATACAATAATTATTTTTATTAATATATTTTTAATTATTTATTAATTATACTGATTTTTAAATTTTCGTTGTTACAATAAACGGGACACCAAAAATTTTAAAAATATTATATTTTGAAAAAATTAAAACCCCACAATCCACATCCCATATGAAATATCAAATGGGGAAAAAGCAAAGTTTAAACAGAACAATCACAGTCGTTTTGTTTTTTTCGAAAACCCGTGTAAGGATACGCCATTGGACGGATGAGCTTAATTTCTTGAAATTTATATATGGAAATTACTCCCTCCGTTCCACATATTATCTCTATATTTTTATTTTTATCTGTCCCATATACCATGTCATTTTTTTTTTTTTTGAAAATAATTACATACTTTAATCTCATTTTAAATTTTTTAATTTTATTTTTTTAAATTTTAATTAAACTAATTAGTTATCTTAATCTTAATTTATAATTATTTATATTATAAAATAATTATTTTCACTAATACATTCTTAATTATCTACTAATTACACTCTTCCTCTTAGAATACTGTATCTACCGTATAGCAGACACAGTATACGGGACGGAGAAAGTATTATTTTTCTGTTTATCTAAAACTATATATATATCTTTATTAGTAAAAGGTAATATGAAAGTATTTTTAATTTTTATGTAAATTATAAATACATTGCATTTTCAATAATTAATAAAATATTAAGTAACAGAAAAAATATTATTTTTCTTTTTATAAATTAGTATATATATATATTGACAAATATACATATTGAATAGCCGCGTTTAACTTTCTACTTGTAACATTAATTTAAGCAAATAAGAACAATTAAGAGGTTTTTTTTATATTGATTTGAATTTTTTATTTAAATAATATTTTAAATAATATGTAATAAAAAATAATATATTTTTTAATAAAAAAAACGTATAAGTTAAATAATAGTAATTTAAAATTTTAAAATAATAATTAAATGCACTAAAAACTTGGTGAGGTATTATTATTATTATTACTATATAATATTATAATTATTATTATTATTATTTGTATATTTTTGTAATAATAAATCAAAATTTTCAAATTAAATATGCAATTATTTTAGGAGGGTCAATAAATTAATGAAGCTAACCTGATGGCAGCATTAAAGCCGACGGAGACCATGAAAACCCATCCGAGAACCGTCCCACTGTCCGTACGCATATTATTAATTTACATTATTAATTAAAACAGAATCAGTCCATTTAAAAAATAAAATAAATAAATAGATAAATAGTAGTATCAAATTTTAAAATATGTCCACATGTAACGACTGTATGACGCTGCGCCATCTTGACCTTTAGATTGAAGGTATTATTATCCTTGTTGCTTTTGAAAATGGATCCTTTCAAATTTTACACTAGATTAAAAAATGATATTTTATTTCTCATCTAAATATTTTTTTATTTTTTTAATAAAAAAATAATATTTTTTAACTTTTTTTTATCCTAAAAATAAAATTTTTATTTTTACTTTTTTTTCAAAAAAAAAATGCGTTTCCGATCGAATGAGCATATGTTTTGATAACGGAGAGAATAATATTTTACTATTAATCAATAAAAATGTATAAGATAAGAAATTTTGACATTTTTATCCTTGACTATGTAAAAAATAAGTGTATGCATAATGATATACTTGTAATTTAAATAAAAAAATATTAGTGTATAATTACTTTTATTAAAATAAAAAATAATAATAATACTTTAAAAAAATCGGACGAAAATGATTAAAAAAAATAATAATAAAGTACAGAGGGATATATAAATAACAAGAAGGGGTTAAATTTAGAATTTTACCAGACTGCGAGGGCGTCCAATGCAATTTCAGGATTGGGCAGCAAACCGGCGACGAGGACGATGACCTGAAAATACCAGGTCTCAAGGCAGAGCATCACCGCCGACGCCGCCGACAGCTTCAGAAATTTCCAGAGGCCGGAGAAGGCCCGCCAGCTGAACCCCCGCCATGTGTCCCGGCACCGCTCCGACGTCACGATATACACAAATTGCGCCACCACTATGACCCACCACGAGAAGCTCAGCACCAGCGCCGCCCCCAGCAGGCCCCACCGGAAAACGTACAACGCCACCCACGTGAGCGCCACGTGCGCCACCAGCGTCACCGCCGATATGTAGGCGCTCGGCTTCACGATGCTCTGCGCCTGCAGAAACTTCTGGATCGCGAAATTCGCCGCGTACGCGAAGATCTGCGGAATCAGGCCGTACACAAACATAGCCGCCGACGCCGCCACCTCCTCCGACTGCCCCAGCGCCACCAGGATCGGCTTCGAAAAGATGTAGATCAGCATCATCGGAATCCCCGTCGCCATTAGCAGCACCGTCGACCTCTGCATATAGATTCCGAGCATGTCGTATTTCTGGGCGCCGTACGCCTGCCCGCATAGGGTTTCGACGGCGCTGCCCATCCCAAGCTACAATTAATTAAATTAAATTAATTATTATTAATTTTTAATTTAATTTTTAATTGAATTGAATTACCATGAGGCCGTAGGTCAAGAGCTGGACGCCATTGTTGCCGAGGGAAGAAGCTGCGAGCTCGAGGTTGCCGAGATGGCCGCAGAAGATTTGAGTGGACATGGAAGTGACGTTATTGAGGAGGTAGACGACGATGGCGGGAGCGGCAAGACGGGATAGGTATCGGAATTCGATTCCGGCGGCTTTCTGGAGGCGGCGCCACCGCGGCATGGTTGTGTGGGTGAGTATCTCTTCAAGTTCATCGCTGACCTCCTCGCCCTGCTGCGGCGGCGGCGGCGGCGGCGCTGCGACGATATTTGATGGCTGCTTGTCTGGTTCTAGCAGAGGTTCTTTCATGGCTGCCGCAGTACTGTTCTTCATTGTTACTATTATAGATATATATATTAATAATTGGTGTTACTATTTTCCAGAAACAAAAGTTGTGAGAGATAAGTAAGTGAATTTGTGTTTGGTCTGTGTTCATGCAATGATTGAGTTTTTAAATTAATAAAGAAATTTAATATTTAATTTGATACTTTAATATTATGTCATTTTTTTTATCATTTACTAAATTTATATATATAATTTATAGTAAATAATTTTATCAATTCATAATATTATTATTATATTTAATTAATAATAATTAGATCGTCAGTCACTTTTTTTCACTTACCTTAATATATATTTTTTGATAAATATACTAAGATAGTCATTATTTTTTGTTTCACTTACTTTATTATATATTTTTGTGAGCCCTTTAATGAATTTTTAATAATATTTTAAATTTATTTTTATTTATTTTATTTTTATATTAAAATATTATTATTTTTTAATTTTTGTATTATGTATTCAAACATTGTGGCATAAATAATTGAGACAAAATATAATATTTTATATATAAAAAATTTATTTAATATATTATTTTTCCAAAAAAAATTACCATCAATAAATAATGACATAAGTTGAAAAATATATTTATGTAAATAGATCAAGAAGTTAGGCTTTGTTTTTTCCTTTTTTTTCTTTTTTTTTTCTGCATGTTATTTTTTAAAAAAATTAATATACTATACATATTTTATTATTTTTATATTATTTATATAAATTTTTATATTTCATATAAAAAAACTTTTTTTCAACAATTCCTGTTAGTTCACATGTTGTACCATTTAGGTCCAGTTGATTGTAGATACATGAATTTTAAATAAAATATAATTAATAAATAATTTAAAAATATATTAATAAAAATAATTATAAATTAAAATTAAATTAGCATATTAATTTAATTAAAATTTAAAATATCTCATTATTTTTAAGAGAGAAAAAAATAAAAGTAAAATGAACGATAATGGACAAATAGTAATTTCACAAAAGAATACTAATCTAAGAAGGAAATCTGTAAAACAAATAATAATTAAAAAAAAAATAAAAATGATAAGCGACAAAAGAGGCAGTAATGAGTGATCCAAATGTGTGGCGTAGCAGAGCAGTGTTCAATTTTGACTTGATATTTAGAGTAGTTATTTATTGGTTGGTTCCCTTTATCTGTCACTTCAATTCAATGTCTGAATAATGTCGGATCACGACTTAGGCGTCATTCTTTATTTTATAAAAAAATAATTAAATAGTTTAATTCAAATAAAAAAATATATATATATAAATAATAAATTTTGTAATATGATTAAAGTGTATAATGAAAAAATAACGAATTACGTGGATGGACAAAAATAGAAAATAAAAACATTATGAGGGAGAGAGGACGAAGCCACAAAGTGAACATGTCTCGAGTCAAGGAGCATGTCGGTGGGCACGTCAAGGATGATCAGGAGGATCATATCCTAAGGTAATTGGACAGTCTGACGTTGCCGAGCACTTCAAGGAAGAGCATGTTCTAAGGTAACTGGACATCCCAAGGAGGAGGAGTATGCTCGACGTTGCTGAAAAGGCCAAGAGGGCCGAGCTTTGTTCGTGAGGGAAAAACCACGTTAAGGACGATCATCGGGCGAAAATCGCACAAGCCGCAACAACGGATGTCCCAGACGGTGTGTGGAGATGCGCAACGGAAGTTGGGTCACACATGGATTATGGCAAAAGACCTCGCTGGCTATTGGTGAGCACCAAATGAATGGTATGCAGGAAAAGGTTCGGCGGAGGCATACCGAGGGTGCAAAAAACAACGTTAGTGCACTCAAGTAGCGTCGCACGGGGGTGTTTGTGACTTGAAGTGGGGGAATTTGTCACGGGCTGACATTCCTGCCCCTGGTTCTCAGCCATAGTCCGTTCTATGTGTGCGAGTCCCTGTCCTGTACGGCCGACTAATGACCCATATCTTGGTGCAGGTACGTGTTCCACATGATTCTCTCATACTGCATGGTATACCCCGGGCGTGTTGCGCACAGGGGACGGCTAGTCTGGGCCTCAGCGCTGGCGTGGCCTAGGCGCCGGGCGTGTCAGCTTCCGGATACGTTACATGTGGTATCAGAGCCCGGCAACCGATTCCGAAATTGAAAGAATTATTTGGTTCGAGTTTGGTAAGACTCGAATCGTGGTAAAAGGCTAAACCCTCAACTCTCTAATTTCAGTATATGTTAATCTTGGTGAATCTTGGTGAAATTGTTGTTAGATAATATGTTGAATTTCTTTGTGTTGGTTGGCTATATGTTTCTTGGTGATTTTTAGATTGATATATAGTCTTGGAATTGTTATTTTCTTGTATTTTTTCCTTGGTGATATTTCTTGGGAATTTTTTGTTCCTTTATTATATTCTTGTTGTGTTTCTTGGGTTATGTTGATAGTCTTTTGAATTTTTTGTGCTAGCCAAATTATTGTAGTATATGCATCTTTAATCTTATTTGTGTGTTATATGCATGCTTTAGTTTTTCTTTGTGAGATAGAATATTTCATGTTAGGTGTTAATCAGAAAATGCCTAAAAAGAATGAATAATTGGAGAATAATCAAGAATAGTTAGGTTTGTGGCATTATGTGATTTCTTGGTATTAATGCATGATTCTTGATTTGTATGCTATGTGATTAGTTGTTTGTTATATCATGTTTTGATTGATTGCTTTGTGATTGTGCTCCCGGGGTTTTCTAAGTGGTAGTGTTCGATCAAACTAGGTGCTTAGTTATTTGTTTTCCATCTAGTCGCTTAGTGTTCTTCTAGGGTTAGCTTTGTTACTAGTTGATGTGTGTTCCTCTAAGTTTCGTCCTAGTTGCTTAGTGTTATTCTAGGTAGGATGTCTGAGTGATTGTGTCTCCGGATAGCTGAGTGATAGTGGTCGATCGATCCAGGTTCTTAGGTTGTGCTTAGCCCATAGAGGTGTGTGCCAGAGCCGTAGTGCTTAAAGTTTTCTTTGTGTCTAGAGCTTAGTTTGTTCTCTAGTAGATGTCAAATAAGGTGGAGCTGCTATTATGTGTTTCTATATTTTTTTTGTATTCGGCATGTGTTTGCTTTCCTTTGTGTGTATGCATGTATGTTGCTTGATTGTGTAGTTTTTTGGATGAACTATTTGCTAGGTTGCTATGTGATCTATCTAGATACATGTTAGGATCTATGTGTTCTATGTGTGGTATATTTTGTCTGTATTAACGTTTATTCGTAAATACAGCGAGGGACAAAAGACTATGATGAAAGCCATTGGTGCTAGGTAAGTCTATATCTAGTAAATACGTATTTGGGATTTGGTTAAATCATGACCAGAATAGGTGGAGATTGTTGGGAATTTTGGCCGTTCGAAGCCTAACCCAACAAGTCCCTCGATAAATAATTAGTTGCCCCACTCTGTAACCCGACCCACCGGATCTGTCCAAACCCTTTAACCCAAGTCCACTTACCCAAACCCATCTTACACTAAACACAATTAGTTAAGTTGTTGATTTTGTTATAATTGTAAGTGAGTTGGTTATAGTAAGTTGTGGGTTTGTTATAGGGTTAGTTTTGGGGGTTAAGAGAGGTGATTTTTTAAAAGGGTTTTTTTGGAAGATGTTGGTGGTGAGGAAAAAGATACATCAGAAATCGAGAGTTAGAGCGTTTGGAGCATGGGAGAGAGAGAGAGCTTTCCGGTGAGTTCCGACGAGATTTATGAGTGCCGATTTCGGTGGGCGTCAAGGCTTGGAGTGACGAGCCGACCTCCAACCTTGAGGCTTAATTACCATAGGTCATCGCGCACCATGGGGCTGAGCCGAAAACCACTGTCCCTTTGCTAGGTGTGATGATCGGAGGAAAGATCGGGTGAAAGAAGGAATCGCCGGACCTATTCGTCGTCGTTCGCTGGAGAAGACTGGAGGAGCAGTCGTTGGTCGGAGCCGCCGTTATTCGGTCCATCAGAAGCGCGGGTCTGTTCCGGTGAAGATTGTGTCGCCGCTGTTGTCCTGCTGCATGGAGTCGTCGATGCTGAACCGGACCGAGTCGTCATAGTCCAAGCCGTTCCTAGTCTACCGGTGGAGTTATCGGCGGAATAGAATTTGGAATTGTTGTCGGTGGCTTCAATTTCGTCTCGCGGATGAATTTCAGAAATAAAATTGGGAAGTTTGCTTTGTTTTCTTTAATTCATTCAAGGCACTGTTTGTTTGTGTTACTTTGATTTCCATCTAGATTTATAGCCTTAGCATTAGCGTTAATTCATTTCGATTTTGGTAAAGTTTAATTTGAGTTTTATTCGAATTTTGCTTCCGCTAATTCATTGTCGTATTGTATACAAGGTTTGTTCAATAAACCCAAAAGATCCGGGAATAAATTCACAGCAGTCGTATTGTATAAAGTTCACTTAACTCTATCCCTAGCAAGTTGATTTTGATGTTGATGTTACCTCATTAGCTTATAATGTGTTTGAATCATTAGATGGTAATGAACCAAAGTCATATAGTGAGACTATGAAATCAAAACATAAAAATGAGTGGATTAGTGGTATGAATGAAAAAATGAAATCATTAAAGGATAATAATACTTGGATTTTGGTGCCAAAGTTAGCCAATAGTTTTGTTGTTGATTGTAAATGGCTTTACAAAGTAAAACAAGATGAAAATAGAGTTAGATTTAAAGCAAGATTAGTTGTTAAGGGGTTTACTAAAAAAGAAAGAATAGATTACAATGAAATTTTTGCTCATGTTGTTAAATATTCTACTATAAGGTTCATGCTTGCTTTAGTTGCCTACTTTAATTGAGAATTGAAACAATTAGATGTAAAAACTGCATTTTTACATGGTGATTTGTATGAAAGAATTTACATGAAACAGCCGAAAGGCTTCTTTGATAAAAATAATCCCAATCATGTGTGTCTTTTAAAGAAATCCCTTTATGGACTAAAACAGTCCCCTAGGCAATGGAATATAAAATTTGATGAATGCATGAAATCTTTGGAATTTAATAGAAGCAATTTTGACCATTGTTTGTATTTTAAAATAGCATGTAAGTATCCTATATTCTTGCTGTTACATGTTGATGATATGTTGATTATGAGTCCTAGTTTGGAAACTATTAATCATGTGAAGGACTGTTTAAGCAAGAAACTTGATATGAAATACTTAGGGGATGCGAAAGTAATTTTTGGCATGAATATACTTAGGAATAGAAAAAATAATATGTTGTTTTTAAATCAGTCTTCATACATTAAGAAAGTTTTGAACAGATTTTGCATAACTGATGCTAAGCCCTCTTTTGTCCCCCTTGCTTCTAATTTCATTTTATCTAAAGATCAATGCCCAAAATCTGAAAATGATGTGAAATACATGATGAATGTTCCTTGTACTAGTGCTGTAGGTTCTATTATGTACTTGATGGTGTGCACTAGGCCTGATTTATTCTATTAGTTGTTTGAGTAGATATGTGGCTAATCCTGGTGTAGAACATTGAAATGCTTTAAAATGTGTGTTTAAATATTTGGTTGATACTATTGATATTGGTTTAGTATTTGGTAAACACATTTGTAAGATAAAACTAAATGGCTATGTGGATTCCAATTATGCGAATGATAGAGATTCTAGAAATTCAACTACATTATATATCTTTTTTTTTTGTGGTTCTTGTGTTAGTTGGAAATCCCAACTGCAGCATATAGTTGCTCTTTCTACGACATAATCTAAATATGTGGTCATAACTGAAACTTTAAATGAAGGTATGTGGTTAAAAGGTTTGTTAAATGAATAGACTACTTGAAAAATGAAGTAATAATTTTTTCAGATAGTCAATCCGGAATCCAGCTTTGTAAAAATCCAGTTTTTCATGACCGAACCAAACATATAGATGTTAGGTTTCATTTTATTCGTGATATAGTGTCTAAGGGTTTTTTAAAACTAGAAAAAATACCTTATGAATATAATCCTGCGGACATGGGAACTAAAGTTTTGTCAATAACAAAATTCAATTTGTGTAAGAAAACAGTGTATATAGATACTTTTGATTAGGAGAATCTTTGAAACTCAAAAACTTGTATCTTTTGTTTAATCATTCTGTTTTCTGCTTGTTGTATCTGTTTATGTAGCTATTTTTGTGGTTGTTTGTTTAGTTGTTAAAATTTGTGAATATTAACCGTAATAATAAGTCCGCAGGTTAAAAGACTGAAGTCGTTGGAGCTCGGACAGTGATGACACCCACATCTTAAAGCACATTCTTCATGCCCAAAAAATGTGGAGATTTGTGGAGTTTTGGGTCAATGAAAAAGAGACCCAATACAAATACAACCGACCCGCCCATTTGAAGCTCGGATCCGCAATCCACTGCCTGACCCAATCTCTGTGAGACCCGTCGGTTTATGGGTCTGAACCGGTTTGGACCGCTGAACCGGTCTGGTCTGTTCTGCTTTTTATATATTGTTGATCCCTTTGAACCGGGTTCAATTCATTCATTGAGATACAGAACAGACAAGAACAGATCACGATTCCTCTCTTCCAGCCCTAGGCGATTCCTTCAACGTCGCCTCCGTTCTTCGGCGATTTTGTCCGGCGAGTTGGGAAACTCTCCCTCTCCTTCGACGTGCACCTTCTCCTTTGGTGTTTCTACAGTTTGATTTAATCGATTTGTGTCTGTATTCTTGTCTCGCGATGTATATGTTGTTCGCAGTGTAATAGGCTTGAAATCGTTGTGTTTCCGTAGATTATGGTTCGAGTTTGTGTGTTAGTTGCGATTCCGTGGCGAGTCTTTGTGGTTTGGGTCTTGGATGTATATTCGATGTCGATTTGTTGATATGTGAGTAAAACTGAGTCCGAGTAGATGGCTTCCGTTAATAATAAAAGTTTCTTTAAGTTTTTCGTTAGATTCGGGATATTCTTATGTGAATATATATTGTTGATTTTGGATTAGTAATAACAAAAACAATACTATTTTATTGATCAGTGAAAGTATATAAGAGGTTTTGACATTTTTGTTATTTTGATTTTACGTAAAAAGTAATTGTACGTGAATAATATATTTATAATTTAAATAAAAGTTAAAAGTATTTTGATTTTAGTATATAATTATTTTTATTAAAAAATAAAATGAATGCTTTTGAATAGAATGAATGAAAATAGTAAACAAATATTTTGAATCGGAACATATGAAGTAGTTGAATTAATATATATATTGAGTAGATAGAATATTTATTGTGTAAATTTGTATATATATATATATATTTTAGAACTCATCTTCTTCGCATTTATGAATAATTTTTAGTATCATCTTATTTTATTGGTGATTTTTTACGAATTATTTTGATTTATTTTTAGAAAAAATTATTTAGAATTATCCTCTCTGTATATTCAATTTGCTCATATACTTCGTACTCAATTCTCACATATTAAAGTCCTGTATACTAATAATATTTGTAATTATAATGAATTGTCCTTTTTAGAGTTTCTTTGTAATAGTATACTATTGTCCAACATTTTTATCTTTATATGTTTCAACAAAATATGAGGACAAAACGCAAATATCGTTACATTCTTGATATTGTTTGTATTATTCTTTTCTCTATTAATTGTCTTAATCACTTTTGAGGGATGAACTTTTCCTGCTATTTACACTATTAATAGATTACCATTATATGTTTTTCATTATATCAGTCTCTTCAAACGATTATATAGTCGGTTCCTTAATTACAGTATATTATACGTGAGCAGACAAAACTACAACCTAAAATTTGTTAATGTTGTTTTTTAGAATATGGGGGTAAAACACAAAATATTTTAAGCGTTGGGATCCTATCATAATATCTATATTAGGTTATGTATCGCACATTATGTCAAGTTTTTTGAACACACTATTTTTTTTTCATTATCCAAATTTATCGTATTGTTTAGGATGTGTTTGTTTGGGGTTTGAATTTTGAATTGAGATTTGAATAATAAAAATTTTGAATTGTAATAGTTGTATGATGTGATATAAATAAGTGTTAGAAGTGATATTTTGAATGTAAATTTATAATATAAAAAATAAAAAATAAGAGTTTGATTTGATATTTTTGGGGAAAAAAAATTGATGAATAGTAGAATTTTATATTAGTCTTTTGTTCCTATGTTATTTGCATAACAAGATAAAAATAGATATTTATCATACTCCCTCCGTCCCGTTTCATTGAAAGGTTGTCATTTTCTATTTTCGTTCGTCCCAAAACAAAGTTATCATTCCCTAATTTAGTAATTGTACTATTTACCTAACATAATAAATACCCTTCCAACTTACAATATATTACACAAATACCATGACTTTTATATTACATTATACTAATAGGGATATTTTTGTCTTTTCTACTACAATCTAATATTAATACTAATATTTAAAAATCTACGTGCAAAAAGCAAACGCTACTCTTTCACCGGGACCGGGACGGAGGGAGTACTCTCTTTTGAAAATAGTAATACTCCCTCCATCCCATAACAAAGTATCCATTTTTCTATTTTAGTCCGTCCTATAACAAAATATCAATTTCCTTTTTTAAGTAATCATACTATCTACCTAACATTACAAATACTCTTACAACTTACAATATATTACACAAATGTCATTACCTTTGTATCACACATACTAACAAGGTTATTTTAGTCGTTTATATTTTATTTCTACTATATTCCAATATAATACTAATATTTCTAAAACTACGTCCAAAAAGCAAATGAATATTTTTTTTTGGGCAGAAGGAGTATTATGATAATGTAAAAATAATCATTAATATATTTAACCAGGGTTTTACTTGGAAAATATTGCATTAAATGGGTTTTTGAAAAAAATGTTATATTAAGGGTGTGTTTGTTTGGGGGTTTGGATTTTGGATTGGGATTTGAATAGTAAAAATTTTGAATTTGAATAGTTGTATGATGTGATATAAATAGGTATTGATGTGATGTTTTGAATGTAAAATTGATTTTTAGTATAATATAAAAAATAAAAAATAGGTGTTTGATTTGATGTTTTTGGGGGAAAAAATAGGATGAATAGTGGAAATCCAAATAAATCCCTCAAACAAACACACCCTAAATATACAAGTTTTTTTGGTCCACTTAAGGGTGTGTTTGTTCCGAAATTGAATTTTAAATATACTATTCGTCCCATTTTTTTTTCCCAAAAACATCAAATCAAACACTTATTTTTCATTTTTTACATTATACTAAAAAATCAATTTTACATTCAAAATATCACATCAATACCTATTTATATATTTATATCATACAACTATTCAAATTCAAAATATTTACTATTCAAATCCCAACTCAAAATCCAAACCCCCAAACAAACACTAGAATTTATTTATGTTTTTTTTTTTCACAAAAAATAAATATATTTATAAGAAATAGCTCTTATATTCTTTAATTTTTACTTATTCAATATTACATTGATTTATACAAATACTACAACTACTACTACACACACAATCTATTGCAGAAGAAGTATTTTCTATTTTTTCAAAACTATTCTAAAATACATTTTAGTAAACTCTATGGCACTATTTAGTGTAATTTTTATTATTTTTTTTAAAAAAATTACCGTATATCATTCATTATAAAAATATATATTGTTTTCTCTTGTAAAATATCAAATAACTATTAAAAAAAAACCAAAATCTAAAAAAAGATAACCAAGCAAACACATTCAGTGCCTGTTCTAAGTCTAATTTTGGTTGCGTATTATTCGTTATTTTTTCTCTTCGAAACTATCAAATTAAACATATTAATTCACTTTCACAGAACATGGCATTATTCTCAATCAAGATATATTATTCATCTCGCAAAATATTTAAAAAATACTAATAAAAATAAATGTTCTAATAAAACAAACCAACTCCTATCAAATGATATTTCTTTTGTCATTTCTCTTCCATTCAAACTATCTATGGGTAAATCAAGGGTACTTACAGTTGGTCTCCTCAGTGCAGCTACCACCACCACCAGCCACTATGTTCCGGCCAACTCGAATACCATCTCCGATCACCACCGGCCTTCGACTGATTTTTAAAGGAAAAAAAGAACTAAAATCAGTACCAAATAATCTTCTCCTTCTAAACTAGCCAAAAATTCTTGTTAGTAAGTCCAACTACAGCTCCCTCTAAGCATGTTTACTGTAAATAATTAAAATGGTAAAAATACACATACTACCCATGAGTATAGCCGATGAGAAAATCAATTCCAGGACAAAATTATCAAGCAATTCAGTAAATTTAGAATTGTAACATCATCTAACAAAATGAAGACTGCACTTTAACTTAAACAAGTCGAATCGCAGGCAGACAATATATTGTAACATATTGGGCAGTAGAAGTGCACATTTCTTGATTGACTCCAAATACCACACACATTTCTGCTCACCGAGCATCGATCTATTCACTAGTATTTTGTTGGCAGTGTTATGGCATATTATGCAACAATTAAAATATGATAGCCAAGAGTCTGCTTCAATGGCAAAAACAGCTATGCCTAGTTTTCTACATTTCCCACATTTAGTTACTTCATTGAGTATCGTTTCCTGACTAAAAAGACAACCGCCAACATTGTTCAAGAGGGTTTCATTCTGTTTTGTGCTACTGTTCGAAACTGAGGACGACTAATTAGATAGACTATACCATGATGTAAATGAATTTCAGTAGATTGATTCCGTGTTTTTTTTGCCATAAAGGATGAAGTTCACGCTAATATCATCAGAAAGAAACCACAGTCCTTTCAGGGGATCGTAGACAAAGCCAGCCATCTCTTGGACCTGGAAAGTATAATAAAAGCATAAGTTATAATATCTCCAATGGCCGGATGGGATAGCTAATTGCAAGATGTAGCAAGGATTTATTTCTGACTTACAGAAATAGAAGCACGCTGAAGAATAAGGACTAGTTCCTCAGGTGTGAGAAAGCTTGACCATTCATGTGTGCCTTTTGGGAGCTGAAAGTTTTTAGTGTCAAGAAAGTTCAAAAAATTATGCTGTGTCATTAGATTTGTATTTTATTAAAATTTCAAAAACTACCAAATAACAAGAAAACTTCCAAGTCATTCATTCATGTAACACAAGATTTTATTAACATGCACGTAACATGTATGAATTAATTTTCAAACTACTAGCAAGACACGATTTATTGTGAAGTAAATCTGTAAGCAGTAATGTCATAATGGGGTGAGTTAAGAAATTGTTAAAGTGGATATAACTATGTCTTTCTATAGGATTTATCTAAGTTAAGTAATAGGTCACACTTTTTAAGAAACTTCGAGGAAGGCATGGAAATATTGTCTGGTTGAACTAGAAAAAGTTATGGATGAGTACAAAGCACATCAAGATCAGGAATTCCTTGGAAGATCAAAGAAATGACAGCAAATAATTAAATAAATAAATAGAAACAGAAAAATAAATGTTGTCCGAAGACAGAGATCACAAACAAACAAGTTTTAATCAAGACATGCCCACATATACTCAATCAATATAGTAAAGTAAGCCTACCCAATTTAAGACATATTCTGCAATGACAATGGCAGTCGCATATGCTTTCATGGAGCGATTAATTGTTGAGATTAAAACAGCTCCACCACTGCTGGTCAATGCTGACAAGGATTTGCAGAACTCAGCTGGATTAGACACATGCTCGATTACCTAAGGAAAATGCAAAGTTTCAAATTTAACCAGCAATTAGCAAAAAAAAAAAAGAAAGGAACATGATTTAAGTTGAATACGTCGCTCATCACATAACCTATTAGCCATGAGGGCACTCGGTTGAAACATTATAATTAAGCAATTAGAATAGACTCGTTAAATATTAAATTTTAGGTATTCACATGCAAAAACTTGTCATTTAAATAAAAACTAGCATACCTCTAGTGCAATTACAGCATCAAATTTCTTTTGTTCCTCCACCAATTTTTCTGCTCATCAGGGGAAAGTTAGATCAGTTTACAAACAAATGCTCAGGCTTTCTAAGTAAATGGTCTCCGTAATGCAGCTACAGATACATAGATTAATAATCAGCTAGAAATCATAACAAGAGAACATTCGAAAATAAACAATGAAATAACAACAGCACATCAATATACACCATGCCATCAAACAATAACAACTTAACAGATGAAATGACAGGTATCTGGAAAACAAATTTATTAAGCATCAATCTACACAGTCCAACACTCCGACCCTAAAAACAAAATGGGAAACTAAAAGAAACATACATGTATATGAATTGCGATAAAAGGATGCAGGCTAAAGGCAGCAGATTCCATTTTAGGAAAACAAAAATAAACAAAAAGAATGCATGAACAAGGGCAACAAATGACAAAATATCGAAGACAAGAAATTAACACATGCAGGTTGAGCTTTAACTTAAGTGCATAGAATAAAATAAATTGCGGTAAATACAATGAATAATTTTGACCTGATTACAGCATGAGTTCTAACAAATTATAACGAGTGGTGAAATAAGGAATATACAGATTAGAAAGTAAAATAAGTAATAAAATCAATCAATAGGCAACAAATAAGAATTATATTTATACCAGCTGTTGTGCAACAATAATTGATTGATGAAGTTACTGGATCCATATTCTGCGAAAGATGAAACAATCACTGCTACAAACGGAAAATAGTAAAACACTCAAACAAATGAACCTCCACAATAGTGGGTCTCAAGTAGGAGCATGAGAATGAATCTTCAGAAAGAAAATCAAGAAAATGAGAAGTTTGTTTATGTTCCCCCTAACCCAAAAACTACTACACCAAATTCCTTTTCCCAGTTAAATGGGATGCAAATTCTCTCTATCTAACATAAAACTTTTTAACTAATTAGTTATTACTCATATGGCAATAAGTTCAAAAATGTACCATATGTCACTGATGTAATTAAAACAAATGCATTATAACATACAAAGAGTGTCATGTCTTCATTTTATGTGCTTGAGGGCAAATTGGATCCTACTTTTATCCATCTGCAGTTAGACATACCGCATGAAGCTGTGCAATCTTGATATTCTTTTCCACAGCATCAATGCCCATAACTGTAGCACCCATACGAGCCAAAGGCTGAAGTAACCCCAGAAAAATGAAGATCAGAGACAAGAATTAAATATGTAAAAGTTATACCAGATAACTCCTACAATAATAAAATGAAGATCAAAGTATAAAATCTCTTAACATCATAATTATGCCAAGTTCAAGTATCAACAAAAGACAACGGTGCAAACCTCAGATAATATGCCTCCTCCACAGCCTACATCCACAAATTTCAAACCTTCAAATGGCCTGGCACAATGTGGATCCTTTCTGAAACACATAACATTCATCCATGTGTATAAGAATACAGCGTAGAAATATAGATACTTGACACCTCTTCGCATCTACTCTGAAAATACTTACGTAGAAGTAGGTTTAATAAAGGTGGGTAGAAAAATTGACTATGGTAACAAAATTTAGCAATATTTAACATTACTGCTTCTTTAGGCAGCTCAAGGATATATAAAATTACTGAAGCTCCACTTAGAGACAATTTGCTTATTATAAATGATCCCTTCATTCAAAATGAAGCTTGAAGCATCTATCCTGGAGCGAATGGATCAATTAACTAAGTTAATCAGTTTATTAGAATAGTAGAATCATGCCATACTTTTCTAGAAATCAGTCGGTTAGTGAATAACATGTTCTGTAAGCCCTAACGTTACTCAAAAGCTTCTCTCAGCTTTGGGCTCCCAAGATTCAACTTGAAATTATTACTACGAGGTTCCCAAGTTGAAGCTAGTTAGCAAAATTAGTGATTTCTTCGCTAGAATGAAGTCATGAACAAAATTTCATCCGTTTTCCAAACTGGCAGAACATTCCAATCCCACTCATAAATAAAATTTCTAAAACACTACAAAAATTACCCAAAATGCCGGCACAAAGTGGACCTAATAAAAGCCAGACGCGTCGGATTCATCGCATGCAACGGCTTAAACGGCCCTTCCGCATCCCACCTTACAAAAATTCAAATGCCAAGAGTTAAAAATAATCAAAATCAACAATAATATTACAATAGTTCAGGACAAAAGTTCAAAATAATAAGAACTGTAAAAAAAAAATGTACCAGGTCTCGGCGATGGCGGCGAATTTTCTTAGCTCGAGTTCATTCAGCGAGGTATTTGGACCCAAATTGGATGGTGGCGGAGATGGGGCAGCAGGCGGAGGTGGTGGTGGTGAGTGAGAAACATCTGAGAATCGACTTTGGGTTTGGAGTTGTTGCAGAGAATTGGTACAGGTAGCAGGGTGGGCGATGATTCGGAGTCGGTTTATGAGATGCCTAGAAATCATGATCGGAAGCAGTCGAAGTAGTCAGACTGAACAGTTCTAATTTCTAAAGAAGAAGGCTATGAACGCTCCTTTGTGGGCCGGGCTTACTCCAAAGGCACTCTAACTTTTAGGGACCGGAAAGGAATTTGATTTTATATAATTTTGGTAAGCTGTTTTTTAGTCTCCTAATTGGACTTCTGTACGTATTATTTTAGTCCCGTAATTGAAGTATGCCGCAAACTATAGTCTCGTAAGTGAAAAATTTTCAATGTTTTAGTCCTCCGGCGCTGGAAATGCCCGCATAGTTCGGCGAAAGCCACAAAAATGGTTGGCGTCATTGAAATTTAACAAATATGAATAGAGAAAGTTACGGGGTGGGTAAATAAATACTTGTCATCCAAATTTATTCTCACTTTTTTTTAAGTATCATTCAATTTTATTCCCCTTTTTTTTAAATAAAAAAATACTTACTTTTTTTTTATTTTTTTTATCCAAAAAAATAAATATTTCTATTTTTACCTATTTTTTAAAAAACTCAAAGTAAATAATAACAGTAAGAAAGGACAATGGCCTTTTTTGTCTTCTTCTTTATGTTCTTTGGTAGAACAAGGAAAGCGTAGAATATCTCTAGTGCTTCTATGTATGTATGTATTTTAAATTTTGATATATTTAAAATGAAATACTTGGTAGACAAAATATTTTTATATTAAAAAAAATATTGAATATATTTATAGGGTAAATTCGAGAGATTGTTTACAAATATAGTTTGTGAAGTTGTGATTTGAATTTTGTTTAAACATTATTTTTATTTAATGTATTGTAAAATAAAATAATTTTATATATGTACCATATTGTTTTTAGTGTACAATAAATTTTTTTATTTAATATCCCACCACAATGATCTATTTTATTTTTTCCGTTTTATAACAAATAACTTATTTTTTTTAATTATCTTTTATAAATTTATTGATTTCAAATATAATTAATAAATTTAAATTAATTAATTAATTATATTTTTAACATTTTACAAGTTTAAAATTTTTTCATTTCTATCTATTTTTAATAAATAAATATTATATATATTTAAAACTCCTTTTTTTTTATTTATTTGTATCATATACTATTTTATTATTTAAAGAATAATATATATATTATACATATTTTATTGAGATATAATGTTAAAAATATTTAAACACATATTAAATTTCTTTTAATTATATATATAAATTCATATTTTTAAAATACCAACAATACTAATAATATAAAAAATAATGAAATAATATTACCTCTGTCCCGCGACAAAAGTATTATTTATTTTTTTCACATAAATTTTTTAATATTAATATTATATTAGTTTGTAATAAAAAAATAATAATAATAAATTAGATAAGTAATACAATTATTAAATTATAAAATGATACACAAGTATTTAATTTATTATTGTAATTTACTATTGTTTAAATAACTGTGCTCAGATCAAATGAGTCATAACTATATTTTTTAATTTGATCATTTTAAAAGACGTTTAATAGTACGAAATTAAATCCAACCGCAGTCAAATTTCATGGTACCAATTTATCTTGTTACCTAGCTGCTGTAAATTTTATTCATTGTTCCCAGCATTGTACGACAGACAAACGCCAAATATATATTCCTTTAGTCTTACTCCTATCGTCTTTTAACGATTTTTTTTTTTCGTCCGTCTCATAAAAAAAAATATATTTTTTTTAATAAATGGACTATCTATCTAACGTTACAAATACCCTTCCAATTTACAATATATTATACAAATGTCATTACTTTTATATCATATAATACTAACAAAGACAATTTAGTTTTTTTACATTTACGTTTACTATATTCCAATATAATACTAATATTTTCAAAACTTCGTGTAAAAAGTAAATGAATATATATGAGACCGAGGGAGTATAAAATTGGCAGTTTTTATTTTAATACTCATGTTCCACATAATTTGTTTTATTTTTTATTTTTATTTATTTTATATTATTTTTATTTTTAATAAACTTATTAAATTTAAATATATTTAAAATTTAACACTCTTTTATTTTTTATTTTTTAATAAATAAATATTTGTATCTATATTTAATTTTTTTTATATAAAATTAATTTATATTAATTTAAATAAATATATATACTTTTAACTATTTGTATAATATAAAATTTTATTTCATACAAAATACTCCTTTCGTCCCACGTAACGTGTCTGCTACACTGTAGAGACGGTATTTTAGGAGGGATATAATTAGTAGATAATTAAAAATGTATTCGTGAAAATAATTATTCTATAATATAAATAATTATAAATTAATATTAAGATAATTAATTTAATTAAATTTAAAATGAGATTAAAGTGTGTAATTATTTGCCGAAAAGAAGAATGACATGAAATATAGGACAGATAAAAACAGGAACGTTGACATGATATATGAGACGAATGAAATAATATTTTTATGGTATACATTTTATTGAAGTACAATATTTAAAATATTTAAATATAATATATTAAATTTATTTAAAAACTACTAATATAATTGATTATATAAAAAAATAATATGATAAATAATGAATCACTAATGAAAAAGGTGAATTCTTTATTGACTAAGAATTATATTTCTTCTATCTTAAATAAATTGTTTAGATTACCGGAGATATAATAATTTAAATAAAATATAATTAATAATTAATTAAAAAATGTATTTATAAAAATAAGAAATTATAAATTTAAATTTAAATATTTAAATAATTTAAATAATTTTTTTTTTAAAAAAAAAATAGCACATACCATAGAAGTGGGGTTAAATTTGGAAAGATTTTGAATTTAGTAGGCATTAAGTGAAGTAGGACCCATTGCCTGCTTCATTATAAGTGTCCTTTGAATCAGTTCAGGTGTCTTGTTTAATCACAAACCCCAATCCATGCACTATTTATTTATTTATTATTAAATCCCTTTTATTTCCAGTAATTAGTCACTCATGATATGATATATTCTTCCTAGAAGGGCAATGGGGCGGGTTCGGGACGGGTTCTGCAGGCCCCGAGATCCGCGCCGTTAGAAAATATTAGATACCGAGACCCGCCTCGCCCCGTTTTCACTCGGCCTCAGGTCCCGCCCCAAACCCTTCGGGTTCGAGGCCAATTCGACAAATCCGTTTTTTTTAAATATATACTAATAAATATTTTTTTTAACAATCGAATACTAAAACAAATAGTATTAAAAGCAAAAAAAAATCTAAAAACAATCAAATATTGATCCATAAAAATAAAATAAATAAATAAATAATATATTTTTATTATATAAATATACATATATTAGGTATAATAATTTTAAAAAATTATTTGGAATAGACGAGTAATTTAATTTTATATTTAAAATTATTTAAGTAAATAAATAATATATTTTATTATATAAATGTACATATACATTAGTTATAATATTTTTAAAAAATATCCGGGTTCCGGTCCGGATCCGGATTGGGGCGAATTTTTAGTAAAACCCGTAATCCGCCCCGAAGCTGGCCGGGTTTAAAATTTTAAATTCACAACATGCCCCGAAACATATTATTTAGACCCGAACTCGCCCCATTAAGAACGGATCCGGGGCAAATCCGGGGCTAACCCGCCCCATAGGACATCCCTAAAATTTCTTCCCACGAAAAACAAAAAAGAAATTGTTCCTATGTTAAACAGTCATTTGATTTTGAAATTTTGTACCACAAAGTGTAGGTTTTTATTTATTTCGTACTATTTATTTTTTAAAAAATATTATATTAAATACATTTTTTTTCTATAAATATTAAATTAAATATTAATTATTTATTTATTATTATTTTTTTAAATTTTTAAATTTTCAAAAATTTCTAAAAATTCCTATCTAAACAAAGCCGTAGTTAGTGGGTTTCAGACATTCTATTGTAGAGAGAGGCAAATTTTAGTTTTTTTTGTTTATATAATAAAATTTGGAATTTTGGTAATATTTTTTCCTATATATTTTATAAAATATAGATTAATAGTAAAATATTTTTGGTTTTTACTTAATATATCATTTATTTTATATTTTACAAATGAACAAAATTTGTGCTAATTCCTTTTGTATTTTACAAAGAAATTAAACACAAATCTAAATGACAGAGATAGTACATAAAATTTAAATATTTTCACTTATTAATAAAATATTATTACTTTTTTATATTTATTATAAAATTTCAAAAAACCCCTTCAATTACAATAGAGGAAGTATATTTTTCCTTCAACAAAATATCACAGCAAGTATTAATTTTTAAAATTTTAAAAATTTTAAACCCTCAAAACTCTTTTATTTAAACAAAAGCATTAAGTCTTGACTCTAACAGGGATCATTTGTTGGCATCAGATACTGTAACTAAATACTATCCACTATTGGGACAGACAGAAACGACAATATGGACATAGTATATGAGACGAAGGGAGTAAAATTTAAATCATTTCAAATTAATTTAATAAATTACTACCAAACAAACCCTAATGTAAGGAAGGAATTCAACAATGAGTACCCTTGAAGTTAAATTAAAATACAAACACAAACACAAATCAAATCAAATCAAATCAAATCAATCTTTTTTTTTTTTTTTTATTATTATTATTTTTAATAGAATATAATTACAATAGTAACACTACAGAAGTGTGTGATAAAAAAATCAAATAAACCATAGCAGCAGCAATGTCGACCCAAGTCGAGGACTTTAACGTAACTTCAGATGTCTCCAAACCGGACATAACATTCCCACAAACGCCGACCCCAACATCGACGCCGTCCGCCGCCGCCGCCGGGCTCAGGCACAGCCCTTCATTACCACTCAGGTCCAAATTCCTGCCCAGCCTTTTAAAAAAACTCGAATTGAAAGGGACAGCACCATCCAGGGAGTTCCTGCTCAAATTCAGGTGAAAAATCAGCGACAGGCTGGCAAATCCGGCCGGAATCCCGCCGGAAAGTCGATTATTCTGCAGCGACAGTGTGCTTAAATTCTTCAGTTCTGAATACGCCGGAGGAATCGTTCCAGAGTAGCCGGAATTCGAAAGCCTGATTTCTTGCAGCCTCTTCAGCTGCCCTAAAACCTCAGGTAAAGACACAAACATCGGATTGTCGTCCATGATGAAGTACTGCAAGTTCTTCAATCCCGACAGCCCGCCGGGGAATTCGCCGCTGAATTTGTTGTTGCTCAAAGCCAAGAAGGCCAAAGAATTCAGGTGCTGAAAGGTCGCCGGAATTCTTCCGGTGAGGTAATTGGAGCTGAGATCGATCTTCTGGAGCAATTCCAGCCGTCCGATGGAAGAAGGGATGGGACCAACGAGGTTGTTGTAGCTTAAATCCAGGCCGACAAGGCTGACGAGGTTTCCAACCTCGAATGGGATCGAACCCGTCAGGAGATTATAGCTCAAATCAAGATGCACAAGCGAGGTGAGGCTGAAAACCCCGACAGGGACTGAACCTGTCAAGCTGTTTTGCGACAAGGTAACAATTTGAAGGGCTTTCATGGCGGAAATCCGAGGAGGGATTTCTCCAATTAGGGCAGGATTCGCCCTAAGACTAAGCTGCTGGAGAGGGGAATTAAATTGGGGGTTTTCCAAGGGCACTGAAATTCTTGTCGGGGAATGATTGAAGCACTGGGAAATGAAAATCGATTCGAGGTTTGGGAGCTGGAAAATCTCAGGAGGGAAAGTGGCTGAGTTCTTGCACGATGGGTTGGGTGGGGTGCCTAAATCGAGCCTGTAGACATGGAAATGGCTGCTGCCCCCGATAATTCCAGTAGGACTGTTCTTGCACTGAATTCCAGGCCAGGATGAGCCAGGCAGACAAGGGTTTGGGTACGAGGTTCTCCAGTTCTGGTCCGAGGAAAGGGCTTCCATTACCCTGAACAAGGTTTCCAATTCTTGAGGATCCATGGCGGGGCTCACTGCAAGAGAGTGTTGAAGGGAGAAGGACATTGTTGAAATCAGGAGAAATTGGATCAGTGAGGATGGGGAAGAAGAGAGTACCATTTCGAACCCTAGAAATGTTTTGAGGTTTGAGGTGTGGTGGAGCAAGTTTGGATTGATCTTGTGTTTTTAATTAAGGATTCATGTCATGGAGTAATATGAAGAAAGAAATGAAATGAAATAATAATATGAAATGAGATGGGAAGTAGAAGTACAAGTAGAGACAAAGATTTGATTGATATGATGGGTGAAGGGTAAAGACTTAAAAGAGAAGAGAAAAAGAGGAAAGAGTTGTGATGAAAGGGGGCATGCATGTTTCATATGATCAGACTGTCAATGGCAATGGAAACATTAATCAATATAGTAGTAAATGACCTGATATATATATATATGTATATAATGACGAAATATCAACAAATTTACACCAAATTTTTACTTCAAAAATATCATATCAAATATCAAATTTTTATTTTCTATATTATATTATAAATCAATTTTACATTTCAAAAATCACATCAATACTTATTTATATCATATCATATAACTATTCAAATTCAAATTTTTTACTATTCAAATCTCAATTTCAATCTCAATTTATTTATTTATTTATTTTTAAACTGCGGAGAACTGCGGTGGATACTCTCTAAGTAATTTGTGGATAAATTTTCGATCGAATTTAGTAACTTGTAAACTATTTTTACACTAGACAATTTTTAGTTTGGATGGATTTTGGTTTGATTTTGTGTTTTGAAAGGTTTTTTGAAATTGATGTTTTTTTTAAAAAAAAAAAATAAACAATAAAATAATAAGATGAATGAGAGTTAGTTTGGATATGAATTTTAGAAGTATGTTATGTATTTGATTAAAGAAAGTGTTTTGAAAATATATATTCAGTATGTTTGTAATAAGATGGTTCGTAGCTGATATAGAATAGGTATGCTGAGCCTAAGCATAATTAATCATATTAGTCCATACAAACTAAGAAGTATTTACCTATTAATTTTCAAATTTAAGTATCCAAATCCACATATAAATTTTCTCTCAACAAATTAACTATTCACATATGATTATGCACAAAGCCGACTCTGGTCTCGGGCGAAAGGGACAATATAAATCGTGTCTGTTATATATTTATGTTATATATGGATATATATATAATTTATTTGATGTGTGTAAATATTAAAAAAGTATAACTTTGTAATTGTGGTGGTGAATATGTAATGATGAGATTTTGAGTTTTATATTTTATTATAGATACAAAAAAATATTATTTATATATAATTAAGGGCTTTACTTTTATTCTGCTCTGAACTTTTCGAAAGTTAGATCAACCATGATCATGGAAATATAAATAAAAATACGACAAATGAATAAAAATATTGATTAATTACTCTTAAATTGATTCTTAATTAAAAGAACATAATCGATGACTTTAGAAACAAAAATAAATTCCACTTTCATTTTCGACGAGAACTTCATGAACAGGATTATAGATTAACGTGAAGTTCTCCGAATGAACTTGATGATTAGTCACACCTCTTTAGTTCCTAAGACTATTACAAATTGGATGTGAATTTGCCTATTATTTCTATGACAATTGAGGGACCTTATATAATCCCCACCCTCTATCTAAAATGTTTTTAATTTATTTCTATCTAAAATCATATCGATCTTGTAAGTTTGGAATGAAATCAAATTGACTCGTGAAAGCCTATTTGGTGGATCTGAAAATAATTGATAAATATAATTCTTCTCGATTTAGAAGGGTGTTCATTGAAAAAAAGATCTTGATTTTATACTCACTAGAGATGACATGAGTTCCCTTTGCAATTCAATTGGTTGTTTCTTTTAATAGGGAGCGATGACGATTGGAACTCACTAAGGGTTCGATTTATTCATCTATATCACTTGGGATTTTGGGTAAAAATGACTTGTTTTAACATATATATACGATAATATTGTTAGTGCTCTCAACAAGATAGAAAACTATTTCATGCATCAAACGTTAGTATTACATTTGGACCAAAAACCCTTAAAATGTATGCATTGGAAACAAAGAAAAACATATTAAAAATACTAACTAAACAATTGGAAATTAACCTCACTCACATCACCAATATAAAGAGCTCATTCTTTCGTTATCCCTGGCACGTTCTTATTCTAGGTCAAATCTAAAGTTAATTGTATTATTAAAATACAAGTATACCATTGATGGACTAACTAATGATTGAGAATAGACCTAAAAATTTCAAATCCAATGTTCAAAGTAAATCGTTGTATTCAAATTCTTAGTTTACTAGATTTAACTTTGCAATCAACAATGGCTGATTCATTTTCATCGATGATTGAGATTATTATAATTTCTCATTGGTATATCCAACTTGCCTTCTAACAAAATAAAAAAAAAAAATCGCTTCTTCACCTAACCAATGAATAAGAGAAATGACATTTCAAAAGGCAAGTAATTCCTAAAAACAAATAATACACGATGAAAGCATGTTAATCTATTACTATATTTTTGTGGCGTTTACAAAGTATCCCACATCGTAAAATTTAAACATAATCGTTCACTTTAAATTTATTCTAAAAGCAATCTCCGTTCGCCGAGCTCATTGACGCGGGCTTGTAACCTAAGTAGGGGCATCGAAGTCATTCGACTTTGAATTGGTTTATTTAGGTGGATTTGAGTTGGTATCCCAACTTACTATTACCGACTTGTAAACTTAGTAGAGGCATTAAAGTCATTGAAAATTGGATTGGTTTAGTTAGTAGGATTTGGATTCTTATCCCGACTTGCTTAGTCCAAGCGAAAAAGTGATAATGTAATCGATATATAAGTTTAAACAAATATTTTTATTTTTTCAATTGTTTTGGAGGTTTTGGATTATTTTATAAATAATAAAAATATAAAAAATAGTATATTTTTTGTGTGTGTGTGTGTGATTAGTTTAAAAGAAAATAAATATTAGATATAATGTTTAAATAGAAATTATTTTAGATGTAAGGTTTTTAAATAATAAAAATAAGTGTTGAATAATATTTGGAAGCAAAAAAAGAGAAAAAGAAAAAAAAATGAGTGAATACTTTATTTGTATTTGTATTTTGATCTTTTACGTGAAATAGTTATTTGTTGTAATATTTTATATTAAATATTAATATATTTTTATAAATAACTGTTAATTAGTAGTTTTATATAGTAAAGAAATTGGACCAAAAAATTTAAATTAAACAAGGCATTTTTTTTAAATTCTTATTATTGGTGCTGTTCTCTTAGTTAGCTTTCTTTGGATTGGTTTTAGAATTTGGTTTAAATGTTAAGATTTGAAAATTTTTAAATCAAGATAATTAGATGGTATTTACATGAGTTCTATATTATATAAAATTTAACATAAATTTAAATCATGTATATAATATTTTTAAAATTATATATATATTACAATAAAATAAAATTATAAATGGATCTCACAAGTTAAATATAGAAAATGTATACTGAAATATTAATATTATATATATATACATAATTAAATAGACTGATGAATATACAATTTTACTCTTATGGATATTTTCTAATATAGTTAAATCATTTTGATAGTATTATAGAAATAATATGTAAGATGTAAATATTTTTTAATATTTCTAGAGACAACAATTACTAAAAAAACATAGATTTCAAAATAGATAAATTTTTTGAATAACTCAAAATAGATGCATTAGATTTCCAACATAACTTTAAAAAAAATAGTATATTTGTAACGGAATTTCGTTCCTAAAGTTCACATAGCTAACGTAATTCCGTCTCTAATATCATTAGTAACGGAAAAAGTGAATTTAGAAACAAAAAGACTTCGTTACAAAATTGATAATTTGTTGTAGTGTAGGGAATATGTCTTCCTATTTAAAATTACATACTCCATCCGTCCCATAAATATAGTCTTATTGATATTATATTAGTAGTTGGTAAAAAGTATGGATAAAAAACTTTTTTGTGGGACGGACAAAAATGATAAATAAGACTATAGGCGAGCCCACCACCACAATCAATGTCCAATGCCACCCAGTCCACTTCACCACCTAACCGGGCTCTGATACTAGAGTTAGAATTGGGTCAACTCAATCCTAGTATGATATTGTCCGCTTTTGGCTGAGCCCGCACGGATTTTTTTTTGGATATCCTCCAAAAAGCCTCGTACTAGTGGAGTTCACTTGGGATTTATAAAATGTGAAATTTTCTTCACAACTTTCGATGTGAGACTTGGGTTTACACTCCAAAATATTTGAATATTTTTTTATTTTTTCAGTATTGTGCTCATTTTATATTTATGGACGGACGTATTTTTTATATTAATTATAGAAATTAAGAATAGAAAAAAAATATTTGGCATTAAATTATTAATTTTTATAAATAAATAAGATATATATTATATATATTATATTAATGTGCTTATATTTTTTAAATAATATTTATAAATGAATAAGATATATATTATATATATTCGTAATATTGAAAAAGAACAAACCCTATATTAATTTAAAATAAATTAAAATATATTTTTAAAAATTATTTTATATATAATTAGTGGATTTTAAAATATAATTTGTTTTAATATATTATTTTACCATTAAATTATCTATGATGTTCAAATAATTAATTTAATAATTATTTAAATAAAACTAATATATTTGAATAAAATATAAATATCAATATTTAAATTAATACAACTCCATGTTTGCACCTATCGTTGATTTTGAATTTAACTGTAGCATTTTACTATTCCACCTAACGTGTTATGAATATAAAAAATAAACTTGGTTTGTTCGCCCATAATTTTCTCTCCATTTACAATATTTTACTTCTTCCGTTCATATATATTTATCCATTTACTTTTTCAGCATAGTTTTAAAAATATTATTTTTATATTGGGATATAATAAAAATAAATATAAAAAAAATTAAATTACTCTTATTAGTATTATATTATATAAATGTAATGATATTGTATAATATATTGTAAATTGAAAGAGTATTTAAACCCCGTTTGGATTGGCTTCTGGCAGGAGCTTTGCTTCTAAAAAACAGTTTGCACTTGCATAGGCTTCTGTCCAAAAGCAGAAGCAGCTTTTGAAATTGAAAAGTGCTTTTTTCAGAAGTACACGGGGATAACTTCTGAAATAAACAGACACACTTCTCATTTAAATTTACTGTTTTATCTTTAATAATAATAATAATAATAATAATAATAATAATAAATACAATAATATAATATAATATAAAAATAAATAACTTATATATTATATTTTAATAAAATTTAGAAAATATAATTAATTTATTATTGTTAATTTATGTATTATATTTGAATTAAAATTTAAAATTTAAATACTAAATTTAAATAGAAGTATATAACCTTTTTAATTATACTTAAATTACTAAATATAACTTATAAAATTTTAAAATAAATTATAAAATACAAATTATTTAATATTATATTTTAATTTTATATTTAATTGATATATTATTATTAAATTAAAATTTTAAAATATAAATAATCAAAATTTAAAAGTACAATTTTTATACTTTAATTTAAAATCTTTAAATATAATTTATAAAATTTAAATTAAATTATAAAAGTGTTATAGAAAAATACTATTATATTAACAGCATGTCCTTTTAAGTAATTTTAACAGTTTTAAAATACTTTCAACTATATATATAATGTCCAAATAATTTTTTACGAAAAACTGCTTTTATAATGATTTATCCAAACACAAAATCGAACTGCTTCTGCTTTTGACTTCTGCTTATTTTTTAAGTCAATTCAAACGCCTTATAATGTTATATACATAGTACAGTTACTTAAAAAAAAATAATAATAAATACTTTTGTAATGTTTTATCTTCTTATAAAAATATACAATTAATATAAACTATTACTTTTATATTACCTACACAATTTTTTATTTCTTACATAAAAAAATTCAAATCAAAATACTCCCTCCGTCCAGCTAGAAAGTATACATATTTTTATTTTGGGACGTCCAATTACAAAGTAACCATTTCATTAAATACCCCATTTTTTTTACAAATACCCCTACTTTACATCACATCATTACTTTTATACCAAAAAAGTAAGGACAAAAATGTCATTTTACTACTTTTACCTACACACTATAATTAAAATACTATTATTCCTTAATCTCCGCGCCAAAAGTAAATGTATACTTTTAGCTTGGACGGAGGGAGTACTAAACAAACAAAACTAAGGGTGTGTTTGTTTGGGGGATTTCCCCCCTAATCCACTATTCATTCAATTTTTTTTTTTAAAAAAACATCAAATAAAACCTATTTTTTATTTTTATATTATATTAAAAATCATTTTTATATTTAAAATATCACGTCAACACCTATTTATATCACATCATATAACTATTTCAATTCAAATTTTTTACTATTCAAATTCTAACTCAAAATCCAAACCTCCAAACAAACACATCCTAATCCAAATAATATTTAAAAATAATATAAGTAAAAAATTAATATTATCTTCGTCCGGCAATAATTGACACATTTTTATTTTTGTTTGTCCTATAATTATTGACATTTTTCTATTTTAGGTAAAATTTATTAAATAAAAATATATACATAACAAATATAAATCAATTTAATTAACAATATAACATATAACATGTATGACTCACTCAAAACCTCTTTGTTTTTATCTATTTCTTAAAAAAAAAATATTTATATAGAAAATTCTACATCTTTTATAAAATTAATTTATATTAATTATAAATAAATAAAATTACTTTTTATTTAGTTGTATTATAGAAAATTTTATTATATAGTCATATTGTATATATTTTTTTATTGCGATATAAATTTTAAAATATTTAATATATATTTTAATTTATTAATCATATATATTAAATTTATTTTAAAATTATCAATATTATTAATTCATAATTCACCATTATCAACTAATTAAATATCATTACTTAAATATTGTATCTCTAATAAAATGGGTCAATTATTTAAAATGAAGGAAATATATAGTAGTATTTAAATGTAAAAAATTATAAATATTTTTTTGAAAAATACTACTGTCTCCGTCCCAACTAATTTGTTTACTCTAATTGGAGTACGAAATAATTTTTGGTATGATGCAATTAGTAAATAATTAAGAAGAATACTAATAAAAATAATTATATTATAATAAAAATAATTATAAATAAAAATTAAAATAATTAAATAGTTTAATTAAAATAAAAAATTATAATTTATAAATTTTAAAATATAATTAAAATATATAATTATATATATTTAAAAAAAAATAAATTATATGAAACGATAAAAAAAAAATCAAAAAAAATTATGTATAACGAAAAAAAATATTAATAATTCATAAAAATTTAAAACCCCATATATTAATTATGACATGGCATCGTAATTGTTGGAAGATAGGATATGACTGACGTTATCATCCACTCAAAATAGCACATCACGCATTCCAACATCTTGCCATATTGATCACCTCCTTTGCCTTACAAATACTCTCTCTGTCCAATTTGTATTGTTTGGTGTATTTAATTATATGATAGAGATTAAAAATAATAAATAAATTAAAAGCAAAAATATAAAATTTATGTTTAAAAAAATAGAATAATAGTTATTGAACGTCTCAAATAGAAAAATAAAATATTAGTTTATGGACGAAAGAAGTATATAATATCGATCTATTACTCAAAATCCATCGTTTTAGTCTCATATTCCAATAATTTTCAATATACTTAGCACATGCTCAATTAGTTAATTTAATTTTATTTAACAATTAATCAACATGTTTTGGGAGCGCTTTTGATTAATTTAAAACAATAAAAAAAAAAATTGAATATGTTTTATATTTGAAAACATAAGTAATCACATGCAAAGATTTTTTAGACTTAGTAAAGTTGTATTGGGATAGCATTTGATTTTTTATATGTACACTAACCAAATCACTAGGTATGAATATTTTATTACTATGAGATTACAAGTAAACAAAATTTATTTTATTTATATTAATCCCTCTGTCCCATATGAGTGTATTACTGTAGATACGAGAATTTAGGTAAAGTATAATTAGTAAATACTTCCTCCGTCCCAGATACCGTGTTTGCACAATATTTTAGGAGGGATGTAATTAGTAGAAAATAATTAAGAATGTATTAGTGAAAATAATTATCCTATAATAAATCATTATAAATTAAGATTAAGATAACTAATTAATTTAATTAAAATTTAAAAATTTAAAATGAGATTAAAGTGTGTAATTATTTTCCAAAAAAGGAAAATGACATGGTATGCGGGACGGACATAAACGACAACGTGGACATGGTATCTGGGACGGAGGGAGTAATTAAAAAGTGTCTTAGTAAAAATAATTATTATTTAGTAAAAATAATTATAAATTAAAATTGAGATAAGTAAATAGTTTAATTAAAATTAAGAAAATTATAAAATTTAAAATTTAAAATGCGATCAAAATGCATAATTATATTTTCAAAAATAAAAAGAACAAGTTACGTGAGACAAAAGAAAATAAAAAATATGAATAAATTATGTTGGACAGAGGAAGTATATTTTATTCATTTGCAATACTTTTACGGGCGTAGTAAAATTTAGCATATTTATTCATAAAGCTTTTAGGTTTGTAATACATCATTGTGCTCTATGGTCATTTTAAGACTTTAATGTCACCATCAAGTAAATTTTAGTGCACACTGGTAAATCTTCGGTCAAACCTAATACCCTACAAATCAGGCCATACCTGCAAATCAAGTCACAAGTTCAATCCTTATAATACGAGACCATCCCTTACGGACCATCATCAAGTAAAATTCAAACTTATGAAACACGTGTTTGGTTGGTTTAGGGTGCAAATATGGTTAATATGAAACATGAAGAACGGAACATGCAGGAATGTTCACGATTTTAGGAAGGGTGACAAATATTACTATACGTGTCTCCATCAAAATCGGGCGGTGCTTGGCTTGATCCAATTTTAAAATTAAATATAATTTTTTAAAATAATATTATAAATATATTAATAAATAAATTTAAATTTAAAATAAATGTATAGTCTAATGGTTTAGATTGTGTAATGTACTTACGAGATTATAGGTTTAAGAATTTAGTAAAAAATTTTAAAAATAAGAGAAAAAATTGTAACAAATGTAGTGACATGGTTATAAATAAGTATTGAATGAAAATAGTGAAATATTAATTTATTAATTTTATCCAAATTAATAATAAAATAAATTTAACAGAAATATTAAAACTGAAAATAAAATAAATTTGAGGAATAAAGTATTTTACAAAAGACAAAAACAATAAAATAAGATTATTATTTTGTAACTAAGAAGGTATTTATAAAATATATTTAAAACAAATAAATTTATTAAAATAAAAATATATAAAAACGTATATAAAAACGTATGGAAAGTTACGAATTTATATTTATTTACAAAACGCGGCGGCGTATTTTAGCCGCAAAGCCAATTGACTCGTTTATAAATCTTCTATTTATTTTATTTTTGATTTTTAGATGTGCGTGCAAAAATAACATTACTAATTTACTACGGAAAAGCATTAGAAACAGCGAGAACTAGACAACAACTCGTCGGAAATGGAGAGCACCGATCATTCAACAGTGGCTAGAGGGCGTTTGGCGGTACTCGCAGCGCACATCGCGGCGTCCGCCGATCGATCCGCCGCTGGTTCCGCAGGAATTTTGGATTCCTCTAGCTGCTCTGCAAACGTGGCGCCACCGCCTAATCTGAAAGGTTCGTTGCTTCTGGTTGACGAGCGCACTGGAAACAAGTACCGGATTCAGGTATCCGAGGAAGGAGTTCTTAGAGCGACCGACTTCAAGAAGGTATTATTGACCGGACTGGCTTTGTTATTCTGTATTAATCGATAACTTTCGGTAGCGTGTTTTTGGCGTTTAGGAACATCGTAGGTGAATGTTGTTATTCACTATAATTTTCCTGTAAATTGCAACTATATGTGAACTTTTGGTCTAAGAATTTGCTATCTGCCTGTGACCATGTGTTTGTTTGTAAATGGATTTGAATCTCCATACCTAACTGTTGAATTTCTTTTAATTGATATGATCTTTAGAAAATTTGTTTACTTTTATTAGTTGAATGGGCGTTGCAGATAACAACGGGAAAGAATGACAAGGGACTCAAGCTTTATGATCCAGGATACCTTAACACGGCTCCTGTGCGATCGGCTATATCTTATATTGATGGAGATGAAGGGATTCTTAGATACAGGGGTTATCCAATAGAGGAGCTGGCGGAGGGGAGTTCCTACTTGGAAGTGGCGTATCTATTGAGTAAGCTGCTGCTAAATACTCGCCTTTTGACAAATATATTATTTTCTTTTAATATATCCTTAGATTTACCTTCATTTAACCTTTTTGCTTACAGTTTTAATAGAAGGATCTTAGTGATTTAAATTATTACTTAATGTGTGAGAAATATATAACCACATATATCGTACTGTCAGTTCTTGCTGTACACCTGCTCTTCAAAATTGTACAGTAGGTCTCTTACTGATTACTCTTGTAAGACCTCTTTATCTTATTTTGATCACATTTTATTGTTTTTAGTTGAATTTCGGAACTACTACATTAAAGTTTGGAACTTCTTTTTTTCCCATCTGTCATGTGGTTCATTATCATCATATTCTATGACAGTGTATGGGAATCTACCATCTGAAAATCAGTTAGCAGATTGGGAGTTTGCTGTTTCGCAGCATTCTGCTGTTCCACAAGGAATATTGGTATGGCTGGCTTCATTTCCCTGTATCTCCATTCAAAAGGATCAATTGTTAAAATCTATATATTTTTCCTTTCATGCTCATCATCTTATGATCTGGTCTATGATCAGCTCATGTTTTGTTTATATCTTGTGGTACCTTAATTCTGAGGTACCCAGCCTTATAAATTGTTTACACTCAAATCGTGATTTGTCTTTTATATAAAGGTGAACTTTGCATTTTGATAATTTTTGCAGGACATTATACAAGCAATGCCCCATGATGCTCACCCTATGGGTGTTCTTGTCTGTGCCATGAGTGCTCTTTCTGTCTTTCATCCGGATGCTAACCCAGCTTTAAGAGTAAGTCACTGTTAATTTTCTGATTTATTGCAACTCTACTTTCCTGTTAAGTTTTATTTGATAGAAGTTCTTGAATCACATAGACAGATCCATCTCATTTCCAATGTATAGATTTTGTTTTCAATTTATCATGCAATGGAATCAGTTCTCAGATCAGATGGGTCAGTACAATGATTCTTGTTGTTTTGTATTTGTATACTATCTATAGCAGTTTTAGTCAATTGGAGTTCCCTAATAGGATAGAAGTTTTGGTGCTTCCTTGTTTTTAATGATTACTTCCTGTTGTGGGAGATCACTTTTTCTACTGCTTCATTAGTGCAAGGCAGTCAGGCCTGTTCGTGACTTTTGAACAAAAAAACAAGGCCCTCAATAATGAGCCCTTATTGTAGAGGGCACTGGTTGGTTGGTGTGCCTTTTACTCTGCCCATGGTAATGCATTGCCTTCAAAAGAATTTTCTCCATTTTTTGTGCAGGGCCAAGATATATACAAATCCAAACAAGTTAGAGACAAACAAATTGTCCGCATTTTGGGGAAGGTCATCGCTTATTATCCCTTTATTACATGTACTATTAGCTGTATCTTGTTTTTTGTGATGATTTGCAGTTGGTTTAAAGTTTGTTGGCTGATTTACTATGAGTTTCTGATCCTATTTGCAGGCTCCAACCATTGCAGCAGCAGCTTATTTAAGAATGGCAGGGAGGCCTCCTGTTCTTCCATCCAGCAATCTTTCGTATTCAGAGAACTTTTTATATATGCTTGACTCATTGTATGTCCTAATTCCTACCTGTCCTGTGTCCTGGCATATGAAATAAATTTGACTATATGGATATTGATGGTCCATCTCTGAAGTACAAAACTATTAATTTTACTTCAAAATTTAACTGCTGGTCTAACAAAGTTTAATTGATGAAAAAACAGGGGTAACAGGTCTTACAAACCAAATCCTCGGCTTGCTCGTGTCCTTGATATACTTTTTATATTGCATGCAGATCATGAAATGAATTGTTCCACTGCTGCTGCAAGGCACCTTTCTTCAAGGTTACTTCTAATTTTGTTCTTGAACATGCAAATATATTCACTGGTTTTACTTAACTCTACTATACATGTGTAGTGGTGTTGATGTGTATACCGCCCTTGCTGGTGCAGTTGGAGCCTTGTATGGGCCTCTTCATGGTGGAGCCAATGAGGTATTTGGCTTTTTAATGTCTATGTAGCTGCTTTAAAGAAATTTTAGTTTTCAAACAGTATAAGCTTATTGGTCAGTTACCGAGGCTGAACATGAACATGATATGTGTTTCCTAGATGATCTTTTCTTTGTACGTTGTAGGCTGTGCTCAAGATGTTAAGTGAAATTGGAAGTGTAGACAATATACCTGCTTTCATCGAGGGAGTAAAGAACAGGTTAATATCTTTCTGACTATCATTTTAAATGTCCTAGGAATGGCTTCACATGTGCAATCTAACTTTTTTTTCCCTTCAAATATCATATTCTCTAGGAAGCGTAAGATGTCTGGTTTTGGGCATCGTGTTTACAAGAATTATGACCCCCGAGCCAGAGTCATCAAGAAACTCGCAGAAGAAGTTTTTTCAATTGTTGGCAGGGATCCTCTTATAGAGGTGGGAATGTTTAATGTGAATTATAGTAATTATTATGAGAGACTAGAATTCCCAGTTGAAAGTGTTGAATTGGAATTCTTATTTTATAATGAGAATTATCTACATATGATTTGACAAAAACCAAATTATAAATCCCCTATAGAACGATATCATGTCCGTATATTAGGAAAAAATGTAGAATGATATTCTTGCATTTATGTATTGCAAAAAAAGTATGAGCTCTACCATTATAAAGTTTATCAGGTTAACTCGAAGCACATCACTCTTTTCTGGCCACAAAAGTAATCATACCTCTCTCTTATATCATTGGGTCAACCTTCTAATATAGATGTAGAGTGAAACTTTTTGGATGATTAGCGAATTAGCTGATGATGCTGGAAATATCTCTGAAGGCTTCTGGTGAAGAACTTAGATTCTTGATATTTTTTGCTTGTGTTCGTGTACCTCTTTTGCACCTTTATCTTTCGTGAGTGCATCGTATAAGGGAAATATCTTTTGCTATGTGATTCCCTGTTTGTCGAGCAGGCTGTGAACTATAGTTATTATTATGAAAATATTCATTGGACACCATCTGCCATGGCAACATATTTTATACTTCATAGTTGTTTCTATGTCATTCCTAATACATGCTTATAGCTTCGTTGATTCGTTTATGTGGAAATGCAAGTTTCTTAAAGGATCAATAAACTAACATCCAGTATATTTTTTATGGCTGGCTTCTATTCATAGGTGGCAATAGCTTTAGAGAAAGCCGCGCTATCAGACGAGTACTTTGTCAAGAGGAAGCTGTATCCTAATGTCGACTTCTACTCTGGGCTGATTTATAGGTGTGCATCAAACAACAATCTGTTTCCATTTTTCTTTTCGCCTCTGTGATAGTCTAATTTAAGTATATTCTGGACTCTTTCCCGTCAGGGCAATGGGTTTCCCCACCGAATTCTTCCCTGTTTTATTTGCAATTCCCCGAATGGCTGGCTATTTATCACACTGGCGCGAATCTCTGGAAGATCCTGATACAAAAATAATAAGACCAGCACAGGTAATGATTTTCATCTTTTGAGTTTCATTGTTTGTTTCCTTCAAGGTAGCATATTATACGATGTTGCCTGCATTTTTGTTCTCAACTTTGGGTTTTGTTATTTTCTTGTACGTCAAAATTTCATCAGGTGTACACCGGCGTCTGGCTGCGACATTACATGCCATTGAAAGAGCGCATGGGCTCGAGCCAAGACGAGGATGATAAACTAGGCCAAGTGGCTGTCTCCAATGCTACAAGGAGACGGTTGTCTGGATCCGGGGCTTAGTCTCGCCATCGGACTGTCTGATTTCAAACCGATCGAAGAAAATAAGTGGACCTAGGAGTTGTGATGTTAAAAGATCTATTGCAGCCAGAAAAATCGTTGCAACAATAATAATAATAGTACGTACACACCACTTGAATGGTTCTTTCTTACGTGCTTAGAATAAAATCGTTTAGCTGTCTGAATTTTTTCATAATCAACTTTCCTTCCCCAAGGTTCCATAATCGTTTAGCTGTCTGTGCGTACACACTGTATGAACTATTGTCATATAATATTAGATTATATACTGTATAAACTTCATATGTTGTCGATGCCTTTATCGATAATACGCACTGAAAGTTGTACACCAAAATATTTCTAACACTCGCTTATGATCTCCATACTCATTCTTTCATCCAGTCGAAAACCAGCCATCTCTGCTTCCCGCCAGATTTCCTTTCCCTTCCCAATCCTCCCTGTGGCGACATAAATTCCGATCACTTCACTGTAAATGTCGTAAGTAGGAACAAACCCATCTTCCTTAAGTTTCACAAAGTATCTCGACACTCTCCCAACATCTTGCAGAGCAACAAAGAGCTTTATCAACACCCGGTACGCTGGGAAATCGATCGCACAATTTGACATCTCCATTTCCCAAACAACAGCCATCGCTTCCCGATAATTTCCCTCCAAACACCGACTGTTGATCATCGTCGTGTATGTTACTACCGTAGGAACCGTACCCGACGCTTTGAGCCAACTGTATAATGCCTCAACAATGTCGAACCTGCCGAGATGTATGCATACTTTCATGACAGCTGTACAATCCTGCTGTTTCAATTTGAGGTCGTCCCTTCGCGCGAGCTCCTCCAACAGGGGCAGAGCAAGAAATCTTTTGTCGGGATTTTTCCCGAGCTCAAGAATCAGTTTGGCGTACACTCCAGGGTCCAGGACCTTCTTGCCTTCCATGGCTGCCGAGAGAAGCTTCCGGGCGAGCCCCAAGTTCCCGCCTTTGATATAACCCTTCACCATTGCTTCGTAAACACTCTGGCTCGCCAAGCTGATGAATTTCTCCATATCAAAAGGCATTTTCAGCTCGTTTGATCTTGCTAGGACCTCGACGGTCGCAGCAAGAATGCGATCGTCGGGGAATAAATGAGGCTGCTTTTGAACCCAACAGAAAACATGTAATGCTCTTTCCGGTACCCCCATGTGTCCTAATTCCCGAATCGCGATCGATAAGGACCCTTTTCGCAAGAATCGAGCCCATTGGTTTAGTACAATGGATACATCTTCCTGAGGATGAAGGGCTCTGATATCCTTAGCTAACTTAATCAAGAAAGATGGATTCTTGTAAACCTGATCAGACAATGGCCGCCTCCATGATCGAGCATGATGCGTTCGTGGGAGATTCTTCGTCGCCGGAAATCCCAACGGTCGAATTTTGTGGGGTAGGGGGAGTGGGAGGGGCCTTTCCCTCCCCAATTCTCCAGGCTTCTGTGGAACTCTTCCCTGAAAAAGGGATGAAATGGCTTCGATCTCATCTGATTCCCAAACTTCACTACCATTATCAATCTCACTGACATCGTTTTCTTCTTCGTCTGACTGATCCACGCGATAAAGCACAGGATGGAAGTCAGGTGGAATTCCGGTGCGTCGACGGTTTTGGAGGTTCTTGGGAAGGTGCAGTTTTCTGTGGGGCCGTCTTTTAGCACTTTCAGAGCGTGATGCGAATGCTATTCCCTGTGAAAACCTAGAAATGTTGCTGCAATTTGGAATCGGATGCGGAAATTGATAGGTGGGTAAGGTCTTCATCTCAGAGGACTGATTCTTGCTGAGCAGGCATTTCGTCGAACAGTTGGTGGGCGAGATCGGAAACGATGATTTTTTGAGTGAGAATGTGTAAACGGCTCTTGATTCTGATGAGATAAATATAGAGAGATGTGAGGTGAAAATTGTAGGCATTAATTAAGCAAGCAAGAAATCGGAAAAAGGAAAGGAGTTGTGTTTACAGTATTGTGAAGATCGCCGGCGGGCAATTCAAAGCGCAAAGGTTTCCGAGGAGCCGACCAATTTCCCCAATTTGGGTTATCTTCGATTTTTAAAGACTTGATTTTTTATTTATTTAAAAGTAGCTTTTGATATGATTTTTAAATAATATATATTCATTCGAAATAGGAGTTTTTTTTTTTTTTTTCTTTGAAATAGATTCGATATTTTAAATGAATATTAAATTATTTTTAATATAAAATAATTTTTTGAAATAATAAATGTTGCAATCCATCAATAATATTTGTGTAATACCTGAAGAAATAATTGATATAGATTTTAAAATAATGAAACAAAATTACGTATGACTTGTGATTTTCAAAGTCTGTACATTTTTGGTTTTTTTTTTGTATTTTTAAAATATTGCACAAATTGTTTTTAAAATTTTTATGCAATATTTTATAAAATACAAGAGAATCTCTGATAATTTTAAAGAATTTCGTATACTATTTTTTTTATAAGAGGAAGCTTTGTGCAATTTTTAAAAAATGAAAAAGTATAGGCCGATATTTCAAATTGGATGATAAATTTTTGCCATAACAACAACAATAATAATAATATTTTTGTACTAGATATGACATAGACACACTCTAGACGGCAGTGGTTAGAAAATTCAACACCATACTAATAGTACATCATTTGCTAACGGACAACACCCGATAGACAATACATCATTTATATTAATATACTACTTTCGTCCTACAATCGGTGTCTTGGTCACTGTAGACAGGAGAATTTAAGGATACATATAATTAATATATAATTAAGAATATATTAGTGAAAATAATTAAGCTATAATATAAATTATTATAAATTAAGATTAAAATACCTAATTAATTTAATTAATATTAAAAAAATTTTAAATTAGAAAATTTAAAACAAGATTAAAATGGGTAATCAATTTAAAAAAAAAAAAAACGAAAATGACATGAGATGTGGGACGGACAAAACGACAACATGGACATGATAAGTGGGATAGAGGGAGTAATATAAATACAACGCGCCGACAACACAACATATGATATAGTGTCTTATATTTGGCATTACATATGACAATTATTTTAGCACATATTCCTATACAACACATTTAATTTAAGTCTGAACAAATATATAAAATAAAAATATATTACCTTAACAATTTATTCATTTTTTTATTTTGATTCGTCCTAAAATAAAGTATTCATTTTCTTTGTTAGAAATTGTACTATCTACCTAACATTACAAATACCCTTCTAATTTACAATATTTTACACTAATGTCACTACCTTTATATCATACAATACTAATAGGGTTAATTGAGTCTTTTTATTTTTATTTTTACTTTATCTCAATATAATATTAATATTTCTAAAATTCTGTGAAAAAAACAAATGAATATATAAATATGGGACGGAGTGAGTATGTTATTTGTACATTTTATTAGTACAGTAACCATTCTCCACTGTAGAGAAACGAGAATAGTTTAAATTTTTTTATTACGTAGGAATCCGCAGCCGTTATCCAAAAGTGTGCACTAGATAAATTTTATTCGTATGGACCGTTACGATTCCGAAACACAACTCTAAGTAGAGTCACGTGTTTTACTTAGATTTGAATCCAACACGAAAAAACTGTATTTGGATATTCAAAAATATGTTCGAAATTTTTCCGATCATGCCTGGCCGGCACGCCAGTGAATCAGGAAATATCCGAGCCCATAAAGGTCGGGCCATGACGGGCTTGGTCCAACCTAATTTATTAAAATTATATTTAATATTTTTTTATATACAATATTAACTAATAAAATAATAACAAAAGTTAAAACATAACTTGATGATAGAACTCTCAAATAATATTTATATGATTGTGAATTCAATTTCTATTTAAATCATTTGATTTTTTATTTTTTTCTATTAAATTAATTTTTTATAGCTAGGGGCAAAGTCGGACCTTACTTTTAAATTGAAGTACAATTTCTTAACAGTGTACCCAAATCAAAACAATTAACATTAAGAAATCCCCATACAGTAAAATACTATTTTCGTCCTACTCTAATATTTCATTTACTTTTTGGATTGTTAATTTTTGAATATTAATTATTATATTAAAACGTAATACAAATTTAAAAAAAATTACAAAAATACTATTAGTTTTATAATACTGATAGAAGAACGTTTGCATAAAAAATTATACAAATATAAAAATATTTTTAATATTAAATATGACATAAACAAACAGTATACGTGATCTTTAGAGACGTACGTAGCCGTAGAGAATATTCAGAAATACGTAGTAGAAATCAGATCTTATATTGGAAGAAATTCAAATATGATTTTTTTAACACTTCTTTTACCATACACAATATATATATATATATATAATTATATACATATACCATTTTATTTATTTTTTGTTTATGATTATACATACAGAAAGTATGATCAGTTAATATATAATATACATATAAACAATTAAGGCACATATATATATATATATGTATGTATTGTATTATTCAGCGGAGCATAGCATATAGAAAGTGATTCCAGATGTCGGGAAGTCCAGTGAGGCACCAGTGGGTGCAGTCCACGGCGGCGTGAACTCCATGGCCGCCGTAGAATGAAGGATGGGCGTCGATCCGCAGCTGCGAAAGGGCAGTCACATCCAGCAACTGCACCGGCGTCGCCATCGAATTCAGAATCTTCTGCAGCACTAATTCTGCTGCTGGTACTGCCGGACCTCCTCCTCCGGCAAGTGGCCGTGTGTGTCCTCCACAGTTCCTAATTCCACTGCTGCTCTCATTCATTAATAAATTCATTAATAAATTATCTGTCAGTCATACAATTGTTTGCTCACCGATCATGAATTTTAACAAAATTAGGTAAAAAAATAAATAGAACATTTACTTAATAAAAAAAAAAAAACTAGCATTAATTTAGATGACAATTAAAAAAGAAAAATGAAAATAAATTTGAATGAAATAGAGAGTACTATATTATACAAATTAAATAATAAAAATTTATATTCCCTCCGTCCGTCATATTTAGTCCATTTGAGCTTAGTGCAAAATTAATAAAAATAAATATGTTATTGAAAATTTTGAAAAAATAAAAGATAGTTGCGCATATCTTTTTAAAATTTAGTTAATAATTAAAAAAAAATGTAATAAAGTCATGTAATGAAGGGTAATTTAATATTGACTTTTTAACTTTTCTAATAAGATAAATTTAAAGGACAAACAAAAAAAGGAAAAATAGGTATAAATTTGGCTGAAGAAGAAAATAGATATTTGATTTAAGATTTTTCTAGGGAAAAAGAAAGTATTCAATGAAATATTTTATAATGATAAAAATAATTACTTACTATTATTTAATAGACACAATCTAAATTCTAGGGTTTGTTGTAAAATTAATTTGGGAGAAGATAATTCGTTTTCAATCATGGCTTTCATAACCCATAAATATTATGTGATGTTTTAAATATAAAATTAATAAAAATTTGATTCAATATTTTGAAGAAATTTTTTTTTAATGAATAGTAATTAAAGATTAAATTGAATACCCACAGCCAAACAAAATCCAATATCGATCCAGATATATATAACCAAAATGAATGGAGTTTGTAATATTGTTATTATAGTAAAACTTAATGGATCTATGATCCAATGAGGTTTAACTATATAATTGAAGCGTTTTTCACGTAAATTTTTTTATGTTGTTATTTTATACAACCTCCGTCCCACATACCATGTTTGCTACAATGTAGACACGGTATTTTAGAAGGGGTGTAATTAGTAGATAATTAATAATGTATTAGTAAAAATAATTATTTTATAATATAAATAATTATAAATTAAGATTAAGATAACTAATTAGTTTAATTAAAATTTTAAAAAATAAAAAAATAAAAATTATAAAATGAGATTAAAGTGTGTAATCATTTTCCAAAAAAAGGAAAGTGACATGGTATGTGAGACGGATAAAAACGCATCGTAGACATGGTATGTGGGACGGAGGAAGTATTTTATATAATCATTTTAATAGTATAAAGAGATATAAGTTATTTTTTCAGGTACCTGAAATGATCGGGTGAAACACCTTGGAAGAAAACTTGAGTCTTGGATGGATCTACATGAGTGTCGATCCAATTAGCCCATGTATTTAGGGCAATCTCGTACGCAACCAAACGGTCCATGTCCTCAACAACTTTATTCCCATGCGCGATCCACTCCCACCTACATTGACCGATCATTCGAGCAACATGCACTAATTAAATCAAATCGAATTATAGATTAAATGATGAGCTAGGAGATGAAAAAGTTTATTATTATTATTATTCGATGTTTTGAATGAAAAATTGATTAGTGATTAAATAATTACGGTTGTTTCCTGCCGGTGTGAAGCCACCAATGCCAAGTGTCGAATACAAGAATGTCCATTTCTCCCCAAACTCGACTATTGGTGATGGAATCGAGCAACAACACTCGACCTTCGTTGGGCTTGTCTACGAGATCCACTAGGAATGCATTTCGATAGAACAATAGTGATGCATCGTAGCCCTACATAGAAAACTTATCGATCTAATTAATTAGTCGAAGAAATTTAATTATAATTTAAATATTTATGTATATATAGATATATATTCTCACTGGTACGTACTGGGAAGTAGAAAGTAGAAAGGCCATATAATGTGTGGGAAGTGAAGGGTGCCAAAGGGAGAGCAGTATGAAGCAAACATGTGAGAGATTGCCACTGGTTTAGGCTAAGTGAATCTCCCACAAATATCAACTTTTTCCCTCTTATTTTTCTTAAAAAATCTACACCATTGAACCTGCATTAATGCATAATAATGGCCATAATAAGTACAAGAAAACTAAGTAAAACAAGATTTGGAAGTGAAAAAACGAAAAGAAAAGATATGTCTTTTATCGCACACAATTCAATAACATAGAAAGACTTTTCCGATAAAGAATGACTTAGTAATATGGGATATAAGATTAAGGATTCAAATTTTCGATATTTATAGTTATAGTTGGCTATATATAATTTTGTCTAACGTGACTTACCGAATTTGTAAATAATGATAAAAAAAATAATATATAAATTTCAAGTGCTAATATTTCTACATGGGCTTAAAAATATGACATTGACAATTTTTTTTTTTTTTTTTAACAAAAAGAAAAAGGTAGGATATAATTAAACAAAACCCCATGAAAAGAACTATGCACCAAAATCTTTGTATAATGATTAATGAACTAATTAATCCATAATTAAGCAATGTAATGGTCCTTAAAATAATTAATAATAATGCATGGCTCTGTATATTTGATTGATTAATGATTGATTATATTGTTAAGTGATACTCATTGTCACATAATTAATTTATGTAGTTGGAATATTGTAGCATACAACTTGCATTGCCATGCCAAATAATATATATATTCTTTTTCAAAATTATACAAATATATGGTCCAAAGAAAATTGATGAACAAGACTTTTCCAAGTTTCCATCACATTCAAAAATACTAACTAATGGTCAGCTGTCACATCTAATCCTACATTATTGATTTAATACTATTAGCTTCTTCTTTTTCTTGTTAGAATATTTTGTTTTTCTTTAGTGTAATTTTAATATCATCCAAATATCATATAATAATAATAATAATAATAATAAGTTTTTAATTAAACTAATATGAAAATGCATTATTAATTATATTGATTGAAAGAGATTTAATTTGGAGTATGGACACATCAGATCCCAAAACATATATATATATCCACCAAGCAATCTGATCAGACTTGTGTAGGAAAATATTATCCATCCATATGCAGAGACGTGTTAATTTGTATGTGTTCCTTTTTTCTTTTTTTTTTAAATGTTATTCTAGTTTAAAATTATTTTCTTTTTTTTTTTGTTATTAAAAAATATTTTTATTCTTTTTATAACAAAAAATATAATCATTCTTTTTTATGTTTTTTTTTTGTGTAAAATGAAAAAAATAATTATTCGAGTGTGTTTGTTTCGTGAAATAATTTGAACGTGTGTAAAATATGAGGAAAATATAAAAATAATAAATATGTGTGTGATATATTAATATTTTTGAAAAAACGTGTAAACATTTTTTTGTTAAAAGAACACGCCTTCCCTCTATCATAAAAAAATAAATTTATTTTCTTTTTATACAAATTCTAATGTAATATGAATCTTTTTTTGCCTTTTATAATAAATAATAATAATAAATTATATAATTATTTTCTAAAAAAGAAACCCAACTTAATTTTTATGATAGATAAAAAAAAGAAAAATAATTCTAAGTTCTAATGAAAGGAGAATATTATTATTGACTCGTGTCCAAACTTGTTTGTATGTCATCATAGGTAATATTCTATAGTGAGGGTAAGTAAAATATTAAACATAGGATTATAATAATTCCTACTTATGTTAAAGAAATCTCTATGATTTGCTTGGTTGTATATATAATATTTTAAAAAATAAATTGTAAGAACAAAATTAAAAACATAAGTAACAAGGCACAATTCTCATGCAAATCACCAACCATTTTTCTCTCCCAAATAAATTTCTCCAACACACACATACAAATATATATATATATATATACATATATACATATATATATATATAGAGAGAGAGAGAGAGAGGAGGAGAGAGAGATGCATGCAATGAAAGCAACACTAAACCAAAAACCTAGCTAACGATCAAAAGCCATCATTTTATATCCAACCAATTATTCATTCTATCATTCCTATCCATTATTAATCATATATATATATATATATCGAATCATATCGTATGTACCTCGGCAGCGGACAGCCCGACGGCTGCCATCGATACTTCATGTATTCTTTGTCCGGTCGTCCATTTTTTTGGCAATCAAACTGAGTTTCGATGAATGGACACTGCCTCGAATCGTAGAGAGGATACGAATTGTCGTAAACCCAATTTCCTTTAAAAATATCGCATCCAAATTTCTGCGCTATCTTTCCATCGACGGTAGAGATCGAAAGAAGAAGGAAGTAAGAAAGTATTATTGCTAGAAAATTAGGAGAGGCCATCGAATTAGTATATAGAATGAGCTGAGAAATTTTTGTTATTGAGTGTTCTCACAAATTAAATGCAAATGAAATAATATATATATATATCTATATATATAGCAAAAGGGATGTAGGTAAAATACTATTGTGGGTTTTTTTCATTTTATTTAATTTAATTTGCTATATATAGGAAGATAGTATTTTAGTAGCTTTGGATATGTATATGGGATTTTTAATTTTTTGGGTTTCAGGATTTGACATATATATATATATATATAATATTCAATAAAATTAAAAATATAGAAGAAACGCAATAATTTTGTTTTTGCATGTAAAAGGGGTTAGAATTAGATGCACAACAGTTCGTCATTTGCGTATCAAAGGGTTTTCTTACCTTTATTTACGGGGCATGTTCGTTTTGGTTTTAATAGGAAAATTTTTAATTTGAATATATTTTAATACAATATATTTGATATAAAAATATTTTTAACGGTAATATAAAAAAATAAGTATTTATATTTTTAATAGAAAAAAAATTCATAAATAATAAAAAGGCTCCAATCAAGATCAGTCTATATAATTCAATGATCAATTAGGCTATCCGCAACCCCATCTCATACAGAAATCCATGAGCAACTTAATTTTCTTTTTTTTTTTTAATTATAATTATGATTTAATTATATTTTATATAAAGATAATGTTTATATATTTTTATTTAATTTTAGTTTTTTAAAAATATATATATTTTTGATATAATATATATATAATTGAAATGGTAGAATTGTAACTTAAGCGATTGAGCATTCATTGACATGCTTTGAGGTTGGACGTTTAATTTCCGTAGACGGTAAATTTAGCATATGATCCAAAGTCAATTATATAAATTTGAATTTTGATTCTATTTATTCATGTACAGACAAGTGTGACATTTACATAAAAATTACTAATTAGTACAAAAATCATGTGTGTAAAATGAGACATGCTACCAAATGGATCCTCGGTCTTCAAAATAAACTCTATCCCTCTGTCCCCACACACATAACATGTATAGGGAATAAAGTGTGTTAATGAGACAGAAAATTCGGTCTGAATATGCTACATGTATAATCTACTACCCATAAATAACAATAATTGTATCCCAAATTAATTTAGATATGATTGAAAGTGTTGATGTAGATGTATTTTATATAGAAAATGAAGTTTTGATGTGATATATTTATTTAAAATTGTATTGTTAATGAATATTATCAAAAAGTGACTTCAAAATATATAAAAAAAATTGTCTAATTATAAATAAATAATACTAGTATTTTATTGGTTAGTGAGAGTGTGTAAAATAATTTTGACATTTTTATCTTTGCAAGTACAAAAGAAATGAATACTTTTGTAGAAGTTAGGGACATTTTGGTATTTATATGTAAATTATTTTTACTATACTAAAAATTGATGCTTATGAATAAAACGAGTTGTTAACGATTTGAACTGAACAAAATTTTAAGTGTTCATGTTCGTTCGTTAACGTTCGCGAACAAGACTCGTGTTCATTGGTTAAGTTTTCGAGTTCGTTCGCAGTGTTCGAGCTCGGCTCGTTAAGAATATTTATTGTTTGAGCTCATATTGATATTCGGCTCGATTAAACTTGTTCGAGCTCGTTTGTCTCAATTTTTTAATTTATGTATAAATTAAAAAGAAAATTTGAAATTATTTTATTTATTTTAAATCGATATTTTATTTATTTATAATAAATATATTATTTTAACGAACGTTTACGAACAAAGCTCGGACTTGTTCGTTAACGAACACGCTTGTTTATAATATTCGGCTCGACTCGTTAATGTTTGTGAACGAACTTTAACCGAGCTGAATCGAGCCGAACCGAGTCAAGTTCACGGACGGCTTGGTTCGTTTAACAGCTCTAGTTCTTAAAACAATACTACATATTTTGGTAACAAGGTTGGTACAATCATTCTCATAAGATCAAATATTAAATATTTATAGATTTTATATTTTCCTTCAGTTGTATTATTTTGTTTCCTTGTATAACGGACATATTTTCATAATTTCTTTATATATATTAGTTCACACTGATCACAAGATCATAGGTAATCTCAAATCACACTTTCACATAAGCTTGTGGGTGCAAAATTTTCAAATTTTACTGGCTAAACTCATCAAGAACTTACATCGATATAAATCAATTATACGGAAAATGAGTAGGAAATGTATGTCACTATCCCATGTCTCAAAATACACGAGGCAAGTTGGATTCAATTATGCTAGTAGAGCACGAAATAAATCAAATAATTTTATTCGATTCGATATTTGTGTATATATATATTTGATTCGATAATAAAAATAATTATGTACGTAATATAAAATAGAGTATACATATATTTTTATTTTCAAATTAAAATTTAAATAAATCAAATAAAATTATTTATAATATTTCTTTTAAACTTTTTATAAATAAATAAATATATATTATAATTCAAATTATAACTATACAATAAATTTTTTTTATTTTTGTTAGATGAAGAAAGTCTTTCTGTATCCATTTGAAAATTTAATAAATAGTAGATACATGTATTTTTTTTTTTAATTAAGTTGTCCTAATATTATTTTTTATAGTTTAATTACAAAATTCCGAACCAATTCGATTAGGTGAAAGAAGAATTGAATTTTGAATGATATTTTTAAAATTGTATTTTAAATATTTGAATCAATACTCAAATCGAATAACTAAAAATTTATTTCGAATTGAATCGAATACTACAATATTTGTATACTAAACCTAATGTATAGTGAAGTTCATATATATTATTTCAATATATGTATTGTATACCATATGCAAGTTATATGCCCCAAATATATATATATATATATATACAAGTGCATAAATCATGTGCACAAACAAACCTTATGGAAAGCAACCCTTGTTATTTAGGACAACTTTTGGTTGGATGTTTCCTACAAATTCACATTTGACAAGTGACCACCCACCCTTTGGTGTTATGTTCTTTTATGTGGTCTCTCTTGCTCGTTGTCCACACATCTATCATATACTATACGATCATTATCTCTTTATATCCTCAAAATAATTTAGTTATAGGGGAATTTTTGTATTTTAGTTATTTAAGTAAATTGCTTCTGAAAATAGGTATATATCTTATTTGTTGTAATTTTAATTATACCGTTTCGGTAAAGTGCGCACTGAATAAACCCCAGCCTAATATCCTGCAAATTAAATTCAACAAGCAAATCATACTAGGCGAACTATGTGTGGCAGGTGACCTGTGTTTAAACCCATCCTTATGGGACATGATTATACATGATAATATTTGCACATGTATTGTAAATATCATTTTTAATAATTTGTTTATCCCATTAAACTTTACCTGTACAATTCTTAATATATGATATATATATTTTTATAAAAAATTAATATTTAGTACAAAATATTATTTTTTTATATTATCGAGGCAATTTTATTTACATTTAATTAAATTTTATGAATTAATATAAATATATATATCACTAGATGCCTTAGGCAGTCTTTAAGGCCTGATGGACTACCTATCGTCTATAGGCAGAGCTCCCAAATATGTATTAACATTTTTTTGGGGGGCTGATTTTGCCTACATAAAGCTAGGAAACAATGATTAAACAAACCTAGATAAAGATTACTAGAGTATTCTTTTGAAAAGATGCAGTAAGGAAATTAAAGTTCCACGTATACACACACACACATATATATATATATATATCCCTTTGTCACAAAACATAATCATATGTCATAACCTTATTATAATCTCCCATATCATAATCTATATATATTTGTCAAAGTACATGACTCCTCAATTCTTATATATATAGATAGGCCTCAAGAACTCTCATAGCATAATGGCATTAGAACCAGTAGTATGATATGCAGAGTAGTAATATATGCACACCTTATCTTACACATGCACCTTCCTCAGCCATATCAGTGCTGAAAGTTTCGGGATTGTTACCCGTAGAAGCCCATCCCTGCACCACAACCAATCATCAATATCAGCATGGAAAGGGTCATCTTCAAAGAGAACCATTTGAAAGCTATGGTAGAAGACAACCTATCTGAAAATGATCTAGGATGTTGTATTTTGTTTATAACGATAAATCTTAAGTTCTAATAGATGCATGGTATTGAGTGTGTTACAAAAATATATAGAATGTTCTTGACTATGTTCTTTTATATAAAATTTCAGTTATTATGTATATGATTTCCTTATGACAGAATGCTCCCATGCAAGTGAAATCGACAAGGTAATGCTTACTGAATTTCTGCTGAAACATTCTCCTTGTTTGCATTAGAGGGAAGTTGCCACACAACTCGATATGGTCCTTGTAACATTTCTCTCCTGTGATAAAGTGAATCTGACTTATTCAAATTTGCTGCTTCGCAAGACCAGTTTGAGCGATGGCCAGTTACAATCAAGCTGCAGGGGTGAGATGCATAGTTAGGCCCTAAAGAAATTGGATCAGAGCTCATGTATTACAGTGAAGATAGAATAGGTCATGTGCACACTATCTCACACAACATCCACAGCTCATTTGATCACACTAAGAGTAAGCCCATTTGTGTTTAGATCAGAATCTCGTATCCAAGTAAATTTATTGGAAACCACCGGTAAAATATCAGTATGAATATAAATTATAAGGGTGATGACATATTACCTTTGGTTGTTGACCTCCACCTTTAATTTGTCAATACTGATACCAGGAATCTCTAATGTTACCACGTAATTAAATCCAGATTCTACAACATCCATCTTTGGGGACCACTCAGATTCTGCAACACAAGACAAATATACACAAGAAATGAATTATATTCAAGTAGATGGTTATGTTAAAATATATTGTTTTTCTTATGCAGCTAAACAGAGCATCGCTCTATATGTCTAAGTAGAGAGGCATTACTCAACAGCAGAATGAAAATGCAGTCAAACAACCTAAAACTATGGACAAATATTTAAAAATGTTTTCTACAACATGCCCGTCCAGTTGAACATGACTAAAGGTTCATTACTAACTGCAATTACCATGCATAATTTGAATTTGATCACTATGCCCTGCCGCACTTCATCCTTGTCTTCATTAAAAAGATAAATGACATCCTCAACAATCTTGCGTAATAGCTCACTAAATTAAGAGGCACCAATACAGTAATCAACAAAAGAAATAAAAAATCAAGTAATCTATGTCTTTTTTTATATATATATAATATGGGAACTCGCAACGCTACTCGACGATTGCGCTCTGGGTAAACCCTCGGTCAAACCTAATACTCTGCAAACTAGGTCCAACAAGGCAAGTCACATTAGACGAACCATGTGTGACAGGTGAACCTCTAGGCACTTCGTGGTCACAAGTTCACCCCCACACGCCATCTCCTACGGGACAAGTAATCTATGTCTTTTGCATGTGAGGATGGTGGGTAAAGTGGTCTCTCTTTAATAGACAACAGCTATTAAAACGAGATAATGGTTTGGTTTGAAGCACTTGAAAAGAGTGAGATGAAAAGGTCTGCTTAAAGTACAAATACAGAGGAAAAAGTAATCAAAGATTGTGATTATTATAAAATTGAACAAGGAAAACACTAAAGAAAGGAACACCGTAAAAAAAAGCTCATATGGAAAAAACACACACTGATGCAAGCAGCTCTTCACTCAGTCACCTTCAGTTGTGCTAAAAATAACAGTTGCCAAGATGTTTTCCGTTCAACTCTTTTTCAGAAGGAAATACATACTGAGCAACCATTATGTTGCTCAGAGGGGATCTGGTCTTATTTGTCACCTTCATCGCTCACACTATGGCTTATGTTATTTTATAAAACTGAAAATCTCTATTTTCATTCATAAGAAATCGCACATGAAATACATAACTTCTAAATAAGTCAAGAATCTTACATATCTCCCAAATAAAGCCAATACCATAATTACATATATATTTAATATATGTAATGTAGCACCTCTCCTTAAACTTAAGTTGGAATTCTTAGAGACTAACTTGAGCTTGTGCAAGAGATCATAAACTCAGACAGAGAGTTGGTGATGGTCCGAAAGTTGAACAACTTTAGATTTTGAATCAGGACTTATTAGATTCAAAAATATTATCCATTTGAAAGTTTTACATTGCATAAGCTTTATTGTTTAATGGTGCCTACTTGATTGATTTAATGAGCAAAGAATTCTAGGTTATACATTGATTCCCTTTCTTTGCTTCAACTACACTGCCATTTAAATGGCTTTCGCCTTCTTTTTTTTTTTTTTTTTTTTTTTTTTTCTTTTCATATTTTCTACATGTGGTTTTGTGAGAATTTGAATCCTTCAATTACTATCGGATATATTTATTATGTAAGATTTCAATAGTGTTCAAACTGAAGTCCAATTGCATATATAAAGATTTGAATAGTCCACTAAGATAACGATGGATTCAGAGTATACTAGATTCAAAATTGATCGTGCTACTTATAGGGGTATAGGGTTTGGTAATTTTAGTGTAGGCTAAAAACATGTTTATTTGCACATAAAACACCCAAACAATAACTAGACACAAATAAAAAATTCAGAGAACATTGAGCAAGACAATATCGAGTAGGTTGAGACAATGAATTTTACGTCTTGCCTCAAATGAGCACATTTCGCATATTGCTAACAACTCATATTTTGATAAGGATTGTCACTGGTTAAAAATATAGACTCTATTCTTAAGTTTTTTTTTAAAAAAAAAAACAATACAACCCTATAATTTCCTATAAAAGATTTCGATACAAAACATCAAACCTACAACTATTTCACACACACACAAAAAAAAAGGTTCAAATAAACAAACCCATAGTGAAATAACATTTTCTTCTATTCTTTCCCCGGCCTTGCTTTTAAAATAGATGTTCACTCAAGATCCTATACATGTAAGTGGGATTGAGGTATTTCTATCTATTATTTGGAGACTTATAATTAGTCAGATTTATTGGATAGATCTTCAATTAATTAAATCTCTAAGAACCACAAAGTTATGAGAATGCCACATCGATGGTAAAAGGATAAAATTTGTGGATGTAATGCAAATAAATAATATTCATGTTGCGAAACAAAATGACTATTAAGACTATAACAAAAGTAGTAATGGCTTGAAGAGAAGAAAATTAAAGAACACCTTAACATACCCTTTGATGTAAAATTATCAGTGCTTTCATTATTTTGGCACTGGGGCTGCCCACATTGTATGCTTGGTTTTGCAAAAATGGGAGCTTCCAGAGCATTGCCATTATATTGGCAGCCTTCAACTGCAGAAATTGTACTCTTGACTGTTGGAATACCTGGTTTGACCTGAGCAGGGCGAGCAAAAGCAGGTGCATCAGGACCATTAGGCTGCATTTCTCCACAACTGTTTGATTTTGAAATCTTACCAAATTGAACATTAGTCTCCTGTAGAAAGCATTGAAAAAATAAATAAATAAAAAAGATTATGCTAGCACTTCTTTAGACAGAAATGCATGAAATTTTTTATCAACATCTTCCATACCTGTTCAGGACTAGATACCTGTCTCATAAAGCCACCTTGAGAATCAGAACCTTGCCGGGCAAAGAATGTTCTGTTGTCAAATCTCCGACTAACAGGATTCAGTGTGTTGCTAAAGTCCTAGACATAATAAAGCCACCTTGAGTAAAAAAGATTATACTAGCCCTTCTTTAGATAGAAATGCATGAAAATTGTTATCAACATCTTCCATACCTGTTGAGGACTAGATATCTGTCTCATAAAGCCACCTTGGGAACCAGAACCTTGCCGGGCAAAGAATGTTATGTTGTCACGTCGCAGATTAACAGGATTCAGTGTGTTGCTACAGTTCTAGATGTCATATATCAAAATGAAAAGGCAAAATAAGTAAAAAGAATACTAGATGTAAAATTTAAAAGTGAGAAAAAGGATGGAATCACAGAAAATGCATTACACGTGCATGTGTTATACAAAAATTAAACCATTATTTTTCTTTGTTATCTATAATAACATGACTTAGAGGAGACATGATGGTGGAGCTTTTGAGGCAGTGAGAAGTTGAGAATAAAGAGAAAAGCACATATCAATGATTTGATTTGAGTATGTTTTAACAGAACAATTGAAGGCCCATATAAAGCATGCGAAAAAAAAAAACTAACAAAGAATATAAAATCGAGCATACCTATAAGCAGCCTAATACATAAAGTATAACATATAATTCAAATATAGCTTTTTAGAACATATTAGAATCATTCTCCTAACATGACTGTAAAAATCAGTAGAACAAATCATTGTGTATGTGAAGCACTTCTTCATAATATGACGCTTCCAATCATCTTCAAATTTTATTCTGAAGCACTTCTCTTCATAACAAGATATTGTTGATCATCTTAAAATTTGTTATATGCATTCTCTCATCAACCTTAACAAATTTGTTAATGCACTTTCTCACCACCTTGTAAATGTAGCACTTCTCTCCAACACTTCTTGCAATCTAAATCTTCTGATGCTGTGAAACCTTGAGCTTCTATACTCTAGACTCCCTTTTTTTATTCATTATCACAAGTCTGTAAGACTATTAGGAGTTTGATATCTTCTCGACCCCTGCGATTCTACTGCAGTTATGACTCACGAATATTGCATGCGTCATTATGTCTGGAAATTTGTGAATCATGTAACTAAGAGATAAATCTTCTGCTAATATTTGGATATTTATATGGAACAAATTCATGTCCAACCCTGGGGAAGTGGAAGAGTACTTTGGGGTATGAAATGTATGTCATGTATAATGTAGATATAGCTTGATAATTATTTGTGTATCATCAAATGATCATCGATGCTAAATTTCTTGAATCTTTTACACCCTTGTTTCATCTCCCTTCCAATAGATACTCCAAAATCTACATACAATTCATGTCCTATGAGAACATCCAACTGTCTTTACTTCACACTATCTAAGCTCGCCAAATTAGGGCATATTTCTCATGATTTTAAAGGGGAAACGATTTTAAGATGCACATAAACAGCTTCTAGGCTTTTTAAGCTTTAATTGCAGTGGCAATACATTTCCGACAACTAATTGCAAATCCCTCAGCAATTCTCCATCACAACCCAACAGAGCTATTCTTCAAATCCATGTAAAATAGATTTTACTGCTACTTATGTTTAGAAATTTTATTTAATTTTCATAGAATATAGTCTCCATGGCTGAATCCAGAAATGAAATACTGAAATAAAACAGACAATCTTCTTCAGGTTAAAAATCCAATGGCCAGTGCCAGAAATGCAAAATAAAAAAATAAAAAAATCATAACCAACTTCAGAAAATTATTGTGGTGTTCAAGAAAGCTGCTAATATATATATATATATATATAATACACACAAGAAAAATATGAACAAATCTCCTCCACCAGTCATCTTTATACTTCATCTTCGGTACAAAATACTAACAATAGTCTATAGATCTGTTGAATTCTCTACATTCTCCTGATTTTGAAAATTATAGGACAAAAAAAAATGCTTCAGAAGAGCAAGGCAAAGCCACAAATTTCCAACTCCGTTAAAATGGATATAATTTCTTAAATCAAAACACAGCAGAGAAACAGAAACATTTGCAAGGATTATGGCAACTACCATGGGGAAAACGTGGCCAGGAGTAGCTGAAACATCATCAGGAGAAGCTAAATGCCCAGCAATAACATTCACTCTTCTTTTCACAATTTGACTCTCCATATCGTATGACTAAAAGACGCAACTACGGCCTGAAGAAGGTGGTGTTGGTTGATTGTCTGCAGAGAGAGCTGATGATTGCCGGAACTGATCTCAATTTTAAAGCGCAAAAAAGAGAAGCGGATGTTTCGCCATGAATGATGACATGATTGAAGAGCAGATATTTTTCCTGAACAGTGCAGAAAACGACAGAATAGTTAGGGGTATCGTACAGTGCCATAACAATCAAGCTCAGTCATAGATATCTTTACTGTGAGTGTGTTTGTTTGTAGATTTGATTTTGGGTATGTAATTTTTCATATAGCAAAAGTTTGTAAAAGAATTGTTTTAATCTAATAGTATTTTTTAAATACGCGTTCAATATAAAAGTACTGATATATATTTGTATAATATAAATAGTACAATTATTAAATTAAAAAATAATAATTTTTTTGGGACAAACAAAAATTAAAAATAATATATTTTTATGGGATAAAGAAAGAATTTTTTTAAAAAAAAATTGTTTAGGAGTTTGGATTTTAAGTTGAGAATTGAATAATAAAAATTTTGAATTTAAATAATTGTATAATGGGATAAAAATGGGTGTTGAAATTAATTTTTAATATAATATAAAAAATAAAAAAAATAAAAAAAATAAAAAAATAGATGTTTAATTTAATATTTTTGGAGAAAAAAATTTAATTGAATAGTGTATTTAGAGTAAAATCCCCCAAACAAACACACCCTTAGGATTCTAGGCATGGCGGGTTTGGGGCCGGGCTAAAGTGGGGTAGGGTCTCGAGGGCTACAGAATCGGTCTCGAACCTGCTTTATTGCTATCTTTAATTGCTAATTCATGATTTCAAGAATAAAACTCCTATTGAATCTAACAGACTGACGATTTAAACTTATGACTTCACGTTCACGAATCCGTCTAAACATCGCCCGATCATCTCTGACGTACCTAATGATGATAGGAAAACTGCTCCAATGTTCCAAAAATATATATATTTTTTTTAACTATAATTTTTTACTGTAAAAAAAATATTATTTATGTTTCAATTGAAAGTATGTTTTTATTATTTATATTTTTTCATTTAAAAATTATCTATTTGTCGTTATATTAAAAATAATCGAAGATCAAAATATAAATATAAAATTATTAAAATTATCTTAAAATTAATAAAAGATTATTATATCCAATCTATCACAAAATCTCATTATATAACCTAAATAAAAATAATTTTTTTTATCAATTAACTCATTTATTTTTTGTTTATCGTTAAAAATATTGTTATATTTATATAATTTTTTATAAATGTATTATAAAAACTAATAATACTTTTGCCATTTTATTCTGATTTATATTATACTAGCGGAAAGACCCGTACGGTGCCATCAAAAAAAAATTATTAATTTTGTATTTAATAATAAATTTTATAAAATTTAAAAAGTGTATATATATCTACTAACACTATAAAAAAAATTGTAAAAATTATATAGATTTTAAATACCCTACCAAGATAAAAAACTGTAAAATTAAAAAAAATTAAAAAAATAAAAAAAAATCCCAAAAATATCAAAAAGGAGAAATTAGGAACTAATATCAAATACATAATATATAGAATATAGATAATATATAGATGATATGATATGATCGGACGAGGTAGTACAATTTATTTTATTTGACAAACTGATTTTCTAAAAAAATAAATAAGATTGAATCAATTATTTATTTATTTTTAAAAAATTAATTATATTTTTTTATTTATATACGATTTGTATAATTTATGTCGTATTTACAAAGAAAATAATACTACCGTAATTATAATTCTTGATTTCAATAATCTAAATTAAAAATATCTTAAACATCTGCATATTATACACACACCCTCTAATTAATCAAAAAATAATTTTTTGGTGTGGTTTTCGTAAGTTCTAAGCCTAATCAAAACAAAAATCATTCTACAGTTCAACTGCCGACACGAAATCCCACCCTCGGACGGATACGCACACTCCACCAAACTTCAAACTTCAAACTTCTCAAGAGGAAGGAAGGCACAGATCGGATCGAACTTCTGCTGCAACCCTTTTTTCTCTCGAGTAGGACTCCGGGGAGTGAAAAGCAATTCCCAATCCATCACCCGGAGCCTGTTTCAATCTCGTTGTCTTTCTTGTATGGTTAGGTTCTTTGATTTAATCCAGATTTTGATCCAATTTAGTATCTGCAGTTATGCCTTTCAATTCTATTATCTTTTTAAGTTGACGCAGATTTGATTTTTAGCTTGTTCGGTTTAATTTTAAGTGGAGATCTATTTCAAAATTAAAACCACTATTTGCGAGTGAATTAAGGGAGTTTGGAGTTTCTGTGATTTAGTATTATTTCTTTTTGGAATGATTCTGATCAAATCATTTCTCCTTCTTTTTAATGTAGTTGACTGTGAGGTAACTGGCAATTCTGGGGTTTGAAGGTATTTAGTTGTGTTTGTTTTAGGATTTGGGTGGCAGAGAAAGAATGTGGTGAAGGCACATGGTGAAGGGCAATTCCTGTACCTAAAAGTGCTGAGAAAAGTAAATTAAGGAAGACAATAGGAGATCAGGAATTATATGGGAAGCTTATTCCCACCTGGTGGCTATATGAGGCAGTAAATTAGCAATACTTTTGTTTTAAGTTGCTATTGCTTGAGCTGCGTGGATTGGGAGAGAGATATTCTATTAAATATATTTCTTTGAAGTATGGATCATGCTGGAGAAATTGATCGTGGTTCTCCTACTACGGATTTGAGAGGTCGAAATGACAGTTATGTGCCTCTAGACATTGAAAGTAATGATGGTATTGATAAAAGTTATACACATGGCACCAATGGCGTTAATCACATTGATTATCGCGGTCCGTATGGCAAAAACGCAAAGAGCCCTATATCTGCTGCAGATGTGCTGAAGACATTGTTTTTCATACTGGTTTGGTACACATTCAGTACATTCTTGACCCTGTGAGTGCTGCTTTTTCAATTGTCGATAGTGCAATTTGTATCTGTTTGGTAAATTGTTTCTTCTTATGGATATGTTATTGTGATGATGATGATTTTTTATTTTACTTGGAGCAGTTACAACAAAACTTTGTTAGGGGACGACTTGGGGAAATTCCCTGCCCCACTATTGATGAACACTTTCCACTTTGCAATGCAAGCTGCATTGTCGAAGGCCATTACATGGTTTTGGTCTCACAGATTTCATTCTCCTGTTATGTCATGGAAAGATTACTTTGTTAGAGGTAGGAGTCTTATGATTACACTAATGAAATGTTTTCTAAATCCTTTGCTCTCCTTTTTGTACCTTTGTAATGTTTGCACTTTGCACATCTCTTCATATGCAATAGTCTTTGTGAAGTATATCTGTTAATCACATTTGTTCTATGCAAACCATGTTATGCTGTGAAGTTTTCCTTTATGCTTGTTTTATGAATTAAGATGTCTTAGTGACTTGATTGTGAATTATTCTTTCATTTTTGGCTGATTCTTTTCACAGTACCATTCACTAAATGTAAAATTTTGTGACATCAGTGAACATCTATAACCAGATAAAATATCAACTCATCTGCATTCTGCACAGAGACATCACTTTAATTTTTGTTTGTTTGTTCTCAAGCCATTTTCATATTTAAATCCTTAATCATCTTGAAATTTTTAGTTAGTGTCTCTTTCCTTAAAAATTATATCCCTCCCATCTCACTGATTTTTAGTTCTTAGTTCAGCCTCAAAACACATTTAAGGTTTGGCACTCCAGCATATTCTCTTCTGCCACATAGCTACAGTCATACCTTTAGTTGCTTTTCCAAAGATTCTCTTGTCACAATTAATGGTAGACACTTGGGCCTGTAACTCTGTGAATGGGCGTTGCATTAATATGTGTAGATACTTCACTCCACCAGTGACTGTTGTCTGAATAGACTAGGTTTAGGCAGTATCTGAATCTGAGTGAAATAGATTAGCATGCTTTCTTCTGGGTTGCTTTAATATTTAGCCATTTCAAATGATCTTTCTACTTTGAAATTATGAGATATACATTTTATCCTCCATCTATCCTCTGTTATTCTATGTAGCTGTTAATCATGTTTCTTCTATGACACTCCCCAGTATCTGAATCCTCCATCCCCCCACTATTTTTCCAGTTCTTATATAATATAAACCCTCTTTACGTTTTCTGATGGCTGTAATGATTTAAAGGACTTGACGGAGTTTTAAATTTTTTTTGTTTTCATGTTCCCATTAGCTTGGTCAAACCTCTCTTCTAGGTTACTTTCAACACTAGCCCCTTGATTTTCCTGTGCTGTTTGTTACATAGTATGAAAAGCCTACCTCCTAAAATTTAATTCACAATTTTGTTCATCCAAGGTTTTAGTTACAATTTGTTTCTTCCTACTCATTTGTTGTGATGTGGTGCGTTGATGATACCATATTACTAATATTCGTACATTCTACTTGTTTAATGGTTACATCATCATTAACTTCTCTGACAACTAATGCTACAGATGGCCTTTGCATTTCACAGTTGTACCAACGGCTCTGAGTACTGCAATGGATGTAAACTTAAGCAATGAATCCCTGGTTTTCATCTCTGTTACATTCGCCACAATGGTTAGTCGATTTTATCCTACAAATTTAGAAAATTGTTTATGCTTCAAGTGTTGAATCAAATTGCTTCAAAACCTTGAGTTTTTGGGAACTACGAATTGATGATATTTGGGCAATTTTTCCTGGTTGGCCTCATGTGAAATTTGTTTTCATAATTCCTCAAAGGATCTGCAAATGAATATCAGGAAAACATGATGGAGATTGAAAATTATGGTCATTGTTGAAGACCAACACAAAATTTTCTGCTAAATAATTAGTTATTTTTGTTTAAATAAATTAGAACAAGTAAGAACAGTGGATCTTTCATCTGAAATTGGTGAAGGAGAAAAGCACTGTGAATTAATTTGTAGACAGTTGCTTTGGTCCCCTCTTATGGAAAGGGCACAAAATAGCATTGAACAAAAGAGTTATCAAAGCAAGAAACTAGTGTGCTTTGAAATTGCTTAACGATGAACGAACACTTGTAGGCTTTTTAATTTCCTACATCAGTGTATTTTTGCTATTTTGTTATATTGTTTGTGATTATAGACTTGCACAAAATGTCATATAGGGGCTCACTTTCTATCATATAATTTTTGGATGTAATATATTTCACGCAGAAGCATTTGAAGATTTCAGTAGGTTTTAAGTTGATCATATGTAAGAGTTTTGCATTCTATTACTATGGAATTCTTGCCATATCTTTGAATTAATAGTTTATTATGATGTTATTCGCAGTGTAAATCTGCAGCACCAATATTTCTCCTCCTATTTGCCTTTGCTTTCAGGTATTTCTCTATGAACTTTGCTGGTTTCATTATCTTTTGGCTGCTACTTTTAGATCATTTATTGAATGCACAGATTGGTTTGGTATTCTTGTTCCCTCTGAACGCTTTGACTTGCTTTGAGATAGGTGTTGTATCCATCATTTAAATTATAACTCAACTTTTATTCTGTAGATTAGAGTCTCATTTAAATTATAACTCAACTTTTATTCTGTAGATTAGAGTCACCAAGTGTTAAGCTGGTTGGCATTATCTTTGTGATTTCTCTTGGGATACTATTAACAGGTATGAAGTTGATCGTTTTCATCACTGTTACTGAATTGTTCTATACATTGTCAGATAGCTCAATATTCTTTATCCAAAACAAATGATTTATTAGTTTTGATACTTCTTAAAAAAATTTGAGCTGGGGATGATAGTAAAAAACATTTATTTTTAATGTTGCTGGTGCATGCTAACTTCTGCTGTAATATTTCCTGTTCTTGAAGGGATTCTATAGATCCTATAAACGTGCATTTTCAGGGAATATACCAAAATGCCTATCCAACTTTATGTAAATAATGTTTTCAGAAAGAAAATGAATCAATAGAAAGATCCTACCAAAATGCCTATCCAACTTTATGTAAATAATGTTTTCAGAAAGAAAATGAATCAATAGAAAGATCCTAGAATAGATGTGTGATCTAATGTTCAGATGAACATTATATCTTGTTTCAATGATTTTGTAAATTGTGAAATCTAGATATCCGTATGCAGATATGTTGCTGTTTTAGTTTGTTGTTTTGCCTCTAACTTTTTGGTATAAATTCAGTCGCAAAGGAAACAGAATTTGAGTTTTGGGGGTTTGTATTGGTTATGCTTGCTGCTGTTATGTCTGGATTTCGTTGGACAATGACTCAAATTCTGCTTCAGGTAAGACTAGCATTACACTTGTGACTCATATATTTGTAATTCTGGTAATATTTGCCTTTTTCCATCGTAAAGCATTTGTACATGTTCTCATGACATTCCTGTGTTCTGGTTGTCTTTTTCAAATGTTCGTGCTGATATGAAAACCTGCATGAAGAAAGAAGCCTATGGTAAGTTTTATTAATAACCACTTGCTTCACCATGATCTTAAGAAATTAATTATTATAGCTACTAGCATGGAATTACCTGATGAATTCCCATTCTAATCAATACATTTGTTTTTCAAAATTTAAGCAATTTTCAATTTCTTGATCTTGTGTTAGCCACAGAATCCTGGTGGATATTCAATATCTTGTTTTTTACTCGAGTGGTAGGGCAAACTCTTTAGTTAATTATGAATCACACATCACTTCCTTTGTTTTGAGGATTATATTCGTTTCATTCCACATTCTTTCATTGTATGTCTATAATTATCTGTCTGGTAAAATAAGGAGCCTACTTCTAAGATCTATTGGTATGCAGTCCTTAACAAAGAAAGTTGATTTGATATATGTGAAGTGGATTAGCTCTTTGAACCTGGATTAGTCTTCAATTCAAATCAACATCTAGCAGTTGCAGTCAAAGAAATTGCATAAAACTGTTCTTGCTGCCTCCTCCAAGTGCGCTTTGGGTATGCCTATACTAATGAGGGTTCTAGACTTCTAGTCAATTTACACATAGGTGGTCCTTAATGATGATTGAAGTGAAAGTGGCTACTGTTTTCATCAAGGAACAGTTGTCTTACACCAATTGGCTGTGACAATTTCAATAGTTTTCAGTAAACATTATCGGCACTGCTCTATCAGCTCTCACATCTTGTTAAGGAATACCATGAAAATTCTGGTTGGGCAAGTGGCATCAAGCTGCATTTCTTGTAGATGTATGAGAATCATTGACATAATATCATTTACCTTTTAATATCTGTATCTGTGATCCTACCAAACAAAATAATGCAACTGATATGAATTTGGTTTAATGGGAGTGGCCTTACATAGTCTTATGGATTAACTGTAAGTTTTACTCTATAAGAAAAATGGCAATGCTTGCTTTATTGTCACTAAGCCTACTTCAATATTGTCTTCTATTTAACCCTTATTGGAAACTAACTTGAATACAAAATCAAGGGCTAACCTCTATATTTTCTTAAGATATTTGTTACAATATTAATATTTTATCTTAAAACCTATTTATTGTTTTAAACTAGATCTTTGTTTTATGAAGTCCCATTAGCAACAATATCTTTTTGTTGTCTCTTTTTCCAGGTCTTAAAAATCCACTTACTTTGATGAGTTATGTGACCCCAATTATGGCAATTGCAACTGCTGTACTTTCTCTGACATTGGATCCGTGGCATGAGTTCAGAACCAGCAGTTACTTTGACAGTTCTTGGCACATCATGAGAAGTTGTTTGCTCATGGTCTTTGGTGGAACCCTGGCTTTCTTCATGGTAGTAGATTCTGGATTTAGTTATTTGAATTTAGCACTATTTAACATTCCATCGTGTTTTAATATGTTTAAATTCTTTGTCACAGTCTTGTAAATCAAATTAAATGCTTGGTAGTTGGATCAATCACTTGTCTTAAACTATACTCTGTAATTTATCAATGGCCGTTGTCTTACTTTTATAATTCATTTTGTAATCAATTTCTTTCCAATGCTGATGTCTCATAAGAAGTGATGGTTACAAGGCTGAAGAATATACCATCTTTACACTTCAATTCATTACTGCATTTCACCTACTTTAAAACTTTCATCTCTGGATGCTTCATTTTTTGATTCCTTGCAGGTATTAACAGAATATGTTCTTGTGTCAGTGACTAGCGCTGTAACAGTAACAATAGCTGGGGTTGTAAAGGAAGCTGTAACTATCGTGGTATAAAGGACTACAGTTATATTTCTAAGTTTTGAATTTCTTACATTGTGGGTATTGTTAGTTTTATTATTTGTTCCATTTTTATTGTTATTCTTGATTACTGAATCAATTATGAACCTTGATGTTTTCTTCAGGTAGCTATTTTTTATTTCCATGATGCATTTACATGGATGAAGGGATTCGGCCTTCTAACTATTATGGTTGGCGTCAGTTTATTTAACTGGTACAAGTAAGTCATGAATCCTGTGACTTTCAACAATTGTCTGGTTATTCGTAGTTGGTTTCATAAATTTTGCATTGCATAATTAAATATAATTATCTAGGTTTGATGAGTCATTTGTGGGTAAAATTTCCTTTGTAATGTGGACGTTACCATGCTTACTTGACGATTTTTTGATCTATGGAAGTCAATTTCAAATTATGCTGTCTGTTTAGTGATGTTTAAGATCCTGCATATTTCTTTACATCTTTTTTTTTTCCCTTAAAATGAGAATAATTGAGAGTGAAGTGGAGTAAAGGTTTCACTGTCTTGAATAACACTGAAGTCTCTCTATTTTAGTCAGAGGCAGGATTTAGTTTGAGATTACCTTACTTGTTAAATAATTTCATGAAGTGTGTCACCATACCCCTTAGTGAACACATCGTAACTTACATTGAGAAAGGAAAATATGGTGTGTAAGTATGTCAGTTCATTAAAGGGGTTGTTTAATGCCCTTGTGGAATACTGCATAGGATGTACTGCAGTCTGATTTTTGTTATCTGAGTAATTGTTAATGGTGTGTGGATATATGTTCTTCTAACAAATTCTTCGGGCACAATGTTTCACTAACTCTATTGGTTATGGCATTGTATTTGTCTTCAATATTGAAAGTAGTTACAAGCCTTCTCATAATTTGTGGCTTCACGTTGGATCTAGTTGTACTACCTATTTCTTATTTTGTCAGAGTACAAGATTTCCTCGAGTAGGTGCAATATCAAGAACAAGATTTTCTATTGGCCTTTGAGTTGGCATAATTAGCATCGAAGTTAGTTTGACTTTAAGATGACTGTTTATATTAAACAGCAGAATAGCAGATGTTGATAGGGTCTTGATTACTGTAAGGGTAATGGGTAATGGAATCATTCTGTTCAAATCATCTGAAGACCAGTATGTTTTGAGTGATAGGGTTGATAAGAAATGAATTTAATTTAGCTAATATGAAGATCCTACAAGCTATTGATTAACTAAATAAAAGTACTTTTTAATCGGCACAAAATGCAGGGCATGTATTTGATAGATGTTGGAGATTAAGTTATTATCATTTGAAAGATATACCTGATCAAAGTAACTGCACATATATGGAATAGGTTTTAAACATAGAATGATATCTCCAATTAGAATTCTGATGTAATACGCATGTTCGAAGTCCAAGCAAGCACAAAGAATGCTTCAAGCATACAGTAGATGATCAGAATGACCGCCTCACCTAAAAGCTTACGTTATTGGTGATGGGCATCATTAATACTCTTTGGCTTTGGAATGCATTTGGATATCTCTTTGTGTAAATTCATATTCCAGCAACAATGCTTGTGAAACATTGAAATATTCATATGCCTTTACCCATATCAATTTAAATTAGATTTGGTAAATTTGAGAATGATTTGGATTTTCTATGTTCTTGACAATTTGTAATTATGAACAAATGTTTCCACAATAATTTTGCTACCTGTAATTGAATTCACACTGATCTTTAGGTACCTGAAATTAAAAAAGGGTGAGACTGCCGTTGCAGTAGAACAAGATGCTGCAGCTTCGAAGTATGTGATTCTTGATGAGATGGATGAGGAAGAAAATGCTCTTGAGAAGGCTCAACTGTCCAATGGAATTAATGAACATGAGTAAGACTCATCTGAAATTTTTATCGATATTCATCCTGTTTATCTATGAGGTTTGAGTAGAGTTTCAATCCATTCAGAATGCTATCTTGATTTTTGGAAATGACACTGTTTTTCTAAACAAGCTATTTTGCCTACGCGCACATTCACACACATGTTTATCATTAAAGCTGATGTATACCCCAATTTTACTCAGGCTTGTAGGCAACTGAATTTCTATTTCACCCAAAAATCTTTCTTATTCATAGTTGAATCTGACCCATTTATTCATTAACGATTCTTTTTTCTTTGTTACTTTCTTCCCGAATCTTGTAAGAGCGATGTTCATATTTAAAATTTCAAAATCACCCTGAATTATTAAATTCCTAGATTTACTCTCTACTGCGATCAAAGACAACTTTCTTGAATTTGATTCCTACATGCATTGCGAAGAACTAATGGAACATACACGTACAATAAGCACTACAGTAGCTCATACTTGCTAACATCTCTCGAGGTTTCTTGTTTAGGTCGGTAGCATCAGATGACATCCAGGAGGCTGGTGGCTTCGTCTCTGGTGACAACAGGTAGTACTTCAAATCTCACCACCGTGCCCATTTGTGTATGCCGGGATTTTTCCAAGGTCCATGTATCATTATTGAAGCCATTGGTTGCTGTTGGCTGAACACTAGTTTGAGATGAGATGTAGTAATTTTTGTGTGCCAATTTGGTGAAAATGTTGGGAGATGAGATATGATGACCTTTTGATATTCTCATCTCAAATTATTCACTCCTAATTCAAAATATTTTCCTCCATTATCAATGTATATTCGAATTTCATACAATGGATTGGGTTCAAGCCAAAATTTTATTACCAGTTCAATTTTGGAAATGGATTGGGTTGCTCTGATCTGGTCTGGTCTAGGCTAAATCTGACTTCATGTTTTTTTGCTTTTGTGTAAATTAAACGCACATGTATGTATGGTGAGTAAAATTGTGCCGTTATTAATGGTTGAATGGGAGTAGAAATTTCTATTTGGATAATTATTATGATAGACGTTTATTTGAGGTTTTATTTAAAAAAATTAATTTTTCTATGAAATTTGTTTCTCTTACCGAAAGTAATAATAAGATTCTTCATGTTTATATTCTCTAGGTCGTCGAATTTTATTCTTATTTGATCGGAAACCGATTTAAAAGTAAATGAGTAAAAATAATTTTTTAAATATATTTTTTTCTTTTACCGTAAAAAAATGATATTTTTTTTAATGAAAGATAAATTTATATAGACAATAAAAAAAAAAAGAATAAATTTAAATAACAAAGTATAAAAATACGTAAATTAAAATATTAAACAAATACACCGTTTGAGTTTGAGCTTTTACATTTTATTGGTAATTGTATTGTAAACTAAATAATAATGATTTTTAATTGAAATAAAAAACAAAAGCACCCTATACTTTTATTTCAAGAAATATATCCAATAATAATACTAATAAATATATATATATATATAAATCATACTTGAATAGTTGAGCCATTTAAACAATAGAGGAATGATTAAAAAGTAAAAATTTTGATTTTTTTTTCTTCAATGAAGTGGAATGGCCGCCGTCGCTATTCAAAAATATGCACGGATAAAGGCTGACAAGACAAGTCAAACTAACGAGTTAAGTCATAAGTCCACCCTAAGTCAATAGGGACAAATATTGAATTTAGAAAATGTATAAATAATAATAAATAATAAAAAATACATTAGTAAAAATACTTATGAGATAATAATAATTATTATTAATTAAGATAATTAAATAATTGAATTAAAATTAAAAAATATAAATTATAAAATTTAAACATAATTGAAATATATAATTATCTTTTTAAAAAAACATAAATTATAGTATGTAACTAAAATAGTAAACATTGATATTTTATGTAAAAGTAATAATAATAATTTTTAAAGAAAGAAAAACATAATGACATGATAGTACAGAAAACAAAAGTCAAACAAAATACAGAAAATCTTTACCAAACACAGCAAAGCCACAAGATGGATTTGAATGTGATGACGAATGGCCCAATAGAATTAGACGAGCTGCGCTGCGCGGGCCAGGCTGGGTGGGTGGGTTATCGTCTTCCTTCCTTCCTTCGCCGCCTTGGATTCTGCTCGGTGGCTATGGCTTTTCGTCGATCCAACTGAATTTGGAACTGAAATTGAAATTGACCGTCCTCATCATTTGCAGTTCGAAGCTTCCCCACTGAATTATTATTACCATATAACATCAGAAATCTCTATGTTCACCTGAATATGCTCTCCACTTCCGTCAGTCCACGCCACTATTGCTGCAACTACCCCCTCCCTACTCATCCCTTCTCCCATGATCTCCATCTCCATCCTCCCTGCAATGTTACCTTCAATTTGAATCCCCGCAAGTTCCCCGGCGCAAATCAAAGCATCCTCAAGCTCACGGCGACTCTCAGTTGCAGCAAAGAGCGTGAACAGGATCAGAGCCATCGGAATACTGAAGACGACACCTATTCATATAGACAAAGCGACGGCGAATTTCTCCATGATTTTCGCTCTTCTGCTGACGTTCCGGAAGGAGCAACTGTGGGGGAACAATCTGCTGTGGCGGACAGCCGTTCGGGCATTTTGTGGAACATGTGGTGGGTTAATCTTAAAGCGGCTCTGGGTCAGAGAATTAACCTAGAAGGCATTGCTTGCTTCGTCGGGGTTTTGTCCAAAAACAAGCAATTGGTAATCCCGCATGTTTCCGTGCCCGACATTCGGTACATTGATTGGGCTGAGATGAAGAACAAAGGTTTCGAAGGCGTTGTGTTTGACAAGGACAACACCATCACTGTTCCTTATACTTTAAGCTTGTGGCCGCCACTTCGCTCATCTTTAGAACTGTGTAAATCTTTATTTGGCAGTAATATTGCGGTGTTCAGTAACTCTGCGGGTATTGATTCCTTCTGTAGCCTATTTGGAATTTTTGAGTTTAGAATTTCTGTGTAGTTTGATAGTCTATTTTAGTCTCACTGTATTGGCATTTCCTAAATTTCAGGTTTACGTGAGTATGATCATGATGGAAGAAAAGCTGCAGCCCTTGAGGATGCAATTGGAATCAAAGTGATACGGCACAGTAGGTTACTGAATTGGAGTTTTATCACTTGAAAAAATCTTCGAATAGGCACGGAATTCTTCAAGAGAATATCGGTATAGGGGCAAATGTTATTGGTGATTTGATAGTAATATGCTTATATGTTATCTTTTGAAGTTAGTGTTTATACAATTTGATTTCATTCTCTTATCATTTATACATGTTGATGAAAGTCCGTATACGGGTTTTTCTTGTTTATATAATTCAAAAAATGTTCATTATTGTAGTAATGAAATCTTATAATTATGGTTATATATGGAGTTTGAAAGTAATTTATTTTATATTCAAGATTTCGGGACTAATAAATAAAATTCTCAAATTTCTTGTAATAGACTAGGATGGGACCAGGACAAGTATATTGTTAGTTATTCAAGACGTGATGGGGAAAAACTTGCCTTGCGCCAGCCAGCATCTTCATTTATTTTGTTTTCTAATGCATGCTTTTTTGTAATTTTGTGTTTATTAAGGAGTGAAGAAACCAGCTGGAACAGCCGAAGAAATAGAAAGCCATTTTGGTTGCGACTCGTCAAGACTAATTATGGTAAGTGCATTGTTGCTTTCTTCTTTCTTCTTGTCGTTTGACCTTTTTCCTGGCACTATTGGGTATCACATCTCATACCACATCAATCATGATAGGTGGGCGATCGACCCTTCACGGATGTTGTGTATGGAAACAGAAATGGATTTTTCACAATATTGACTGAGCCTTTGAGCCTTGCCGAGGAACCATTCATTGTGAGACAGGTTTGTAGTTTCTATTTATTATGTTTTTTTTGGTGCTATTAAAGAAACCTATACGACAAGGCTTGACATGACGTAAATATGTTGAATTGTTGATGATCTAAATTGCTATGCATTGGTCTTTAAGAATAGCAAATGAAATTTATGTTGTCGCATAAAATATCATGGGAGCATGTGTATATGTGGATATATATATATATATATATGCATATTTATATATTATAGGAGCTGAGTTTGGGTATTTTTGAACTCATTTAAACCACACTTCTTTTGAACTCATTTAAACCACACTTCTCACCAGTTAATGGTTTGTTATCATTGCTCTGGATGTCTAAGTTGTCTTGGAATTGTTATTTGGAAGTAGTGTAAAAGAAACCTATTGCATTACCTTACATGTGCCTTAAATTGCCTCAAAATGATTAACATGATCTTATCTGTGTTAATTTTAGGAAGGTTGTTGTGTCTATGGCTAAAATTTGCTTGATTTTATTCATAATTTTGATATCCACTTTCCATCCCCACCATTCAAATCTCATTGGTTTCACGCTGAACACCTCAAATATTACCTCTGAAACTTGGTTCCTTCCCATTTAAATCTCCGCTATTCACACTGAGCACCTCAAATATAGCATGTAAAACCTGGTTCCTCACCATTCTTCTGTTGGTAGGCTTGTAGCTCTTACAACAACTATTGATTCCAATTACTGCTTCTTTGAAAATGGTGGGTAATCAAAATGGAGTGATGTATTGTAGGGGAAGTTCTGTAGGCAGGATTTGATGAAATATTGACTTTAGATCTAAGTTGTTGAAGTAATGGTATGAGCAATGAGGGCATCGAAAGAGCGTGGAAGTTATAAAGTAAATGCAATAGTAGGGACTATCGTACGGGTATCTTTAGTTTGTATGCTGGGATGAGATTAGTATATATTATTTCATCTTATTTAATATGTATGTTATTCATTTTTATCATGCTTAAATAACAAATGATTAGGTTGCATATGCATTATGCAATCATCTTCTTTTAACTAAGCATGCCTTCCTTGGGTTCTTATAGGCAGGATTTTCAGAATATTGTAACCTGGGTTTGTAGGTCAAAGTTAAACATTTAGGTTAGCCAAAGCTTGAGCATTGCCACCATGCCATGCCAGGAAGTCTGTCTTACCACACAAGACCTCCCAAATAGGATGCTTAGGTTAAAATGTAAATGAATCCATTCTCGGTAATTTAAAGCTTTTATAAAATAATCAAGTCATGATATAAATAGCAATCATACAAACCAGAATTTAACCTGAAAGCCATTGAAGTACATGTCAATGATTGGAAGTCAAATTATGGCACATGATCTTTCGCAAGTAGCTGTGTGCATATTGTCAATCTGGCTTTATTCCTGAAAGTCATATTCCCTTGCTCATTGCTACGCAATGGCATCAAATTCGAAAGCGTTAGGGGGTTGAAATTGAAAACAACTTTGAATGGGAACATGTTCGTGGAACTATGGATAGCTCTATTATAAAAAATGCATTAGTTTCTCATCCAGACAAGCTTTTCTAAAATACCTCAGCTTTCCCTTTAGTTTGGGATGATATGCCGAATAAAAAAGAAGGAAACATAAAAGCTTTCCCCAAACCCTAGTTTTCCGGAAATGTTATTCTAGAATGGTTTTAAAATTTTGGTATCACTGTTAGAAAGAATTGCACCGGGAATACTATGCATTCTAAATACTTTAAAACAAGTTTGTAACATGCATTATGTCATTAGTTCTATTACAAGCAATGAAGTGTGCCATGTTAGAAAATTGTGTGCCAACTAATATAATGCAATCTTTGCCAATTTTAGAGTAGGATAGTTCTAAAATGAACTTCATGCCAAGGCCATCCTAAGGCATTTCCGGAATAAAAAATGGTGTGCATAATCCATGGGGTTTCAGTCTCGACTTGGATTGCTTGCACGTTATGCATTGACTGATGTACTTCGCAAAATCTGATTGCATGTTAGGTAAATAGAATTGCTTCTACATTAATTTCAATATTTTGTTGATATTGAAGGTGCATTCTGTTGTGTGTGTTTTGGTGCTTTTTCTTTTGATGTTTTTGAGGTGAAAATAGTTGTTTGATGTAATATTTTGTATAGAAAATGGATGTTGGATGTAATGCTTTTTAAGCAAAAATAAATAATTGAATGGTAAGTGATAGAAACCAAATGGTGATGTAGTGAGCTTCAGTAGTTTGACAAATTTGCAATAGTTTGAAGCATCCTCCTACAATTAATGCATAGCCGTCAAGAATAAAGACAAAGAGGGATCTCATATCCAAGTTGCCATCATAACCAACAACCACAAAACCATGAATGAAATAATGTAAGGGTGGCCTAGTTAGTGTGGTGCTTGACTGGTGACTGCAAGGTCATCAGTTCGAATTCCATCAATGCCTTCTCAGTCGAGCCTATCACATTTGGAGGTTATTGCGTTCAGCCTACCCGTTCACACTCAAAGAATAGTTGTTGTGGGTTTCTATGCCATAAAAAATAATAATGTACGGGATTTGGGAGTTTTGGAAAAATATTAGACCTTTATCAAAAGAGCCTTTTAAGTATTTTAGAATCCACTAGCAAGGCAACAGAATACTTTAGGATGGAGAAAACTCACCCGATAGCAAGGCAACAAAGTACTTGCAGCTATTTATTGGCAGCAAAACTCACCGAGGGCGAGTAGTGACTAACAAGTGACACCTCAGCTCGGTGGATTAGAACTCACTCAGAAACTCTCTGGTGATGAACTCATAGGCGACGGCTATGTATTTGTCACCAACCTGACAATGTCAACATATCTTTTGTACATTTGATTTACACCTTTTGACACATGAAATAGAAGATGCAGAATGATTTCTTTAACTAGGAAACCTGAAGTGCCTTAGATGCTAAACTAATCTTTGTCTATCAATTCTCTAAACATTACATTTTTCATCGCTTTTTCCTTACTTTTCAAACCTTTGTTCTTATTTCTAGTGGCATGTAATTGATGGGAAAAAATGTTGACAGGTGCGGAAGCTGGAAGGAGGCTTTCTTAAAATATTATCTAAAAGAGGGGTGATGCCAATCAGTCACAGGCTTGTTACAGATCCTATGAAGTGTATTAAGAAAGTAGCACTGTAATCAATGTTTTTGACAGAAAATATTATTGCTATTTATTTATTTATTTTATTAGCTATTCACTTTTCGATTACTGAAAGAAAACCTTTTGGACAGCTTAAGTCCTAGTTTGTTGATCTCAATAGCTTTCTAATCACCGATCATTTTCATCTATTATTGATAGTGCTAATAAGTTGATGATTAGTGAAGGAACTCAATATATGAGTGACCCACACAGCATTTGCAAGTGAGGTCAACGGTCTGGAGAAGTGCTGCACCGGTGGCGATTCTAACTACAGACCACATTGCGGGGAAGAGGGCCGCATCGACATGGTAATTAAGCTGACATCCTTCTTCCTTGGTATTAAATACTTTGGTGATGTTGGGTACAGTTCCTTTTCTTTTATTAGCTATTCCTATTTTGTTTCTTTCGTTATAATTCTAGTCTAAACATCCGACAAATTTATACTCAACAAATTCCTTACATTGTTAGAATTACAACATTTATTCTACTCTTTGATAACAGAAATTGGAAATGAGGATTGTCATAAAACAAGTACTTTTTTTTACTCCTGCTGTCTTGTTTTTGCACTTTGATCTTGTTGGTTATTGAATATTTCTATCAACTATCAACTATGCATTATTTTTGTATCTGTCTGATTGTGAACTAGTCGGCTTGCTGCTAGGTGGCCCCAGCTGGAGGGTAAATGTATGATGTTGATAATGGGCAAGTTTGTCACTGTTACTTGAACAGCACCATGCTTGCCTCTAACCATCAACTCTTTTGGTCAAAAGGTATGCACACACCCCGTAAGGGATGATCAAGTAGCGTGGAAATGAACTCATGACCGTAAGTTATGAGATCAAATTTACGATTGCTTCTAAGTCCTATGTGTTGTGTTACATATGGTTTATTTAGTGTGACTTATCTTACTGGCTTACTTTGCATGCTATTAGGTTCAGTCGGAATTTATTCAAAACACTCAAGAGTCCATGTTATTAAAAATAAAAATAAAAATGCACACTTTATAGCACATGTTGATGGAATTTAAGTGAATTATTTATTTATTTATTGTTATTACTATTTTATTTTTATTCTTTTCCTGATTCATGGAGTAACATTTATCTGACCAGTAATATTAAATAATGATATAAGGTATTTCTCCAAGCATTTGTGAGGTTAAATATTATTATGGCTATGTGTATATTTTTTTTATTATTATTTTATTATATTATAGATAGGATATTTTGGAAAGGGGTTCACTTTCTATGAGAACATTTTGCCTTTTGCCTTGATTTTAACCCCTGCTTCTTTTACCTCTCTCACTATCACTCCCACTCAAATCACTGCTCTTGATCCATCCTTGATCAACCCTCCACTGGTGTTCCTCACTTTCAGCCTGAAATTGACAATGTTTTTACAAGCAAGTTCTGATTCAATATCATCCTTTTCTAGTTTTGAACCAATCTCTACCATTGTCTCCATTGCGGAATCATATCTTTCCTCTTACTCCAACACTTTAAATTAACCCAGTGCATCTTTCTTTAGCTTACCGCCAAGAAAATGGAAACAATCCTTTTAGCTCAAAAATTATGTTTGCAACACCAATCATTCTCAACCAAACATTCTTATTTATCATTTATGTCATTTTGATTCCTATGTTCATGACCAGGAAGTTACTTTATACTCTTATGTTTTATGGGATAAGCCTGAATTTAGGGGTATGTATACTAAGTTGAAGGCTATGGTACACAACCATACATGTGAGTTGTCCAAACTTTATGTTGGAACCCAACCTATAACAAATACATAAAGTCTTAGAATTAAGGGGAAGGTTGTGGAAAGGTATAAGGTAAGGCGTGACTTGTTTCCAAGGGGTACTTGCAAATTTATGAATAAGACTATACAAATTTTTTTGGCTATTGCAAAGGTACTGACTGTCAGAACCATGCTCGCAATGGCTTCATATAGGTCTTGAAGAGTTGTTCAATTAGATATCAACAATGATTTTTTTCATGATCACTAGGATTCTAATAGTTATACAAATTATCCACAGGGATAATAAGTTTCTCCTGAACATGTATGCAAGCTAATGAAAGCAATCTACGGCCCCAAACAACCCCGTAGACAATGGCGTAAGAAATTCACATCCAAGTTGTTGGGATATTGTTTCTTACAATCAAATTATGATCTCTGCTTGTATATTTTGGTTCAAGATCAAATACTGGCCCTTTTGCTAGTTTATATTGATGGCATACATCATATATAAGAATTTGGGACATGCAAATATGCTTTTACCAATGAAAATACAACACTGTGAATAAAGAGTTCAGTAGCTCAACTTCGATTTTATTAAGGGTGTGTTCGTTTGATGGACTTGCACAAAATTTCACTATTCATCCAAAATTTTCTCCCCAAAAATATCAAATCAAACACTTATTTTTTATTTTTTATATTATATTAAAAATCAATTTTACATTCAAAACATCACATCATCACCTATTTATATCACATCATACAACTATTCAAATTCAAAATTTTTACTATTCAAATCCCAACTCAAAATCCAACCCCCCAAACAAACACACCCTTAAGAGTATTCTTACAAAGGCAGACATGTAAGTATCACCTTATCTAATACTTCCTTTATTGTGGAAAACAAGTTGTAAAACAACAGATACTGTATATAATAGAATCATTGTTGCCATGGTTTTAAAGGTACTGTGAGTTATCTATTTTCTTTGTGACTTTAAGATGTCAATTAAGTTTTATGTCTTCCTTCACCGTGACAATAAAATCAACAATTCACATTGTTGAAAATTCGGTCCATCGTAAGTGTACAAATCACATAGATAATTTATTTTTACTTTATCTGTGGTTTCAATTAACATACGTCACCACATCTTCAGCTTAATGATATTATTAAAAAATTTATTTATCATTTTCGATCTTTTTAAAATTTTAATAACATGATAGACTATTTGTTGATCCAACAAGTTTCAAAAAAAAAATCACCCATCTTGAACAATCGTTATAAACATACAACTGTCATTGTTTGATACATTTTTTGGTTGAAGCTAATAGTTTGTAAATTAGATATAATCAAACAAGTCGCAAATAAGTTTAAACTCATATGTAACAAGCTAGACTCGGAAGTGTCAAAGGTTTAAACTCATAACTTTATGATCATAAGTTCACTCATAAACACAAGTTTTGATTTATTTAGAGTTTCTTTACTCATGTATATTTTCATATAAAAACAAGAAGTATTAACCGTCCCATAATAAAATATCTATTTTTCTATGTCATAACAAAGTATCTACTGTCTACTTAACATTACAAATACCTTTAAAACTTACAATATATTACACAAATATCGTTACTTTTATATCACAGATACTAACAAGATTATTTTAATCATTTCAACTTTATTTTTACTATATCTCAATATAATATTCATATTTTTAAAATTACGTATAAAAAGTAAATTGATACTTCTTTATGGGAAGGAGGGAGTAATATTTTTTTTAAAAAAAATAAAAATGAATACCAAATTAGCACTCCTTTTAGTTATTGTAAATTTTGCTATTTAGTATTATTCCCACAACCCAATTAGAAAATCCACTGTGGCGGCGCGGCGGCGGCGATAGTATGCTCTATCAGATCTAAGCACTCCGTCAAAAATAATAAATGATGTAAAAATACGACGCTGCGTGGGCCATCCCGATCCATGTGAATTTGTCGGTGATTTGCATAGGCAGCCAAGGGCCACTTCGTAAATAGATTCGAAACTATGTGCAAAAAACGAACCCCACAATTCCCGGTACCCCTCCCACTGCGCAACGTACAAACACGCTTCTGTAGTGGTGTCCGGTTGCAATCTAGTATATAATAATTCCTCGGCATTCAACGCGGCTCTCGTTCACCATTTCGGCATTCCTCTTTCTCCTTCGCAAATAGACTGACATAATAAGCATAATAATACCGTTTTTGTTTTTTTTTTTTTTTCTTTCTCTATTATCTCGAATGATCAGAGAAGTGCAAATGTTTGCAAACCTGTTTGTGCTTGAGAAATGCTCAGCGCTCTCTGGACTGGATTGAGGTAGTTTTGATTCATGATTGTAAATACGATTGTTGATTTCGCTGGTTTTGGATGGCGCTGGGGACGATCCAGTAGCGTTGCGATTGATTTTTGGTATTCTGATAGGTAGTAGAGTTTTGGATCTGAAGCTGCGGTTCGATTGCTTGGATGAATTCGTTTCTGAGGAAGAAGAAGCGGAAATCGAAGATCCGAGTATGAAGAAGTTCTATATATCGGCGACGGGGATTAAGAGATTGACAATATCTTGCGTCGCCTCCGTAGGCGACGGCACGAAAAGTGTTGGCCGGGGGATGGTGAAGGGGAAGAGCTCTCCAGCGGCGTTGCTCGGCCGCCGGCTTTCCCACCGGACGCTCCGGTTGCTGGTTGGGTTACTTTTGCCGTTTCTTCTAGTAAGAACTGCTTTCCTGGCGCTTGAATCAGCTGCTCTTTGCTCTTCAACCATCGGTAATTTTGATTTTTTGAGGGGTAAAATTGTAAATTCGAACTTATACAGAAGAGTAATTGTGTAAAACGGTGTGCTCTCGCAGGGTGCATGACTTGGAGATTTTTTGGCGGGAGTGATGCTGCCGTGGTAAGTAAAAATTAGTTACATATTTGTTTTACATTTTATATATTTATTTATATCCAACTTATATAACCAAATTGTAGAGTATAGTATATATAATAATTTAATTAAATTTTAAAATTAAAAATAGGTCTGCTCGTTATAATCAGATAGTAACTATGTAGGTACAGTAGATGAGTCCCAATGCTACTGATAAGTGGTTATCAAATTGCTTGTTTTTTTTTTCTTATCAAACACACGGCATGTGTGACGCTTCGGCGCTTGTTTGTTTTGATTTCGTTGAAATTTTAAATTGATTTTTTAAAAAAAAAATTATATAAATAAATATTTTCGGTACAAGTGATATTATATTTGTTTGTTTTGTCTTGTATAATTTGCCATTTCCTTAATATAATTATACATTTTAAATTTCATAATCTATCATTTTTTTAATTTTAATTAAATTATTTAATTATTTAATATATAATTATTTTTATTATATAATAATTATTTTTAATAATATATTTCTTAATTACTTATTAATTATACTTTATTTAAAATCTTGTGTTGGTCATATTATATGGAAGGCGGGAGTAACTTTTGATTCCAAAAGAGCGTAAGTGTTTACTTTGTAGTTTTACATGATAGTATTTTTTATATTGAGTATCGAAAATTATATCGAAAATATAAAAAATACTAATAATTTGTGTTGAATTATAGATTTTTTTTTATGTAAATGAAAGATATATATTATATATGAGGCATGGTGCCAACTAAAAAATAAATTGAGTGAACAAATTTATTATATAGTATTTAATTTTTAACAGAAATATTATAGTAGTATTTAAAAATTATTCCATTTTTTACATGCTTACTCTAAAATAAATAGCACACGTGTGTTACCGTGAGAAATTAATGACAAGTTGCAATTGTTTAGAACCTAATTTTCAGTACAGTTGAATAAACTTAAAATAATCTATATATAATATTCTATTATTAGTTTACATCAATTAAGTGATAAAAATAAATTAGTGTAATAAACTTATCCATAAGGACCATACTACAAGTTGATGAGAAATTAATATATATGTACTTTTTTGTTATGTATGCATGCGTACGGTTTTACGTAGAAGATTATAGATTCGTTATTTAAATAACATCAATATTATAATCAATTTATTTTAACTTTTGGTGTATTTCCTTTATACCTAGATTGAATTTAAAGATTTAGATTTTATATCTAAATAACGCTTGATACAGTAATTTAGGAGAAAAGTATTTATTTTAGGAATATATACAAATAATAAGAAATTAGATAAAAACTCAAAAGAAATATTTTGAGTTGGGAGATTTAACTGTTTTTTTTATTATTAGTTATTAAAAATTGTAAAATGATTATAATGAATTATGATAGTTTTAGTGAAATGATTTTTGTTGTTTTCAAAATATCTTGTAAGAGAATTTGTATATTTTTCTTGGAAAATAACGCTCAACGGATGTCGAACTAAATGAGCTAATTTTTCAAGACTGAGGGATTATATGCCCTTAGCAATCTAAAAATTCACATTTAGAAATAGGACAAAGCTTATATTACATTGGGAGTCGTTGGTCCATACTCCTTTCCGGAGGAGCATCCAAACATGATAAAATAAGGTTGCGTTCGATTGTTTTTTAGCTTTGATTATTCTCGAATAAAGATTCTTTTTTAAATAATAAAAAATAATTTTTCAATATAATATTTTTTTAAAAAAAAAAAGAAAAAATAAAAATTATAATGCATATGCAAAATGATTTAGAAAACTCAATAAAACACATCAACCTAGGAGACTACCAAGCTAACTACTGGCCTAAAATTTGGAATTCAATTCAAATAATTCAGTATATTTTCACCTGTTTGCTCTTTACAAATATATATATATATATATAAAATTTAATTTCTTATTTTTGTAAAACTTTGTTTAGAATATGCTATGCTGTCATCTATTAATTGATAAAAAAAAAAAATGTAATTTAATAACTTTTGTATGTAATTTAATCATTATATAAATATATAAATATATATAATTTAATACTCTTTCCCTCCCACTCCAAAATTTAATACTCCCTCCCTTCAACTCCAAAGTATCTATTTTCTATTGTAGTAAAACTAATTATATATCAACACTAAAATATCATTTAACTTTTATCTGCATTACAAACATTTCATTAGACATACAATTATATTTTAATTTTTACTTCTTGTAAAATACTATTATTTTTTAATCTACCACAAAATTCAAAAACCCTTTGGACCAGAGTGATTTTATTTTATTCAAATTTAAGTATCTTAATAAATTATAGTATTGATGTCCTAAATCAGATTTTAATAATTAAATCAATAATAAAATTATCATTTATTGCGGTCCTTTTTTATTTTTAGTTTTAGTTTTTATCTCTTTGAGCTTTTTTCACCTTTTTATTATTCGACAATATGATCGGTTTTAAATAAAAAATATATATATTATAAATAAAATATTATGTCCAATTAAAAAAAAAAACACCTTTGTATCTGAAAATTCCAAACTTCAGCATTTCTTTGGATTTTTCGAAAAATAGAATGTAGTAACACCACCCCTCTATAATAATAATTATTATTATTATAACAAACCTTATCTAGACTCTGCAATTGTACATAGATTAACAAGAATGTATTATGTAATTTGAAGTATATTGCATGTTATATTGAATAAAACAATCATGTGGCTGTGCAAGTCGGTATATTTTGTTACTGTTATTTATTTATTTATATTTATAGTTTTTTTCTCTGACGGTACCAATAATATAATGTGGTATTCATTGCAAATTTCCATGAGGTGGTCCCCTTAGAAAACAATAATCTATTCACGTCGTGTCCCATCTCAAAGAAAACTAGGGAATAATCCACTAAGAAAAGGCAAAACTGTGCCACTCCCCTCCCCTAGTGAAGTACAGCTTAGTTTAGACCTTACTGTGACCCACAAACCATTGATGATGGATGATGCATGGCTTATATCAACAATAAATTGATAAATATAAATAAATTAATAATAATATATAGCCAGTCAATGACTCAATCAATCGACCCATAAACCATAGATGAATAGAACCAATAATAACAATAATCAGAAATGTTTTTATTTATGTAGATGTAATAGTCGATTTGTGTGTTGATGTGTCATATTTATATTGATGGTTGAAATAAAAGCTCAGAGAAGAGCTGACGAGGGCGTTGGTGGAGGCCGCAGAAACGAGTAATGATGGAGGAGTTGGAGTTGGAGTTGGAGTTGGAGCTGTTTCATTTAAGGATCTTGTCAAGGAGGTGACTGTAAACCGACAAGATATTAGAGCATTTGCTCTCAAGACAAAGGCCATGGTAACAACATCAACTTACACTAGTAATTAATTAATTAATTTATTTATTGCTATGCTGTTTTTATCTACTACTTGCAAATGGGTTCCCAGTTACCACCATTTCTGTATTTCAAAAAAAAAAAAAAAAAAAAAAAAAAAAAGAACCCTGGTTTTGTCTAAAAAGAAACAATTTTTAGGAAGAAATCAAATGAAGCAAAAAGACAGGAATTGGTAGAAGCAATACAAGTTGAGATATTTTTATATATTTTGATGCATAATACTGTAAGGAATGAGCCCAACAAGTAGTGGTTGTAGGGTGTGTTATATATATATATATATATATAATGTATGGTAGATTAGGTTAATTTTTAATGGCTGATGAGATGGCAGCACATGCAAGTAAGTTACCTATAGGCTATAAATAGATGATTGTGATTGTTACTCTTGTACTTTGTTCCTTTGGTTTAATTAAGGCAACATGTGAACTTCCACTGCATTTTTTTTCAATAGGTTATGGCTATGGCTATGATATGATGGTGCTTTGGGAATTGTATTTACTATCATCTATCTATTTATATCCACCTCTCGTTTTCGTTACGATAAAAGGTAGTATTAAAGTGCCCTCTTTAGGTGGGGTGGGGTGGGGTGGGGTATTGAATGAACACCAAGGCTTCCTATCTGTGTTCTTCTTTTTAGTTCAAGTCTTGTTGATAATTTGTTTGATCTACTTATATGCTGCAAAATGTGCATGTTTTCGAAGATATTTTAGATATTTGAGTTCTTGTTTAAATTAGGTCTATATTATTTTATACTACCTCATTTCTACTACAATGGCTCATTTCTACTACAATGGGTCTTTTCGATTTTACAATAAATTGAAAAATAATATTTCTTTAGTCCAAAAACAATAGGAATATTTGGAATTGACACGAGAATTAAAGAATAATAATATTATATTATAGTGGATGTAAAAATATTTTTACGTAATTATTGTGAAAAAGTGGGGATAGTTTGGTGAAAAGATAGAAAGGGAAACGAGACTATTAGTTTGGGACAGACGAAAAAAACAAAATGAGACTATTGTTTAAAGACGGAGAGAGTAATATTTTATTAGTTAGTAGAAGTATGCAAGAGGTTTTGACATTGTTCTCATTTGACTTTACGTATAAAATAATTGTACGTGTAATGGTATGTTTTTAATTTAGGTAAAAATTAAAAGTATTTTGGTATTAATGTAAATTTACTTTTACTAAAATAGGAAATAGATACTTTGGATTGTAACGGACGAAAATAGTAAACATGGTAATGTGAGTTGGGCCGGAGAGATTATTAGATTGTTACTCTTGATTTCATTATTAATAAAATGCAAATATGATATTCTACAAAATGTAGCATAAGGAAATTATGATCTCAGTTCTTTGCTGAAAAACATATACCAAGCAACATTCTTTCTATTACATGAATGATGAACTTGGCTTAACTTCCGAGTCATTTTTCTGCCAACATTCATTCGATTAAGCTAAAGAAACTCTGTATTCTGTAAAACAGATGGCGAAGATGGAGCACAATGTCGAAACAGCAAAATGGCAAGAATCAATCTACTGGCATCTTGCTGCTCATGGCGTGCCGAAGAGTCTTCACTGTCTTTCACTCAGATTAGCCGAAGAATACGCCATAAATGCTGCAGCTCGTTCTCGACTACCTCCGCCTCAATATATTCACCGCCTGATCGACCCTTCTTTTCATCATGTTGTTCTTCTAACCGATAATGTCCTTGCAGCCTCTGTCGTCATCTCCTCGACGATCAAAGCGATGGCGAAACCGGAAACATTGGTCTTCCACGTCGTCACTGATAAGAAGACGTACACGTCGATGCACGCCTGGTTCGCAGTAAACACGGTCGATTCTGCTGTTGTTGAAGTCAGGGGATTGCATCAATACGATTGGTCCCACGACGTGAACGTCGCCATTAAGGAGATGTTAGAAATTCATCACCAGATTCGGAATCGACAGTACCAGACCTTGAAGATGGAGGATTTTAAAAATGTCGAAGAGATCGATCATCGACTCCACGTTCTAAGTCCCGCCTGCATCTCCCTCTTGAATCATCTCCGAATTTATCTTCCTGAGGTTCTAGTTTTGTATACATATAGATATATATATATATACACATTACTAATGCTCCTCGTCGTCGTCTGTCTTGCAGCTGTTTCCGGAACTCGAAAAAGTTGTGTTCTTGGATGATGACATCATAATTCAACGCGACATTTCGTCGTTATGGGAATTGGACCTGGACGAGAAAGTAATCGGTGCCGTTTCCGACTCATGGTGCGGACGAGATTGCTGTCCCGGAAGAAGATACAAAAACTACTTCAATTTCACCGAGCCGATCATATCATCGAACTTGGATCAGAATCGTTGCGGATGGCTCTACGGAGTGAACGTTTTCGACCTCAAAAGATGGAGGTCGACGAACATCACTAAAGTATATCATCAATGGCTCAAGCTCGTGAGTGTATTCAGTTCGATCGAGTACATTAATCGCGATCATTTTTCGCTCGGTAATCATTCTATATATTAATCTTGTAGAATTTGAATTCGGGATTTTCGTTGTGGCATCCGGGAGCGCTTCCGCCAGCGCTACTGGCGTTCGAGAATCAAATGCATCGAATGGATGCGTCTTGGCAGATTAATGGTCTGGGGTATCGTAGCAGCGACGCACGACGACGACGAGACGATTGGGAATTAGAGAGAGCAGCTGCATTGCATTTCAGTGGTCCTGGGAAGCCATGGCTGGAGACTGGATCACCTCTGGTAAGATCACTGTGGAGTAGACATGTAAATTTGTCTAATGAACATATTAGAAGATGCAAGGTAACAACAGCCTAGGGTCCTGGGAGGGAGAACACACACATATATATATATATATATACACAGATATATACAATATATATACATACACAGGCATATATATGTATGTATGTATGTATGTGGTTTTGTGTGAGGAGTTTGTTTGGGAAAGAGGGAAGAAGGTTTAGCCTTCAGTCTCTTTCTCACACATTAGTCTTTCTCATACATCATCTCTGCAAGCTAAATGAAGAATATATATATGTATTTACATGCACACAGTGTCAACATGATGTATACATTATTATTTTTGTAGTTTGTAATTTGATTATATATATAACCAAATCACACTAGACGAACAAAACTAAATCCGTCAAATGATTGACTTTATGACTTTACGATCACGCCGCCACCACCAAGACATTCTTTAAAGAACTATATATATATATTAGAACAAAAAATTTAGACTAGTAATCCAAACTAAAAAAATGTTATATAATATACAATTCTATATTCGAATAATTATTATATATATATATATATATTGTGAAATTTATGCATTCAATTTCTTATAAAGTGAATAGAACATTATTGAAGATACTCAAAGGAGTAATTCTTAATCCTATACATCATCTCATCACGTGCTTTACAATGGTGTCCAACAAGTCCAACATCACTCAACACTAAACAACATCCTTCACACTTACTAATTAATACATCCTCGTCATACCATATTGGGTATGATGAACACTATATCCATTTCTGTGTGTCGCTGCCGTTGCTGTTGCCGATGCCGCTGTGCTCATAGTCTTGCCCATTCCAATTTCCATTCCCACTCCCATTCCTCGGTATTGAGCTTTTGCCCGCACAAGATTTGCATCAACAACGACTCTATCATCAACATATAATGGATGCCCCTCTACATTTATCACTGCATTGCTGATTGGCACCTGCTGCTTCGTTGCATAGGACAGCAAGTCCCCTCGGTATGTCTCAGCAACTGATCCATCCAATGCCCTGACCGGCACAATTCTCTGGTAACAATGAGATGGGGGCATAACCTGGGGGGAGAGGACTGTACTTTTTACAAGGGTTTGGGGAATGTATGGTTCTCTGACAGCATATGTATTGTTGTACGAAAAAACAGGGCCTACAGCTTTGTTGGATTTAGCTGCTGCTACTCCTGCTGCTGTTGGCATCAAAAGTTTCGAGGAAAATGATGATAATGCATTGGGAAAATGTTGTTGGTGAAGCATAATGGGATGTTGCAATTGAAAAAGTACCTTGAGAGATTCGGTGCTGTGGTCTTGATGATGTTCTTGACGGCGGATAAGTGGGATAAATGCCATCTGAATTCCTAAAGCAGGGTTCTTCTAAATTCTGCCATTCCTTCGCATTTGCAGTCATTATCTGCTCCTTTGGGGGAATTGTATTGGAATGTACAATGGTCGACCTGCAAACCATGTGGAACTATAATATGAACTTTGTATTTCAATGGACTTTAAATATGTATTCTTCTTGCAATATTCAAAGAAAACATTCATGTGGAGGGAACTCTCTACAACAGTAATACTAAAATTACTTGCGATAAGCATACTGCAACAGTATCAAATCATATAAGCTTTTCATGTAATATACCACTCACTACCAATACGATCGCTAGATATTAGCTGAAAATATAAGTAAAATATTATATTTCATACAGCTGGAATCACTTGCCTCTCCATTTTTTTTACTAAGCAATCTCCACGATATTATATAAAAAAAAATATATACTAGTTTTTCTCAAAAAAAAATATATATTCAATCACTACTTAAACATAATATACAAACCAAACACACCCATCTAGATTCTATAATTAGATACTTTTCCAAAAGGTAAATACATAGCACAACCGAGCAAGCTGAAGTTATTTCCAATATAAAGTGCAACTTGGCAAAATTGTTTGCACCTAAACATTAGTTTGGATGTGTTTTCAGGAGTGTGCTGGGGTTTTTACAACAGTAAATAATTGGATTGAAATATTTTTTTAAGTAATACTAATAAAAAGATATTTGATATGTTGTTTTGAATAGAAAATTAATTTTAAATGAATATTTTACATGAAATATAGGTATTCGATGTTATGATTTCTAGAGGGAAATAATATAATAAATAGTGCTTACCGGTTACGAAAACACATCCAACACACCCATCAGTATCACACTAAAATCATAGAATAATTACAAATAGAAAATGAAACTCAGACATAGCCGGCAGAAATCATTGCTTTGGTCACAAAATTCTAGAGCACCAAACAGAGGGTATAATTAATACTATTATCATTATTTTGTTTTTGTCAAAATGTTTATAAACAGAGTAGATGTTATTGTTTTGTTGGTTGCATACATTTGTATATATTAATACAATCATTAGGAACTGCCATAGTGTGTAAAGAAATAACAAAAGGTTTTGGGTATAAATATAAATATACAATAGATGTATGTGGGCGTATTTGTTTGAATAATAATTTAAATATGGAATATAGGTTTAACATATATTTATATATATGTGGGGTAGGGGTATAAATGTTACGTCTGCTTTCTAAAGAAAATTGAGCAGAAGTGTAACAAAACATTAAAAAACAAAAAAAATAAAAATGCTGAATAATGAATATACCTGGGAAGAGAAGCATGCTTTCTTTCAAGGGGAATTGCAGGGTTGCCTTTGCCTCCATTTTCTTCTAAATGAGCAAATTGCTTTTTGAACTGGTCAATGGCACTGCAGATGAGAAATATTCCAAGATTAGCACTTCAGAAAACCGAGCCCAAATAATCTAGCAGAAAGAAAGAGTTTAATCACCTAGGATAGAGAAAAGTAGTTCTCTCGACTCCATTGATGTAATCCTTCAGCAGCTGAGGATGATACTCCAAAACTTCACGAAATATTAGCTCCCGTATATCATCCTTTGTGACTTTCCGCCTCTCAAATTCAAATTCCATCTTTGAAATTGGCTGGCAAGATGGTTCTCGCTCTGGTCTGCACAGTCCCTTAAAGTAGGGATCAGCCAATGCCTGAACACACATATAATATAAAAAATCTACCATTAAAGATATGATGAATAAGAAAATGCGTATGATATCTCCAAAGGAAAGGGATTACTCACAAACCATGATTCCACAACAATACAGAACCATCATATTGATATATATATATATATAGAGAGAGAGAGAGAGAGAGAAAGAGAGCATGGATATAATATTATAATGAAATTACTATACTTCTGATGACTTCCAATTACAAAAACCCATTTACAAGAGAAAAGGCCATAGCAAACCTCCTCGGCAGTGGGACGGTCTTTTGGATCAAATGCAAGCAGCCTTTGCAGGAGCCGAAGTGCCAAGGGATCAGCATTTGGGAATTTCTGTGCAAAAGAAATAGGCTGCTTCTTTCTCATGCTCGTAAGATATCTTCTGGCCTTCTCATTTCGCACCTAAACACAGAATAGGAAAAAACAAAATGTAAACAACAGGTCGGCACATTTAACATTAGCACAAGGAAACAATGATACTGTAAGGAAGCACAGATGAATACCCGAGAAATGGTATCCATTGAAGGTGTTCCAAGAACATCAGTTATCAAATCCAGTTGGTGAACAACATTTTTTCCAGGAAAAAGTGGCTTCCCTGTTAACACCTCAGCAAAAATGCATCCAATACTCCATATGTCGATTGCTGGAGTATACTGAATGAGCATGCAGTCAACGTCCAAGAAACGTCAGCAATGATACCGTGAAAAACATCGAAACTTGATTGAGAATCAATGCAGACAGTTAGACAGAAACATGTGCCACATCATGTGATGTATTAAACTAAGCTACAAAGAATACAATATATCCTATAAAACAATGAGAGATTTAAAGAGATTACAGACCACCCAAACCACATTTAGTAATATTTTCAAATTATGTTTTTTATCTGAAAAAAGAAACCATTTCTATAAGTACCCACTGATTGGCTCCATTATACCGAAATCCAGACAATTTACTAACCAAACAATGTTAGAAATAAGAGCATTTATAGAACCATTATATCTGCCAGAAGATAAATTAAATGAAAGCAATTGGAGATCATGAAAGGAAGCAATCAGAAGATGTTTAGCTTCTGCAGTTTTAAAATCATAAATAACAAAGTAGCCAACAAGAAGAAGTTAACCTTGGAGAAAAATGAGCCACACAACTCTGGAGCCCTATACCATCTTGTGGCCACATAATCCTGCATTTTGCAACAAAGGAATATTACTCGGAAACAGGCAAACAGTTAGCATCATATCTAATGACCACAGCTTTTATTTCATACCGTCCAGAATATGGTTGTAGGAGTGTCATTAAATGCAACTCTAGCCAATCCAAAATCACATATTTTCAGTTTACAATTTGCATTTGCCAATATGTTCTTTGGTTTTAAATCCCGATGATACACATTAGCTGCAGACAGAAATTTTAATTGTCAGATGTTTTAACAAAAGTACCCCAAAATATTACTCCAATGATCAAGTAGAAGAAAAGCCTAATATGAGAGATCCACAACAAAAATAGATGCTCTATGAATACAACGCTATTTGTTAACAATCATCAGGAATTAGGACTGACATCCGGAACAGCAAGAAGTGTTCAATTCTATGATATAGACATGGTTTTTAATCAGACTCATCCTTTTTACTATTTTACGTTGGACAAACCAGAGAAATTGAAGAAGGTTTCACAAGGACACAAAACAGAAGGAGCTATTACCTGTGTGGATGTATTTAAGAGCTCGGAGTAATTGATAAAGAAAAAATTGATGATGTTCCCGAGTTAAGTCATCATTAGCCTTAATGACTTGATGTAGGTCTGATTCCATAAGCTCAAAAACAACATAGATATCTTTGAAATCTCTTCTTGAAGGTGGAAACATGATGTGTTTAATTTCAACAATATCTGGGTGTCGTAGCAACCTTAGAAGTTTAATCTCTCGAAGAATTCGAGCAGCGTCAGAAATGTGCTCAAAGATGTTGTGTATTTTCTTTATTGCTACTTTTTCACCAGTATGAGTGTCAATGGCTGAGCAAACAACACCATAGCTTCCTTTCCCTATGACCTCCTGGATTTTATATCTGCTTGCATCACCATATTCAGAAAAGAAGTCCATTTCGGCTGAACCCTGATGCACAAATATAAGTGCAATAAGTGGTTTTCTAATAACATAGGAATGTAGTTTTTCGTACACCATATAACAACATAAGATTTTTGTCAATTCAAAATCAGTATGACCATAAATATCTTTACAAGTGTACTGTTTTGCCCAAATAAGAAAACAAATATACAAAACAAAATAACTTTCTGGTCAAATTGTGACCAGAATGTTGTCCTCAACCTATAATGCATTTTTTAATATAGCATTACATCGATAACTTAATTTCCTGAGAGAGGAACAGAAGAAAACTGAGCAAGGGACAAAAAATAAGTGAAAGCACTCTTTAAAGAATTGAATTGTAATTGTCCCCAATAGCCAGAGAATAATCAGCTCAAATATTTGTTTTATTAGTAGAAAAGCATAACTGGAAAGATAGAATTAAAAGCATTTACTAAATATCTCTAAATTTAACTAATGAATTAGTTCATTGATTGACCAACTGGTGCATCATAGAATCCAGATTTCACTCACTACCTCAACCCCATTAAGAGTAATTAACATTTACATCACTGCCATAAATGAAAATTCATTTTGATTCAATATGCAGCAACACCGTGGAAAACGATCATTTACCAATAACAGATATAAACATTCACATCGTGTCATATCAGATCAAAAGAATTGGCTTCAACAATCATTTACAGGAAGCATAAACCCTAGGTACTCAATATCGTTTCTTTCTTCCAAATCTTCAATTCCACAATAATCAATCCAAAAACTTAAAAAAATAAAATCATCTCCAACCAAGCAAATTTTTTTGCAAAATAAACAAACAAATAAATAACTGAGAATAGGATAAGAAAGATAAAACAGTAAAACGAACTGACTTTCTTTCGGTGATCGGCCTGCATTGTCAGTGAAATTCAGAAACCAAACGAACAACGATCTTAACAATCACCCCCAAAATCAGCAAATTCAAAGAAACAGATTCTCAATGCATTGGCTCGACATAAAAATTCAGCCACATTTCCCCCATCTCCCGCGGCTTCTAATGGCGAAGGAGAAATCCCACCTGGTCCGCTTCCGATCCGTCATACAACGCTCCCTTCTTCCTCTTGCTGCTGCTGCTTGTCCGCCAACAATCATAGAACTGCAAAAGCAACAATCATAAACGCCCTCTATACATACATATATATGTTATATATGGAGAACTCCGAATTCGACGAAATAAAGGACCCCTCTACGCTCTATTGTATTCACACACGACACAAACACAAATGAGCGAATGCTTATGCGAGTGTGCGTGTGCGTGTGAATATGTAGATCTGAAGGAGCCCTTCTTCTGCAGCTGGCTGGCGATCCAACACCGACACAACGCAAAAGTGGATAGACAAAGAAATGTGGATGGAGAGGATATTCTGAAATGCGTTTGTAATTTATATCGTGTGTGTATATGGGCACCGCGTAATACTGTACCGCTACAACTGTAGACAGCAGTCGGTTTATTTTTGTGTACTTTTCTATTTTTTTTTTTTTTTAATAATGGAGTAATAAAAGTTTTTAAATATAGGATGTATATATATATATATATATATTTTTCAAATCAACATATTTTATCAAAAAATAATAATAATAACAATCATAATAATAATAATAACACAGTTTATTACTTTTATATTTTTTTATAATTTTTTTATATTTTACATTAAAAAATTATTATTTATTTTACAAAACATACCCATAGTACTCCCGATGCACTAATTAACCTAAGAGATAAGATGTAACTAAAAAAATATACATTTTAAATTAATATATTAAATAAAAATGAGTTGTATGTCAATCATTTTTTTTTTTTTTCTGTTTGTCCATTCTTTTCGTTGGTCTCAAATATAATTATAAATTTTTAATCAAAGACGAGAGTTTGAAGTTCCAACTTAAAATCAATTGGTTGTAAATAAATAGCTCTTCACCCCTTATAAGTTTGGAAATCACAACATTAAACCCTACGTGGGATATTTAACAAATAAACTCTCAATTTTATTTTATTTTATTTTATATTTATTTAATTTCTATTACTCTTCCCTCATGAGTTCATATATCATTTTTCTACCCATTGGCCATGCACTTCGGTGAGGCCTAGACCTTTCTTCTTCATTCCCCTTTAATCATTTTTCTACCCATTGGCCATGCACTTCGGTGAGGCCTACACCTTTCTTCTTCATTCCCCTTTAATTCCTAGCAATCATTCTCATCATATCTTTTGATGAATATATATATATATATATATATATATTTTTTTTTTCTTTCTCTTATGCTCTAAATATATGTGCGAGAATGCAGTGTTTTTCTTTTCTAGAACAAATTATTATAGCTTTAAGTAGAAAAATTTGTCTATTGTTTATGCAATGAATTGTACATTTTATAAAGATCTCTCTCTAGTTTTATGATTGAATATTATTAGGTTGATTTACTTATCATATTTTATAAAGATCTCTCTCTAGTTTTATAAAGATCTCTCTAGTTTTATATTAATGCAACTATGTGGTTGTTTTCTATTAATTTATTATTTAACTTTATTTATGGTATATGTGAATGAAAGATATCGAATTAATATCATTATGGAACTGCAACAGAAAGTTTTGATGTTCTTTTCAAAATTATATCGATGAACTGCGATACCCTCGAATTGGGTCCTTGTATGGTCAACTCCTGTGTGTGATGAATTGTATTAGGTTATTCGAAATTGACCAGAGGTTAAATAGATTGAATAAACTACTCATTTCAACAACATACATATTCTTTATCGAAAGCCCTATTAAAAAAACTCTAAAGTTAAACGTATTTATCCTACTACTTATATCAACAATGTGCACATTTTTTTCAAAAATCCTACTAAATAAGAGTAATTTGAAAATGGGTGACCCTAAGAAGTCTCTCAGGTTGCGCGTGCCATATTTTTAACATTTTCTCATTATTATAAATAATAAAATTTTGTACATGTGTGACTCATACTTCTTATCACATTTATTATATAAATTAATATTTAAACACATCTTCTAACAATGCATTTAACCACTGTAACTCCTCAACTATTAGTTAATTATACCCACTGTAACTCCTCAACTATTAGTTAATTATACCTCATTAGCTCAAGTCACATGTAATTAGCCTAAATTATCAAGTCCAACTAATTGACTTTACATTAATTAATTATTTTATCAAACTCAATGCATTTCTACTTACTAAATAATTAATTTCGAAGAATTTTAAATTTTATTTTTCTATAAATTAAATTTCATCGATTATTTTAACTATATATTTTCTGAATTTTTATGTGAAAACCAATACAATATCTAATTTATGTTATATCTTATTGAATTATTTCATGTGATATAATCCAAAGTCCGTTTGTGGAGATTATTGATGTTTTTAACCTTTTCAAACGATGTTTTAGCCCAAAAATTGACTAAGTATGGAAGACAAGCAATGACGCACCCAGTTGTAGCAAGCAATGCTCTTTCTGCTTGCGCCCAAGCCAACAGCCAGACGTTCACCGTTGATAAGCGAGATCCTGAAGCTACCCAAAATTTATCTAAGTGTTGATCTCCCATCGAATAGCCATTCATATAATGGCCAATGACGATAACACCAGTTGAGTTGTGTCGATGCCCTTCAGCCAAGTTAGGCCAAGCCAGCCAAGGTAGGAAGATTTGTGCCGCAGCTAAACCAAACCAGTCAAGCGAGCAAATTAAGAGTTAGGACAGCTCTAACCGATCAACTGTCCAGCAGCCTAACTGCCCAGCAGTTGCAACAGCCTTCGACCGTTTCCAACTGTTGTCAACTGCCGATCCAGAAAATCTATAAATAAGGCCAGATTTTATTTGTAAAATACACTACATTCCAGTGTTCATATTGTTTTTACTCTATTCAATTTTCGAGAGCTCCAATCCTGTAAGAGAGTTCTCTTCGTTAGTGAAGGTCGGAGGAGTAGAGATTCTCTTTTTCCTTAACCGCCCAATTAATGCTTTCGTAGGCAGATTTATTGCTTTCTTTTAATGTTTTTATAATGTAGATTTACTTCTTTTCGTAGTTATTAATGGAATCATGATTTTTCCATCTGCATTTTCATCCCCAAATTCATGTTTATATTTGATTGTTTAATTCTTAAATCTAGACAAGTTGTGGAAGTTCTTTAAAAGAATTGATTATCTAAGTCTAATTTCGCATCATGTTCATTAACAGATTTTAGGTAGTTCATAGTTGTTAAGTAAGCAAGAGCATTGTCGACATGTTTAATTACTACTCTGAATTTAGTTTTGATTAAAGAGATGTATCAGAAAGGTAAAATCATTAATGAAATAGATTTTAGAATGATTAATTGGACAAAGGCATTTGCCTATCGAGTCTCAGAAATGACTAATGATAGTAACTTTTTTTTGCTTATAATGTTCTGAATTTGGGTGTCATTGAATTATTGTTGTAAATATTTTAAAGTCAAGTACCAACTAGTCAAGAATTTGAGTTAAATGAACAAATATGATCACACATATTTCTATTATCACTTTGTAATATATATATTTCGCTAATTCACCTACATCATCCGCTCATTTCATCAATGAAAATCTAATCATTAAATAACGCGCAAATCACACACAAACATCTCTGCACATCCTCCCCGGTGACATGTCAGCGCTCACACTTTCATTATCACCATCAGTTGCCGTTCGCAAGTCATCATATATATATATATCGCTCACCAGCCATCTCTACCTTTCTACTCACCGTTATTCTCATTACACTCACCACTCACAAGCCATCACTTCACTTACAACCACTGTCCGCTCATCTTTACTGTTTCCTTTATATTTCTGTCTTTTACAGCTTTTGCCTCGCTTGCCAACGAGCTAATTTATTGTTTTTCCGATCAGCCAAACTCAGTAAGTATTATTTTTGTTTTAAATTTCATCATTTAAAATTCTTGTGTTCGACCTGAAAATTCACCAATGTGAAGAATATAAAATCAATTATGATACAATATTTTTGGGCCTACAACAACATCAATTTTCCTTAACTCTATATCTGCTCATTTGCCATAAACCAAGATCAAAACCATTTTAATCTATCTAAATCCCTAATCTCCTCAATCAAGTTATCACTCAACAATCCTTTTATATGAGTAGAAATACGCATAATTAGGATATATGTAACTCAATTTCAGATAGACATTGAAGTATCATAATAGCTAACTTGTGACTTTAAATCTCCCACAATCAATATTATTATATGCACTAGTGGCCTCGTTGATACGAAGCATTGAACTATCTCATCTTAACGTGCATTTTGTCAATAATATTGACATGTCACTATCTCAACTTTATTTTCTCACATTTTGATTCGTTTCGATCATGATTACATTTTTTGATTCATAGTTGTTTCATTTGAAGCAACCCTCACTTCACGTTTATATAGGTAATCATTTCTAAAAGTATTTATCTCTATCATAAGAGTCAATTACTTAATCTCACTACTTTTGCACCTTTTTACACTCGTTGAATTTCAGGGAATGGTGATTGAATGTTTGTGCTAAATTTTTACAACTTATTTTTCTCATTGAACCAAAGTTGGAGATTGACAAGTCATTTGGCTAAGTTACCACTGTAATCATCTATATCATGTGGATTTCAAGCTCAATCTCTTTAGCAATTTTTACATTTAATCATGATATAACATTTTGGTTAGGGATCCACTAGGTTTCCTACTAACTTCACATAGTCAATAGTCAAAATCTCATTTGCGATCAAACGTTTTACCTTATTATGTCCACGTCGGATATGTCAGAATTTATCATTGTAAATCATGTTCTCAACCCTATCTATTGCAACTTGGTTATTATAGTGAATTATTATTGGAGATACTGATTTAGTCTAGTATGAAATGATATCTAAAAAGTTTTTAAGTCATTTGGCTTTTTCATCAGTTTTATTTGAAGCGATGAATTCTAATGTCATCGTGGACTGTGAAATGCACGTTTGTTTTGTAGACTTCCATAAAATAACTCCATTTTCAATGGTAAATACGTTTGCTTGTAGACAACAAGCCATTTGTATTGAATATCCAATTGGCATCACACTATCATTCAAACATTGGAGAATATTTTGCATAGTATTTGTTGAAATCGATTGTGAACTTAAGATAAATTAAGACTCTCATTAACGATTTCCAATATTTGTGATTGGTATTGCTCGTGTAATGACTAAGCTTGTTTACTAGAAAAGCTAAGTGAGGTCTTTTACATTTCGTTAAGTACACTAGACTTTAAATTATTTTGGCATACTCTTTTTGAGCTACAAAATCTTTTTCATTTCTTGTTTAAGTATACACTGAGGCCTATTGGAATTTTTGTTGGAGTATTGTCAAAGACATTGAATTTTTTCATATCTTCTCCACGTAGTGGGTTGAGTTAGAACAATATATTCGTTTCATTTTAAAAATTTTATTCCAAAAATAAAATTTGTTAATCGTATCGTCTCATTGCATATATATATATATATTTGAGAGGCATTATTATATCTCCTAAAATTTTGTAGGTAAAATTTTGTGGGCCAAATAGAGAGGAAGAATTTAGTGGTCGCATTTGGAATAATGATCCATCGAATGACTAAGAAGTAGGAAAATAGAGGCCGAAAGTTAAAAAAAAAAAAAAAAATGTGTGCAAGGATAGGATAATGGTTTAGTTGAATAATGTGTTAATAAAAGAGTTTTGAATAATTTAATAATAAAATAAATAAAATTGATTAAAAGGAAAGAGGAAACGGATGAACAGGGAATAGCAGATGAACATAATTCAATTTTCTTTTATATATGGAACATTTTTGAGAATTTTCTTGAGTTTGAATTATTTATATTTATTTTTGTTCTTAATCAAGTATTTTTGCATTTTTGTTTATCATTTTATGAGATTTTTTTGTCTATTGTGTTTGTTAATTGTTTGATCCATTACAACAATCTAATATCAGTCCGAAAATATATCGTGATTCATCCTACTGGTTCAATATCGAAACGATGTCGTTTGACATTTCGATCAATAAAAAGAATAAATCTATTTTAAAGAATAACTACTAGTATTATTTATCTTTGCAACATTGGTCTCTTTGTTTATAAAGTTTTGGCTTTTATTTTACTATTTTTAATTTTTTTTAATATCAAATTAAATACTAATTTTTAATTTATTATATTATACTATAATTTAATTTTGCATTCAAATTTTTAAATTTTTTAATTCAAAATTTAAATCCAAAACTACGTCAACAAACCTACCCTTCTTTTTTTTCAAAATTTATTTAACAAATTATATTTTACTATTTTGCAATTCAATTCATTTTTTTTTAAATAAAGAAAATGAAAAAAAAAAAGAATTAAATAAAGGACGTAATATTAATTTTTCCAACTTTATATCACATAATATATTCTTTTCACATTTTCCAACATCCATACTAAAAAGCCTACATCACTATCTTAACAGTACACTTAAATACAGTATCGACAAATTCATTTAATTTTTTTTTTTAAGAAAAATAAGGAACAAAATAAAATTACAAATAAATGCAACACTGGTCTGTATATTGAACATCACGCAGATGTTTACGTTGGTTATTTTTAATTTGGGTAAACTTTTTTTTAAGTTCCGTAATTGGACTCTTTTATCATTTTAGTCTCGTAAATGGAGCATCTCGCAAATTAGTCACATAAGTGAAAAATTTTCACTGTTTTAGTCCTTCGGCGCCGGAGATGCCCGCATGGCTCACCGGAGGTAACGTGTCCGCCAAGTCAGCTACACCTAGCGACACGTGGATTTTTATTTTTTTTTCATTTTATAATTTTTTTTTTTAATTTGATCAAATAAAAAATATAAATAAAATTTAAAATAAATTAAAAATAATTTTTAAAAAAAATTTAGAAAAATGAAAAATAAAAAATAAAAAATTCACGTGTCCCGCCAGGTGTCGTCGACCTGGCGGACACGTCACCTCCGGCGAGCCACACTGGCGTCTCCGGCGTCGGAGGACTAAAACAACAAAAGATTTTCACTTATGGGACTAGTTTGCGACAAACTCCATTTACGATACTAAAATGATAGAGGTCCAGTTACAAGAATAAAAAAAATAGTTTACCAAATTTTCCAATAAAATAGTTATTAATTATGATATTTTATATATAAGAAAATATATTTCAGAATAACAATATAATTATTAGGTAATAGAAAACAAATAAAAATATAAATCAATACAATTCAATGAAAATTTTTACTTCCTCAATTTGAGCTAATTATGCTAAGTATTCGAATACAGAAATAAAAAATATTAATAATTTAATATAAAAATAAAGTAGAATATTAAAAAAATTATTAATTTATTAATAAATTATAATATTCTTATTTTATTTATCATCAATCTCATTTTAATATATATTTTATTTATCCAACCAACATTATATAATTTTTTTTTTGGAAGGAAAAGAGTATAAATCTTCATAAAAATTGAAAAAAAAAATACTTATATTCAAATATCAGGTTTGTCCTTTGTTCATCTAGTTGACAAAATATATTTTATACGTTTGAAAAAATGTCATTTATATCCCCCATCTGGCAACGATTTTTGTAAATAATTAATATATATTTTGCCATCAAAATAAATAAATAATAAAATTAATAATTAAGTATACGGGAATTATATTTTTTTAGCATTTTTTCCTAAAATACTTCCATAGCAAAGTTGACTAAAGGAAAATTTAAATAGTAGTACTACTATTCATTTACAACATTCATTTACAAAAATCTATTGCTTGTTTGATTCAACTATATCATTTATATCGGACAGGAATAATTAAATTAAAAGCGTGAAAAGATAAATAATAAATTTCATAATTTGGCAATAAAGATTTTTGACCACAAAAGAAGTCCAATAATGAATTCTCTTCTTCTTTGTGTGAATATTCAATACGATAATGGAAGATAATTATGTACATATATATAATTAATATATATACATATTAATAATGTAGATATACAGTATTTATGTATTCATATGCCAAGACAAAGTTTAATATATATATATATATATATTAGAGAGAGAAAGCTCCAATGATTGTGCACTATGTACTAAAAAATTCGAAAAAAATCATTCTGCACTCTTTCCCCTTTGGACCATTTTGCTTTGTGGGTCTCCTCTCTCTCTCTCTTTCTCTCTCTCTTTGGAGCGTTGATTATCAATTGGCAAAAAAGAAATGATTTTTTTGGGTTTCCCAGAAGCGTATTTCATTTCACTGGTGTCCCGGCGGGAGAGAAGGAAGTGAAAGAGTAGAAGAAAACAATTCCTCTGCTTCTACGGAACTGATTTCTTGATTTATTTTGTAAGTTGTGTATTCAATTCGTTTCCTGATTGACCTCTCCCTCTCTCTCTCTCTCTCTCTCTCTGCCCCCCTCTCTCTCTCTTATTTCCCTTCATCTGGAAGATATTATTATTATAGTTTTGTTTTTTCATATCAATCCTTCTTCCTGTGTTTTTTATCCGCCTTTATGTTTTTTGCCTGACATCCTTTTTTCTGGCGGTTACTGGTTGTGGTTATCTCACTCTTGAGGTACTGTTTTGGTTTCGGCGTACCGATTTCTCTGTCGGTGGGTTTTTTTTTTGGGGGGGGGGGAGGGGATTTTGTCCTTTATGCGTTTTGCGTCGCTCTGTAATTGAGGTGGGCCTTTGACTGTGTTGTGTTATTCCCTGTGCCTTTCGGGCTCTAGGACGGTTGAAGCTTCGATTGATGTGGTTGTTGGGTAAATCTTGTGATAATTTTTTTTGATTGTGTGTGTCACTGCAGATGTGATCTCCTATTAGGGTTTTGTTCAATTTGTGCACGCGGTGGTGTACTGAGTATTTGAATATCGATTAGGTTTTGTGGTTTTGGTTCGGAAGTTTGTGGATTTTAGTTTCTTGGATAAAATTTTGGATTTTGATGTAGGTGTTGACCCGAAATTGATTTGCCCTAATTGAGTTAGTCGCACCCACAGTTGATTGTGGTCTCTCCGACCGATCAATGTTTTATAATCAGAAATATTTTCTAATTTAGGTTTTTGCATGGCAATTTTGGATCTTTTTCTATATGATGCTTTCTTTGTATGTTTTGATGACATAGTTGCTTAATTTTATGTATATCTCTGTGGGGTAAAGGAATTACAATTAATGTTTATGTTTTCTGCTTGAGCTCTTTTGCATATCTGTATGGTTGTCAATTTCGTTTCTATATACTGCATTTCTTTCTTTGCTAATGCCCAAATTATTGTGTATCTTCTTTCAGTCTGTTTTTGCATATCACTGGAATTGGTTATTGGGCTGTTTGACATTCTTGCCTTTTTCCATTGGTTGTTATTTGTGGAATTGATCATATTAAATATGATTTTGTAAACCAGATTCTTGGTGATTTCACATTCTAACCCAGCCATATACTTTTTGACATTATCCAAACTTTATTGATCCTTTCTTTATGGACCTCTTTACTCATACTTACATAACTACTTTCGGTTGGGGCTGTTTTGGCAGGAAGCAATTTGAATGGAGCCGTCATCAGAAAGTTTCAATTCTGGTTGGTTGAGAGATGTGTTGTTGTATCCGATTATTTGTGGAGTTCAATTCTTGTATAGTGTGTTTCAACAAATTATTTTGCTTCTGCATTTTTAGGGCATAATAAAACCCTTTTTACGGGTACTGTTGGAAAAGAGAAAACTGTATGGGGACTTCCTGGTGGGACTAATGCACATCGTTCATCTTCTGATGCTAGCCTGTTTTCGACTTCACTGCCAGTCCTTTCACATGTGAAATGTGTGTACAAGTGATTGATCTTCAGATTTTATCATTACGGCTCTTTTATTTTAGAATGATTTGAAAACTGGGTCTGCTTTCTTCTTTAATTGCAGTAAATTTTAGTGAATCTGATCAAAGTGGCCAATTACGTGATGATGGTTTTCCTAGCCTTGATCGGCTGCGCATTGCTGGTGATGTAATGGATCCGCATGATTCTACAGAGCAAGGTGCAATAGGGAACTTTCTTCCTGGCGATGAAGATGAACTTTTAGCAGGGCTTATGGATGACTTTGATCTTAGTGGTTTGCCTACCCAACTTGAGGATTTGGATGACGATATTTTTGGAAGTGGAGGGGGCATGGAAATTGAACTGGATCAAGAGAATCTTGTCAATGGTGTATCAAGGCTGGGTTTGTCTGACGGTATTGGTAGTGGCAGCATTTCTCATTATGGCTTCGTAAATGGTGCTGGAGCTATCAGTGGTGAACACCCGTATGGAGAGCACCCGTCAAGGACTTTATTTGTTCGAAACATTAACAGCAATGTGGAGGACTCTGAACTTCGGTCCCTCTTTGAGGTATTTTGACAAGATTGATGTTCATTAATTGAAACTATGTATAATTGTTCATTGGTTTGACATATGGTGTGCATCTCTCAACTTTCACTTTACACTTTAGCATAGGATTTCATAAGAAACTAAGAATATTTTATATGGGAATTAAATAAATAGCTAATGAAAGAACAAGCAGTTTAGCAGAAATTTTCAATAATGTCACATAGTGCTTTCTCCACCCAACACAATTTATGAATTCTGTAGTTATCTGGCAATACCCTCATTTTTCTCGTCCCTTGTGATAGCAATATGGAGATATCCGAACTCTGTACACTGCATGCAAGCACAGGGGATTTGTGATGATATCATACTATGACATCCGGGCTGCTCGAACTGCAATGCGTGCATTACAGAATAAGCCCTTGAGAAGAAGAAAGCTTGATATTCATTTTTCGATTCCAAAGGTTTTGAGCTCTTGGAACTCTTTATACATTCGATTTATAGATCACTTGTTATAACTATTGCTTCTCTCCAAATTCAGGACAACCCATCTGAAAAAGACATTAACCAAGGAACCTTGGTAGTGTTTAACTTAGAATCTTCTGTATCGAATGATGAACTTCGCCAAATATTTGGAGCTTATGGGGAAGTTAAGGAGGTAGAGATTTCATTTCATGCCTGTGTTCTATGTATAATATCTCATTTTTCTTCCTGCCAGTTTATCTGCCTTTGTTACTGAACTGAGGTTGTATTTTGTATTGTATAGATAAGAGAAACACCCCACAAAAGGCACCATAAGTTCATCGAGTTTTATGATGTTAGAGCAGCTGAGGCAGCACTTAAGGCTTTAAATAGAAGTGACATAGGTGGGAAACGCATAAAGCTTGAGCCCAGTCGGCCTGGTGGAGCACGCCGGAGGTAAATGCATAATTTCTTGCTTTAGGGTTGCTGTTTTTTGGTTTTCTTTTTTCCAAAATCTCATTTTCTGACTGTGACAGTATTGTTGGTACTGTTGTAGCAAAAACTATCTCGCACTTCCCTGAAATGAAGGTTTTAGATGTGGCCTTGGTGCTGGTTAATGCTTATTCTGTTCTGTATTTTTCATGTTTATTCATGGGCATGTGCAAAGCACTTGCGACATCTTTGGTTCTTCTTAGCGCTTGTCTTGTTAACTTGTTTTCCGTGTCTATAGTTTCAAAGAATGCCGCATGCTGCACATCCTTTTCCTTTATAAAAAAATTATATAATGACATGGGATGAGTTCTGTTAATTTGCTTGAATATTTTCTTCACAGTAAGGTGGCTAGATTTGGATATCTTACTATTCGTTTGTTCTATCTCTGGAAGTTCTAACATATCTCAAATTTACATTATGTTGATTCATTGTGAGGTGATTCTTGTAGATTTGATGTTATGTAATCTTGCGACAATGGTTGCATAATTTAAATGTAATAGTCTGTTGGCATATGCATCAATATATCACTATAAATTTTTATTCTGTATTGCGAAACTGAATGGAATTTGAGTTTCGCATAAACAGCTATGAAAGTTAATTCATTTCAAGGTTCAGCTGTTACTTAAAGTATGCTGAGGTTGAACGTTTAAATATAGCAATCAATTGTTAGAATATAAAATTTTAACACAAGTTTTCCCTCCACAGTTTAATGCTGCAACTTACTCAAGAGCAGGAGCAAGATGAAGCTCGAACTTTTCGCCAGCAAATTGGATCACCCATAGGGAACTCCCCTCCTGGCATCCTAATTGACGGTGCACCTTTAACAATGTCTTGTTGATTTTTTCAATCTTCAATCCACACCTTGTGTATGCACTTAAGCAGGTGCTGTGTATATGCAGGTAGCTGGCCAAGTTATGGCAGCCCGGTTGACCAGAATTACCTGCATGGTTATAGTCAGGCGCCTACTTTAGGACAGCTCAGCCCTGTAGGAAGCAATCATGTGCCTGGCTTGGCTTCTATTCTCCCTTCTCATGCATCAAGTCCTGTAAAGATTGCACCAATCGGAAAAGATACTGCAAGAATAAGTCCTGTGAACACAGACAATGCAGTGCATGCGGCCGCCTACCAGAAACATTTTTCTGCCACAGATTCATCGAAGTTAAGTTCAAGTCCTGGACATGCTGCATTTAGTGATTCAAAGGCATCTAGTGTTGGAACTCTTTCTGGTCCTCAATTTCTCTGGGGAAGCCCGACTATTCACTCAGAAAACATCAATTCTCCTTCATGGTCGTCATCATTGAAAGGGCTTCCATATGCATCCCGAGGACAGGGTATTGGCTTTCCATACAACAGTCAGCATGGCACTTTTCTTGGTCCGCATCATCATCATGTGGGATCTGCTCCATCTGGTATTCAACTGGAACGGCATTTCGGCTTTTTCCCTGAATCAGTGGAATCATCATCCTATAAAAACCAGGCAACATTTGGAGTTTCAAATTATGGGCCCAATAATGGAAACCTCGCTGTGAATATGGGTCGCCCTGGGGCTCTGAAAATGGGTGTTGCTTTTGCTGGAAACTTCACTGAAAGTGGTTCCCCTAATTCTCGAATGATGCCAATGTCGAGAAATGGTCCTATGTATTTTGGGAATGGTTCTTTTGGCATCATGGGAGATGGACTAATAGATCGAAGTCGAAGTAGGAGGACTGATGGTGGAAGCCAGGTGGACAACAAGAAGCAGTATCAGCTTGATCTGGAAAAAATTGTCAACGGCGAAGATATCAGGACCACTTTGATGATAAAAAACATTCCCAACAAGTAAGAAAGGGTCACTTAATTTTTGTAGTTTATACTCTAATTTATCTTTATGTAATTATATTTCTTTCAATTTATGAAGGTACACATCGAAAATGCTGCTTGCAGCTATTGATGAGACGCACAAGGGTACATATGATTTTCTTTATTTGCCCATAGATTTTAAGGTAATTGTTTGTTTGAATGGAAAGTTTATATATTATTATTTTTTTTACATTTGTGGTAAAGGAAGAACTCAACTTCTGTGTCTTTTCATTTGTTTCCAGAATAAATGCAATGTTGGGTATGCGTTCATCAATATGGTGTCCCCTGCCCACATCATCACTTTCTATGAGGTATTTGTCTCGTTCACTGGTTGCAGTCCAATGCGAATTCATTAAATTATGCACCCTTTTGCATGATAGGATTGATATTCTTCCTCTTCAATGTACACATTATAGAATTGTCCATCTGATTAGTTGTTTTGTCTTTGAAGGCATTTAATGGGAAGAAATGGGAGAAGTTCAACAGTGAAAAAGTTGCTTCCTTGGCCTATGCAAGAATCCAGGGAAAGACTGCTCTTATCTCGCATTTTCAAAATTCGAGTTTAATGAATGAAGACAAGCGATGCCGGCCAATTGTTTTCCAATCTGAGGGGCAAGAGATTGGTGATCTGGTATGTTTTGTCACTGTTTGTGCATACCGAGTTCTCTGCTAGAAAATTTGTTAACATCACTAATGACCCTTTTATGTTAAAACTATGACAAAGTTGCTAATGTAATTATTTTTACAAAGAGAGTTGGCAAAGTATTTTCCATTTTTTGGGTGTCTTCCAACTTGAAGCCACTTTGTGCTTATTTTCTTATTTATTATTGTTTTTATTTTTACTCTGGTTTCGTCATACTTAGAAAGTCGTCTATGTGCTTCGTTATCAATCATTTATATAATTCGTCTTCTTGACATTTAATGAGCTAATCTATCTTTCACAACACAGGACCATGTCCCATCTGGCAATCTGAATGTGTTTATACGTCAGGCGGATGGATCTTATGCAGGCGACTCTCTGGACAGCCCAAAGGGTGATCTGGATGAGAAGCTATGAGAAGCTAACTGTGCTCTCGGTGAATCTTAATAAGCTTTGAAGGGAAGCGAGTATATGCTAACTTTTGTATAGTTTGTCTTGCGTATAATTGTCGGTGTTGATAGTAATCCTGGATTACCTATCTATATATATATATATATATATATTTAATGCACTTGTGCCTGGCGATGTCTGCTTTTTGTGATGGGAACGTCGTAGCTCTGGTGGAGAAGGGGGTCGGGTCGGTCTAATGAGGGTTGCCATTATATGCGCGTCATATTGTCGTCGCATCAAGAGGAACAGAGAACAAAGCTAAGGATCTGCTGATATGTTTTGTCCTGAGTTTTCTTCCAGGCTCTTTTGCCTGCAATGCCAAATGTATAGTAGTTTTCAGTGCTCGGTGAGGGCCGGATTTATGTATAGACAAGACAGACAGACAGACAGACTGTCGGTACTACTTAAGAAATGTACAGTAGGCTCTATGAACAGATGTGTCTGTGGATCATTCTGACCTTGTTTGCCGTCGGATTGCCCGGATTTATGATGAATTTGGATGACATTCAATCTATCTATTATCTTGCCATGCTTGATTTCTGTTGTTTGCATCTTCTGATTGATAATTCATTTGTTGTGAATTGTGGATTGTTGCGTCATAATCATACATTATGTGTGTGTAATAATGTATATGAATTATTACTATTTGTAGTCGAGTAATTACCTGTCATATTTTTTAGACATAGATGGTGGGCACAAGGAACTGATTCTCTGAAAGAATAAATGTGCTTTGAGGCTGCTCTCCCAAATTGTTGTTCAGAATATGCTGCAGCAATAATGATGCAATGGACCAAAGATACTTCCATTTATGACCATAAACCATTCAAAAACCAATACCATGGATGAATGGGAGGTGATGAAGAATCCCAACGACGACAAGGATCAAAATACCGAATGGGTTCCCAGTCTAAAACAGAGTACGATTTCAGATTCGCATCAGTTGTTATTATTCATTCGTGACGAATTATCAGATTTGGAGAGCATCAGCTATGGATGCAGCAAGACTCAGCACCTCAAAAGGAGCTATGTTGGCTATGGCACTCACCGTTGCAGGGCAAGAATCCGTGATCCAAAAATGGGTGAATGCGTTCTCGTGTTCCTCTGCAACAAATGACATTGTGATGATCAACAGAGATGCAACCGGCAGAATAACAGACAAAATGACCAAATATCACCAAAACGTACCTTTACTCTTGTGGACAAATCGCTCCCATGATTTCTTCGGGAACACACCATGGGTTACATAGGCACTAACTTTTTTTGCACCATGAGCTGCCAAAACTTTCTAGACACCACAGGGAAACAAATTAGACTAGGTGTGTACAAATTATTGCCCAGCTATCTACAATTCAATAATTGTAATCCCAATTCCTTATCAATTCTATTAGTATGTTAATCTATCCGTGTACATATAACGTCATAATAACAGCATAAAGCAAGAACAATGAAAAGAAAATTAGAAGTTTTTGGTGGCCTCTTCAATGACAAGCACACAACCAACATTGTGTAAAATTATAAGTAGAAGGAAACAGGAAAGACCTGACATTCAATTAAAGTGCCGCCAGATTGCACCAAGTCATCAACAATGACAACATGACAGCCAGCTGGTTCACCCTCCTTTATCCTAACAATTCTTTTGTCTCCTTCACGAACCTTGTTGCAGATGACCTAAGGAAAAATAACAAGACACAAATGCCCAGGATGATAAACACGAAGCAGCAACAAAGAAAATTGTTGTCAATGTACACAAACCATGGGAAAGTTGTCCAGTAGTTTGTGGAATCTTTTCCAAGCTCCATCATCAGGAAAGGCAACTATTACCTGTAGCAAAATGCTCAACTATTACCACCAGAGCAGATAAGAAAAAGCTAAATTTGAAATTGATATATTCTATAACTAAAAACTCGACATGTGATTTGAATAGATATTTTTTGCCCATTTAACATTACGCAGAACACTGCTGTCCCAAATCTTCCATTTAGAACATGTTCAATGTTCAAAAACAACTGGTCCATGTATCAAAAAATCATATACTTGTATATCACTCATTCCACTATATCTCCAAACATCAGTACAATACATTGCCTCTGTTAAATTTATATAGGTGCACATATGTGAAGAATTATAAATATACAGATATTATCTAAACATGAAATCACAATAAATAATAAAGTTCAATAGCTGTAATATATAATAATATATTTTAATCATTAAGAATAACAGTTCCAGTTGATCATATAACTACATCCTCTCACCTTATCCGATTTTAGAAGTTGAAGCCGTTGCTGTAGAAGTGGGATCCCAGTCTCAAAAAGAGGTAAGACAGTATCACTGAAATAAAATCTTTCCTGTAAGCAATGAACAGTTGCAAACAAACATTACCTAGTGCTCCATCTTGTGCAGACATGTCCCTTTAATATCATAATTCCAAAAGATGAATGCCAAAGGAGTTGAAAGATCATTCACAAAGATAAACACAGGAATGTCAACAAAACAACTCATATATGTTCACTGCTATAAAAGCCAACATTAGTAGTGACGATTTTTATATTCCAAAGGACCAACCTTAGTAATTCATGATACCATGCACCATAGGTGATAGTTCTCAATCTCCTACATTTTTCACATCTATTGACTGATTTGGACAACATACATGTTTTAATGATGATAAATAAATAAACTGAATTCAGAACATTTGAATGACATATATACAAGGACTTCTTGGCAAGGATTGAAAAAGAAATAGGACATTAATAAAACAAAAATGAACAAGGCAAGGTCACAACTTTGTTTATAATTGCATGCTTTGACACAAGTCATAACAGAGTATCTTAATAGATCATCTCCTATAGGAAATGTGTATTATCTTATACTCATCATTGGACAAGACACAAAAGATACATGACATACTATCTACAATCTCAGAACTGATAACTAGGCTTTTGTCATATATATCTACAAATCCCTAACTAAAATGTCCCCATTGTTTTCGCCACTTCTTAGCAGGAAAATGTTAAAAAAACACAGAAGAATCACACTGGAAAATTGGTAGAAATCATAACTAAAGTTCTACAAATCTAATATAGTTGTAAGTCGTAACCATTACGAAGACTTCAAAGCAATATATAAAAACCATAAAACCAAATACACCTTTTGTAAAACTATCATTGGAAGATTAACTTAATCGCTGAAAATGTTAGCAACAACACAAAGCCAGAAACAATATCTACATGAGAGAACACTCAATTTTATGTTATAATATATGATAAAATCGAGTAATATTATATTTAAAAAATACACTGAGAAGTGGCGGGTTTAGAACGCAGACCAAAATAAATAAATAAAATTGAGTAATATAGAATAGTGCAGTCTAAAAAAGAACCTGTAATGCATGTATATCATAGACAACCAAACTGGTTGGACCACCCCTCGATATAGGAGTATTAGACAGCATTCTCGCCAAGGTAAATGCAGTTGCAACATCACCTTCCTCTTCAATTCTTTCAAATGATCCAGTTGGAAAGAAAGGCAAGACAACCGTAAATGAAGCAACAAATAGCATAGGCAGTGCATAGATTACAGAAAGTTGTTCAAAAATGACTGCAGTCGAACTGAAGGATGCTAGAAAGGCAACATGTTGGCCTCTGATAGCATGCGCTTTCTCTATGAAGAGGTTTGGAAATCCATCATCAAAACTCCTGCATACAGAAAGTGCAAGCGTTACCAACACTTTCACAAACCAAACCCAGAACTATACAGCAGATAATGCAAAAAGCAAGGTAGACATGTATAATCGCACCAGAATACAAAATCCTAAATTCCTGCTAGGGTTCAGTGAGTGCAGCAGCAATCAGCACCACTCAAATGCTAGCTATAGGTCCGATCGCTATATTGCATTCCATGAATGTAATCAAATCAACAGAAAACCTCAACACAACAAACTATACGCAGCATTTCTGGCGGCAACTGGATACAATTCTAGTAGATGTTTAGTTCTAAAAGAATTGGTTTCACAGCTAAAGCTATTCAGAAGGTGAATTCCTCAGCTCCGGAAACTTAAATGCAACGCATATCAAAATTTGTCCGTTCCGTAACATGAAATGAAATGATATATCCGTATACAGACCAGTCAAGACAGATGAAGCTCACCAAACAAAAACTGAAAAAAGAAGTTTGTAACTATGTATGAAGGAGAAACAAAAGAGAGCAAGCCATTTCAAGGCAGAAAATCAGTTTGGTTTCGGGAATGGATTTTTACCTCCACTTGATGGTTTGGAGTTTAATGTAATCTGACTGAGCAGCAACCTTTCGTGCCAAGTCCTCGGCCTCGACACAATAGAAAAGAAGCACTTGCTTCTTCGGCCTCTCCATTACACCTGACCTGGCGCAGTTTTTTTGCAGCAGAAACTGAAGAGAAGAGAAGAGAAGAGAATTGGAGTAGGGTGAAGCAGAGGCGACCAATAGGAACAGTCAGGCAGGCGGCAGGTTTATCAGCCGGTTACCAACCGCCGGTCTGAACCGGCGGCTCGCCTGTTCCGAACCGGCGGAACCAAAAACGAAGAAGGGGGGAGGTGGGATAGGGCGGCCGCGTGGATTGTGTTGTGGGTGCAGTGGTTTATAAAGTATTTTTTTTACTATTTAGTTTATTAAAATAATTCATTTTTTAAAATTAATTACACTTAGTATTAAACTACAAAAAAAAATTCATATAAATTCAAATGTATAATTACATATACAATTACAAAATTAATCAATTTTTTTTATATATTTTTATTAAGGAATAAAATATTACTATTTTTGTAAAATTCTAAGTTTCATTTATTTTTTTCAGGTTAATATTTAAATATTAATTATTATATCAAAACTTAATACAAATAAAGAAAAATTAACAAAAATGTTTCTATTAGTGTCTTGATGAAATTTGTACAAAACAAAATTATACAAATATAAGAATATTTTTAATTTAAAGTAAAATACCGCAAAAGATAAATAAAACCTTTAGAGCCGGACATAGGGTTGAAATATTATTTTTTAATTTATTATAAAATTGTCATTTGGATTGAAATTGAGAGAGAATTTATTCTACTACATTTATCAATATTATATGTGCATTCTTATTATAAAAGATTAATATGTTATTCTCGGAGCTATTAGAATGTTTATTTGGTCAAATAAGCGTCATGTTGATTTTGATTAAATTAGCAAACTAATTTGAAATAACTAGCAAATCATCACATATTATCAGGTTATACGTTTAACTTGAAACAATTAACAAATCATTACAAAATAAATAACATATGTTGCGGTATATAAAATATATTTTGTGTGAATTATATTTCGTGTTGAAATCAACATATATTGTACTATATACAATTATATAATATGTTATGATATACTCCCTCCGTCCCAGATACCGTGTCTGCTACACTGTAGACATGGTATTTTAGGAGGAGTGTAATTAGTAGATAATTAATAATGTATAAGTGAAAATAATTATCCTATAATATAAATAATTATAAATTAAGATTAAGATAACTAATTAGTTTAATTAAAATTAAAAAAATAAAATATAAAAATTTGAAATGAGATTAAAATGTGTAATCATTTTTCAAAAAATGAAAGTGACATGGTATGTGGGACGGACAGAAACGGCAATGTGGACATGGTATCTGGAACGGAAGGAGTATATTGTATTAACATTTATCGTGCTAGTTGTATATTGTATTGTACTCTTATATAATTTGTTTACTGTACTATAGTGCTAAAATCAGAATATATTGCTCTGAAATCAAAATTATATTTTACTATTAACATATATGTTATACTCCCTCCGTCTCATATTTATATATTCATTTATTTTTTGCACGGAGTTTTAGAAATATTAGTATTAGGTGATAGTACAATTACTTTAAAAAAAATGGATACTTTGTTATGAGACGGACCAAAATAAAAAAATAAATAGATTGTTAAGAGACGAATGAAGCATATATATTATATTATATGTGCTATTTATTTTATAAATATTTATTAATTGAATCAAATCAGCATCGTACTGATTTGATCCCATCAATATAGTAACATAAGCGACTATTCTCAGTATACTAATATTATAACGATAATACTATATGTAATGTTGATTGTAAATAGTAAAAATAATATCCATAATATAACAATATATTTGTGTAATTAATTAAATATTTTGTTCAATATATATAATGCTAATGCTAACGGAACAAATATATTCACTTTGTTTGTTCTCGTCTCATTATCATTATTGTGATCCATTGTTTGAAACATTCATAATTTACTGTATTCTTCTGGATGAATTCAGTTTGGTCTGACCTACTTTATTGCAATAATATTCTATGTATTATATCTGACACGAGTATAATTTAATTTTTAATTATATCAATTATTCTAAATTTGATATATATTCATGTATGTATATATTTTTAAAAATATAACGGAAAAATTTTAGATCAAAGTAGAAAAATATACGGTTGCATACAATTAAATTGTTACGTTTATGTCACTAATTTTTGTTGATTTTTTAAAACTGAAGCCAAAATTAATTAAAATTATTTATAATTAAACTAAAATTGATGAATTTTTTATATTAAGACCATAATTCATACATTCTAAGGAGACTATTATTAATTTTTTTTTCCTTATTATTATTATTATTATTATTATTATTAGGAAGTAGAATCTTTGGTGTGTTTTTTTTTTTCTTCGTTCGAAATGACAACAAAGTAAATAAAGTTTAACCACGTGCTAAGCACAAGAAAAGCGCCACCTTTACTAATTATGTGCTCTATAAAGCAATTTACTACTTTTACAAGTTTTATGATTAATTATTACAATACCTCTTTCATTCACAAGTACTTTCCTATTTTTTTCTATTAAATTTATTAAGAGTGTGTTTGTTTGAGGTATTTTGTGGGATTTCTATTATTTTCATAAAAATTTTCCTTCAAAAACATCAAATCAAACATTTATTTTTTATTTTTTATATTATACTAAAAATCAATTTTACATTTAAATCATCACATCAATTCTTATTTATATCACATTATACAACTATTCAAATTCAAAATTTTTACTATTCAAATCCCAACCCAAAATCCAAAACTTCAAACAAACACACCTTAATAACTTGTTTTTAGCAAAGTTCAAATATCTATATCTAATTATTGTTTCTAATTTAATATTTATTTACAAAAAAAATATCACTATTACATTTACACATTATTCACCATTTTTTTTTTCTACTTTAAATTTGTATAAATATCATCAATTACATTTATATTAAACTTTTAATAAGATATATATATATATTTATTTTTTTACTTAAAGCTTCAAATGTGCTAATATTATTGGAAGGAAGAGAGTAATATATATATATTTTTTAAACAAATATTCTATCAAAGATATATTTACAAAATGTCACGACAATCTAATACTAATCTTCATATTTTTTTTTTTATTTAAAAAATTGTATTTGGTTGGAGAACTTGTAAGATTTTTATTATTAGTAATTTTTTTCTCTCAAAAAATCAAATTAAATAGTCATTTTTTATTTTTTGTACTATACTAAAAATTAATTGTATATTTAAATATCATATTATATAATTATTTTGATTTATATATTTTACCACTTATGATCCAAATTCAAAATTATATACGTATATTATAATTTTCAAAATATTATATCGGAAAACATTCAAAATTTTCAGAATTTTTTTTTTTTTTTACAAAGTTAATTTATACTATCTTCATTCAAAAAAAAAAAAAAAATTGAAATGATGTGATTTTGGTTAAATAGGGTAACTAAAAAATAATAATATTTTAATATTAAATTAAAATAAGTAAAAAATAAAGTACAAATATTATGAAAATTTTATTTAAAAGTTAATAAAAAAAATAGTTAAGTAAGCAAAAAAGTAGTTACAAAATATATTATTATTTATTAAAATAAAAATAATAAAATTATTTATTATAAATAAAATAGGCCTCTATCAAGAAAAAAATATTAATATAATTGTAGTAGATGAAAAAATTCATATTAATTATGATATTATAGTATACTTCCTTATTATTTTTTATTAATTTTGTGTTTCTATCCATTTTTTATTATAATAAAATTAATTTATATATAAATATCAAAATAAGTTAATTTAAGAAAAATATTTATTTTTATATAAAAAAATATGAAAATCATTTTATAAATATTAACTACTTAATAAAATATTATTATTATTTTTATATACATTAAATTAAAACAGAAATATATTTATTTTAATATATTAGTAATATTTAAAGCATTTAAATAAATAAATTTCCAATACAACTTCCGACTTAAAACAATAAAACCAACCAATAACCAATAACCGAAAAAAAAAAACAAAAAAACAAACCAATAACCAATCAAACCAAACCCTATAATAAAGGAAAGGTGCCTGTCAAAAGGTAACTGAAATATCCATCTCCACTACTGTCTACTGTGCTGTACTACTGAGCGGAAAACAACAAACCCTAATTTCAATCATCTTTGGAGGAGCTTTGACCTCGCCCGCCCGCCCGCCCGCCCGCACTCAAGGTAAGCACGCATCTCTGCCTCTGCAATTTCACATTTCATCGCCGCTAATCGAATCTCTACACAGTTTTTTAATTGTTTGCTTTCGAAATTTGTAGGAGGAACCTCTGGTAAGCCGCGATTCTACTCGAACTGTTGGGTATTTTCTTTACACCTTTCGCTTGTCAAGATATGTGAAAGAAATTGAGTTAGTTGTTGTAGGAGTATCAGAAGTTCGCTTTAGCTTAGGCTTTTCGGTTATTTATAGATAATCTGTGGCCATTTTTGATCTGCGGAAGGTCTATTGATTTTCTCCGTTTTTATTTTCGTCAAAATGATTTATTGTCTCACATCCGTGATTTTCTTCAAAGATTTTAGGAACTCGAAATGGGTGATGAATCGTTTAAGAACGGAGAATTTCATGATGCTAGTACTATAGAAATTACCAGGGATGAGGTTTCGTTGAAAATTACTAAACTCAACGAACGGATCGCTGAGCTTGGTAAAGAAAAAGGTGAAATAATTCAAGAAAATGAGGCCTGTAAGAGTCAAATTGAAGAGTTGAAGGCGTCTGCCCAAACGTTGGTCACTGAGAACACAGAGTTGAGGAGGCAGGTTGAGGAAGCCAAATCTGAAATCAATGCATTGCAATCTGTGGCATCCCGTGCTGCAGAGCTTGAAGGTGAAGTGACCAGGTTGCAACATGATTTCTTGTCAACAATGAGCAATTTGCAGGAAACTTGTGTTGAGTTGTCGGAAATGAAAGGAGAATTGGATGATTTAAAGGAGAAGGATAAATCCAAGGGTGATCAGTTGCAGGCTATTGTGAAGGAGAGAAACATGTTAATGGATAAGGTGGAGAAACTGGCAAATCTGGAAAAAGAGTTGAGGCTTGCAGGCAAGGATAAGGATCAAGAAATCAGAGAGTTGCAGAATAAGATTGAGGAAATGGAAATGGTTGTGGGAAAGAGCAAGATTCTGGAGAAGATTAATGATGATTTGGCAAAGCAAGTTGAAAAAATAGAGGAGCATATCAATAGTTTAGATAGTAGTTTGAAAGAGAAAGATAAGGTCATTTCAAGCCTGCGCATGAAGGAAAGAGTAATCTGGAATGGTGATAGCCTCAATCCTTCAAAGGATGATGGGCATAAGGGATTAACTGGAGGCTTGAAACACAAGGACAAGCTGGTTGTTGGAGGATCGACCGTTGCTGCTGTTGCTGCCATGGGGGTTGCTTGCTATGTGTATGCTGCAAAGAAACATTGATATGGAAGCGCTCTTGCTGCGAGAAGTTATATGTGCTTTCTAATTCTGATGATAAGGAGTGTCAATTTTGATAGGCGCATTTCTCTGGTTTGTCTGTTCACTTGGTATGATAACCTTCTGCTTTCTGTGGCGCAATAATGTTTGATAATACTCCGTACTAGTTTACTTTGAACTGCAGTTCTTCAATATTTGCGAATATTAATCTTGATGAAGCTTTGAATGTTGTTTAGAACTTGAGCTCAATATTACTGCGTGTAGTTTGTCATGCATACCTTTATTCGATTCGATATGGTGCTTGGAATTTGATTCTATGAATGTTACATTTTCAGAATTATATTGTGTAGCCGCCCTAGATTGTAGTGATTACTTTCTTATGTGAAGTTTGGTATTCTTGATTCATCTACATGGTAGTTTTGTTCATCCTTCGTTGAAGATGATTTCTGTTTTTTGTTGGAACTGCTGATGAGTGCCTTTAGAGAAATTTCAATGCTCGACACTACCAATTCTGTTGTGACCTTTTGCATCGGCCATGTGTTTGTACATTCTTTTTGCATGTCCTTTTCCACTGCACTCAAAAGTATGTGATCTTCTTTTCTGCATTAAGCACTGAAACTTGTTGGATGATTTGTGTTCTTCAGCTTTAGTATCTATTCTACGGTCAGTTCTGGAACCTTATGGTGCTGCTGCTTGATTTTTCACCCTTTTTGTCGTTGAACTTCTTCCGTAGAAAATTTGTAGATTCTTTAGTGACAAACTTGACTTTTATCATTTTCCGAATGAGAATCAGCATCTTTCTTCTTGATTTTTGGTTGCAAACTTTATCCCTTGTAGATGATTTTCACTCATATGCTTGAACCTTACCTTTTAGTTCATCAAGTTATAGTGTATTTAGGTTTTTGGCACTTGTTGAATTTGAATGCAACAATTTTCATATAACTCTGGCATCATCATAATATACATACCCTTTGGAAGCATGTAGGCTCTATTGATAAAGTAGGGACAAAAGGTGGAGATACCTTCGTAAACATTAGGCCAATCTTCTTGTGCTACTTGATAGCTGAAGATTAGTTTGAAGTGAATTCGCTTTTTTCTGTAACAGCTCATTTATTTCTTGAATATTTCCTTGCATCTCTAATTTTAGAATCCAATTTGTTTCGCAAATTAATTAATTAATTTTTTTTTTTTGTGAACTTTATTTATTATTTTATCGAATTGGGTGTGTTCTGTTAAAAAAAAAATATTAATACAATGTTCGATTAATTTTTAAAAATATAATATATAGATCATACAAAATATATACTCCCTCCGTCCTATTTCTCATATTCACTTTTTTATTTCTGGCAGTTCCACTTTTGTTATTTTATTTTTTTAAAAAATAATTATACACTTTAATCTTATTCTTTAAATTTTAATTTATAATTTTTGTTATTTTTAATTATACTAATCAATTATATTAATCTTAATTTATAATTATTTTTACTAATAGAGTAATATATATAATCTATACATTAAAAAAAATACAATAATTTATATAAATTTATAATTTAAATTTATTTGACTGGTGTATTTAGTTTTGTATTTTTAATTTAAAGTGTATTTTTATAGTATTAGATATGAGAAAGAGTGGAGATAGTATAAAAAAAATAAACATTTTATGTTAAATTATTATATTTTTATATAGATTATATATATAGTATATCATATATTTGTATGAATATATATATATTATATCTTTTAATATTAATCTATTAATTTTTATTTATTATTATTATTTTTTTGTTTTAAAACACACTCAATTTGGTTAAAAAATAAATGAAGTTAACAAAAAAAAATGTAAAATTTAATTTACTACAATAAATAAAATTCGTGGAAAGATAATTACAAAAGTTCAAATAATTTGATTAATCTACAAAATAAATTGGATTTGGGAAATATATATAGCATTTAATTTTATCAACCAAAGAGATCATATATTTTTGACATATATTCCCTACCTTAACAAAAAATAATAATAATAATAATAATAATAATAATTCTTATACCTCACCTCAAAAACAATTACAATTAGATAGACACCCTTTACATACGCTATTATTTTATTTATAGTATTTATTAATTAACATTTATATAACTTTTTAGTTGACATTACCAAAAGAAAATTGATATAATTTATAAATATAAAAATAGTATTTCATTGTTCTAATCCAAATTCAAAAGACCTTTGGAATTTATAGTAAATTAAAAAATAATAATGTATTATTAATCAGTAAAAGTATAATTTTTTAAAAAATATTTTTAGTTGACTTTACGTGTAATTAATTGTATGTATAATAATATATTCGTAATTTAAAATAAAAATTAACACTATTTTAATATTAATATATAATTATTTTTATAATTGATACTTTTAAATATGACTGATTAAAATGATAAAAAAAATAGATAATACAAAAATAGAATTTTAATAATAATTGATACTTTTAAATATGACTGATTAAAATGATAAAAAAAAAATAGATAATACAAAAATAGAATAAAATTACTATACAAAAATAGTTACGAGTTAGAGATAACTTGTGCTAGAAAATATTCCCAATTTTTGAAAAAAAAAACTATTAAATAAAATGCTTGTTAATTATTTATTTAATAGATTATACAAAATATTAAATTTTAAATTAAAATATCACATCAAAAATTTATTTATATCATATTAAATACAATTTCAATTCAAAATTTAATTTTTCCAGAACTCAAAGGTGTGTTTATTTGTTAGATTTTTATTTTGAATTTTAATTTTGAATAACAAAATTTTAAATTAAAAATATTCTTTAATATAAAATAAATATAAATTAACGTGATATTTTGAGCGAAAAATTAATTTTAATAGTAATTATAATAAATGAAACATAATTTTTTTATTTGATGATATATTTAAGGAATTTTTTCTTTGGAATAATACATCAATAACCAAAATCTCACTATCTTATGGACGACTATGAAATGTTCTAAAATCCTCAAGGCTTCCATCTACCAACAAAAATTATAACCAGGAATTTGGGATGTGATATTTACACATGGTAATCTGTATGTATGTATGTATAGGTATACCATACTCTGTATCCTAAAGGCTATAGAATCAAGAGCAGAATTTATCTGATTTATTAAAGGCAGGCAAAGTTGCTGATGCAGAACTAACTGTAAAGAAACTGAGGGTTAAAAATCTGGATTGACCATAATAACTTTTCATCGATCTTCCCCCGGAGTTACTATAATGTATAACCACAGAAGACGGCACAAGAAAGCATACCTGCCATGTATCCGGAAACCAACCGAGAAATGACCATAGTAACCTCAAGGGGGTGTAGAGTTTAAACGCCGGGTGATACGCTCTAAACTGAGCTTATGTTGGGAGAGTCCATGCCATGGCTCCTTAGGTGAATGATTCTTAGCAATTGTATGGTGCAAAACATCGAGGTTGACAAGAGGCACAGTAGTTGGGCGTCCATGGGCACACTGGTGCAAACAATGGATTGGTCAAGAATATGAACGATTATCTGTTGAAAAAGAATCACTGGAATAGCCATATTCGTTAGCTCACCTGGAAACAGAGAGAAGTTCGTTTCAGCTCATCAACGATGAGGGAACATTCAGAAGGCAGTAGTGTGTCTCCAAACATAATTGCCCCTGCATTGTTCAATTGACCGGTGAACAATAGATATGTCAACTAGGAATCCAAATGTTTCATATTACTTCGTCCGTCATCCAATTGTGTGTTCATTTGATCGAACACGGGTTTCAGAAATAATAGGTAAGAATAGAAACTTACTTTTTAGGGGAAAGAAAAAGTAGAAAAAAATGTATTTTTTTACTAAGATAGAAAACGAAAATAAATTTAGATGACAACCAAAAAAGAAAGTGAGAATAAATTTGGATAATAGAGAAAATATATCACTACATTTGCCCATGTTTCAGTCCCTCATTCTCTGCAGCTTGAGTCTAGTTAGCACTTACAGAGCTGGAGTGTACGTACCTCTGCATGCTTTGCTGTTAAGTATACGAGTAACAGATGGAGGTACAGTTGATGAACCATCCGTATCCGCAAGCTGTGGGATGGAGAGCATGGCAAAAAATGGGAATAACATTGTTGCAGAAGATAGTTGCTGATCAAGATTAGTAAGGATAAAAAACTACAAAAACATCTCTACCTGTTGAAGAAACTCTAATAGATCCATGTCAGTTAAATTTACACCCAAAACGCAAGGTACCTGAAGTAATTTTAGTGATGCAGCCTTTAGATGAAAAAAGATTAGAAGTTATAAATAGAATAGTAATCTAAAATGTTGAGATATTATATATTATTAATAATATTTATAGAGAATCGTTACAACAAAAAACACTAGAGTGAACAATATAGATACATTTTTGCATCTTGTAAGTTACTCAAAGGAAAGACACAAACTTGAAGCATCATCAGAAAAAAAAAAAAGAGAGTCCTAGAAGGGGTTAGAGCTTTACCGCATGAAGTTTAGCAACCGTAGGTTGTCTGTGTAGACAATCTAAATGCCTGCATGCAAGCATTGCATAATAAAGTGAATATAGAAGTATACTGAGACCTTTAAAATTATAGCAACAAGGCAGTGACCATAAAAGCATTTTGCACATTAGTTCCAATGACAATGATTATTGTGTTACCACTGAAAAATACAGACAAGATATATGTAACAGCAGATGGAAAAAGGTTGAAAATTACTTTGAAAAGGAACTTCTATCCTGGGAATGAATATTGCAGATCCAACCCCAATTTTGAATTTGTTCAGCATAATTGTGAAGTAACTGATAACCAATTTCAGGTAAGACCTGCTGGGATCAAAATAAAATTAATAAATTCTGGGATAACTTGTAACAACTAACAACAGATTGAGAGGTGCAGAAATATGGTGGTTTGAAATGGGACCATAGATACCAATTCTTGCTCGGTGTCTAGATAAGTGATAGTCCTCATTTCACCAGTCAACACCTGATAATTTCCATGGGTGAGTAATAAATGATCATCACATTAATAAGCATTTTACCAGCTCCACAAACTGTCTGATGTACCTTGTGTCGTAGTTCTTCCAGCCTAATCCTTTCATCAGCAGCATGCTACATACAACCCAAAAAAAAAGGGAAAAAACATCAACATAATCCTTCTGTATGTTTGTGGGTTTGGATTTTTTAATAGTAAAAATTTGAATTTGAATAGTTGTTTGATGTGATATAAATAGATGTTGATGTGACATTTTGAATATAAAGAGATTTTTAGTATAACATGAAAAATAAAAAAGATATTGTTTGATTTGATATTTTTGGAGGTAAAAAAGAAACTAGATAATAAAAATCTGTGAAAAATCCTTAATAGAACACAGCCTCACTATTACGATTAAAAAAAACTTGGAAGCAAAGAAGAAATTCTATCTCAAACTTCTATATTGGTGCAGTTGATACATTTGCTTTAATTAATCCATATTGTAGTATGTCTCTCGAATATGTTAGTTTTTTTGGTCTTTTGGAAAACTGAAATTCTCTACCATGCGGTATACTATACATAGAGAGAAATACAAATCTCCTAATCTAAATAAATTGAAACCAACTAGACAACTAGGAAGTTGGAAATAACTAAATATATCAACTAAATAAATGCTGTAAACCAATATAATCTAATGTTACCTCTCAAACTCAACACCGATTCGTAGAAACTAGCTTAAGTTTGTGTAAGAGATTGAGAAATTGAGCAGAAGGTGGACCTTAACGAAGATACTAACAAGTTGGCTAGGGAATTATCAGGTGCGGTCCCGTTCAAAGGATCAGAGTCAGAACAGGAGTGTCAGATACAGTACCCTCTACTAGGTCAGGAGATTATCAGGCATAGGGCCCGACCCTCTACAGAAGGTCTGAACATTAAATTAAGAGATACAGAAGCCCCCGCCAGAACAGACTAAGAGTGTCACTCTTCAATACTATTCAAGATTCATTTCATGACTGATAGAACACATTATTGCCATGATGAAAACCCAAAATTTTGAATGTGGAGCTTTCGAACATTATCTAGCTTATCTTGTGACCCAGAAATTTTAGATTACACAATCCCATTTGATAGCGGTATATCTAAAACAACTATACTTTCAAAGTAGATAACATTTATTTGACTCAAACAAGCAAAACTAAGGGTATAAGACAACCATGGATTAAACCTTCGAAAGTAATCATTGCAATTGGAACATAAAGAACCTAAAGCTATCCAAAAGCAAGTAAAACGAGAAACATGATAAGCTAGACAACCCCACTGTAACAACTCAGATACTAAACTACGGAAAATGACAACCAAACTGTTCCAGAAATATTAATAGTGCCCAAGTTAATATAATAACCAAAGATTCTTTACGATCAAAATCATTCTAGAATCATCTTAACATATTTTCAGGGTTTCCCTCCCTTTTCAAATATCAGCATAAACATATGACTCATTAAAGCCCACACCAACTGTTGGTGCCCTTTTCAATCACCAATTAAAACATAACGGTAGACATATATATATATATATATATATCAAACCAAAATAATTGTATGTGGAGTGATTAATATAAAACTCAACTGTTCAAAAAAGTTTAGAGAAAGCATCCAAGGTTTTTCCAAAAAGCAATTACCTGATCAATTATAGCAAGGTTCTTTCCAGCCACCACTGGGATGAATTTCTTATCAACCTGATTGAGAACTTTGGCATCCTCAAGGGTCATCCGGTCAATGGATTTAGGTACTAAGGACTCGCCAGCAAGGTCCAAGATGTCACATATGTCAAGGATATTATCCTGATTCCAGTAATTTGGCATGTTTTCATCCTGGACACCATCATAAAAGCTCAAGTAATTAAATCCAGAGATCACAGAACAGGAAGCGTGCACAAGAGGAGGAATGGTACCCAACTGCAGTAGATGGACAACAGTTCCTCCATTTGCACCCAGAGTCAAAGGAATTTTCATGTTCCTTCATATCAAGACCTGAAGAAATAAACTTGCATGATAACAAAAGCTTGTAACAGAGGAAAGCTTAAATTCAAATGGTTTTCTTAATGTGATTCAGTAACATTTGTTATACCAAAATCAGATTAGGTTAATTACCAATTAAATTATGAACAAAGATTAATCCAAAACAGATCATAAAAGGAAAAAGCTTTTAAGAAATTCTACTTCTTCACATAAAGGGAAGCTTACACTCCACACTCTTCAATTTGACACGTTGCCCTCCTTTCTGTGACGAGTCACTCTGATTTGTAACAATCTCTCCTGTCAATTCGGAACCTTGTCTGCAAGGGAAAGAATAGATATGTAAAGCCTGATATTTAATATGAATATGACACAGTATTCAAGGAGTTCAACCTTTCAGTAAATGAGCAATTCATGGATGATCTTTTCACCCCCGACAGGAGGGATGAATGAACCGATTTCTGTGATTTCATTTTTGTACTTGCACAATTGGAATTGCTCGGCTCTGCATAATGCACTGGGTTTATGCATCTTTATATATAGTCTATATATTTCTATTAAAAATCAAAAGCTGGAAAATCGTGACAAACCATTGGAGGAAAAATTTGTACAGCTATTCTGGTTAGTGCATTTTGCAGACAGTATGGTAAAAGAATCAGTCAAATCCAAGTATCTTTGCTTTCCTTTGTAACAAGGTGGAGCTGACTGGCTTCTTCCATAGCGATTGTTTCTGTTAAAGATTGTTGTTTGTTTCCTGCTAGTAGTTTTTCCAAATCCATGCTCTAGTGGAGTTTCATATGCTAATTCCATTGAGCAATTTTTGGGACTTTCTTCAACATAGGATGGTAAAGGTGACCAATCCATTTCACAAATTTTTTTGAAAGGCTTCCAACAAGACACATTCTTAGCATCCCTCCAAGGAAATTCAGTAATCTCGCTCTTACTGCCAGAGGAGAAACATGTTACAGTACCTTTTTGCTGAGACCATCTATCTTTAGTATTTAAATTGCTGAATTTCAGATCTTCCTCCTTTCTCAAAGCAGAACACCCCGGAATAAACCCTGCACCAATTTCAGAGTATTTGCTAACTGAAGTTTTGTAAAAAGAATCATCGTTATGCATTTTGATCTCCTTAATTTCCTCTTTACCAAATTCTGAGTAACTGTCAACTGATTTTTCGTAAATAGCCTCATGATCACCATAGTCATCATGAAACTTGATCCCCCTAACATTCTCTGTGCCAAATTCAGAGTAATGGTCAACTGATTTTTTGTAAATAGTCTCATCATCATCATGAAACTTGATCCCCCTAACTCTCTCTGTACCGAACTCAGAGTAATGGTCAACTGAAGTTCTGTAAATACCCTCATCATCACCATCATTACAGTTGATCCCTGTAAGTTTCTCTGTTGCCATAGGAGACCATCCGGATCTGAAAGAATGCAGGATGGAAGTTCCTTTCCAATCTTCTTCTGAAAAATCAGGGAGTTCCAATGCTTCATGCATGTCATAATGGGTCATTGATGAGGATTGAAACAGTGATGATCTGTTGTGTCGTAGATCTCTCCCTCTAGTAGCCAGGCTGATCTCATTTAACATACCATCATCGCATCCCAACCACCTTTTTAGAATTTTATCATCAGTTCCAAATTCTAGTAATTCATCTTGAGCAGGTAACCTCTCACGTGATGGGCTTCTTTCAAAGGAGCAATTTCTAAGAAGACATTTTCTGTTATTATTACCAACAAGAACATTATGGCCAAATTTAACATAACCAGAAAAGGCCCCACGTAAAGTTGACATGTTATTTATGTTATTGTCAAATTCAGGTAAGATATTTCCCAAAGCTGAAGAAGATTGATAGTCCACCTTTGTATCATATGTATGCGGCACATTCTTCAAAAGTAGAAGACGGTCAGCAGGTAGATGGTTCCTTATATTACCTTTCACATAACTACCGTAATCCGCAAGAGATTCATCACTGGTTTGCCTCTGGTATTCAGTTTCAGATGAAAAATCTTCCACGGTATGATGCTTTTCAAGCTTAGGAATTTCTCTAGGAGACCTTTCAAGTGACAAAAAATACTCATCTGGTATGCTATCATATCTTTTGCATAGCTTCTTCTGTTGTGGGGAGGAAAGATTCAGAGAAATTTGACAGTCTTGCTTGCGATTCCTTTTATTACTCCGCGATGTATCAGACATATCTGATAATACACAAAATCTCCTTGGATCAGTGTGCGGCACTTTATAAAGTCAATAAGCTATGCTTAAAACAATAATGTGAAAAGGATAGGCAGTGCAAAGATATACAGAGGTGTGTGTGTGAATGAACTTATCAAGGTCATTACAAAGTCTGATTCAATAACACTTCTTTGACATAAGAAATGTAGCTTCAAGTTATCTTTACAGGGTGTAAGGACTTTACAAGATGACATTTTATTTACGGATATGACTCAAGTTGGCAGCTTCAAATGGGATGAAGCTGAAAACATACTAGTCCGAAAGTGACTACGTAAAACATGTGAAAAGCACTAGTTGCAGTCACATGGTTTCGGGTGTGAAGATCTTAGATGATTTTTTTTTTTCAATATGCAAGGTCAGGAAATATTTCGTGATTTTCATTTTTAGATACCTTTCATATAAGGATTAAGTAGGTTCCCCTACATAAGGAATGCCTTCAGAACTTTGTGCAGCTGTTACTAGAAATTTCCATAAAGATTAAAAGCAAAGTTTTAAGCATATATGTCACGGGAGTTAGAATGCACAATGCTACAGATCCAATAAGGAACAAAAATAAATACCATGTACATGAACTGTGACCAAGATAAAAAAATGACAAAGTAGAATCACAGAATTTATGGTGTTCAATAAGTAAGGCTCAACATAATGCTACCACATTTGGGACAGAACTCTTTCACCAGAATATTAAATTGACATAAACCTAGTTTCTAGATGAAAAAAGCAGAAGGTTCGGATATTGATAAGTCATGGAGACCTATGAGTTAAGGGTTGCATTATTACTTCATAATATAGGGGGATGAGTGTCCTTGTGGTTTCTGTAAATATACAAATGTAACAATGAAGACAATGAGACAAATCACTTGATTTATCCTGAGCAAGTGCTAATAAACAGCAAAAATATTATGGATATCTTAAATAAGCTCATCTTATAAGTTATTATCACCATGAGAAATATTCTGGGCCCAAACACGCGTGATGCCTTCCTCAATAAAAGTAAGCACAGGACCCCAATCCTAGCATATGAAAACAAACAAAATATTAAACACAGGATCATCCCATGCACATATATAACTTTCAAGAACTAAAAACTCAAGTCATTCATGGCCAAAAGAATAACTTGCTGAAAATAAGCAGCACAGATTATATGCTAATCATACCTGAATGAAATAGAGTACCGCAAACAAGCAATAAATACAAAATGTGGGAGTGATATATATATATATATATACACTCTCTTTCCTATGGAGCTATCTTGTACTTGAACCACATATTCCATCTATTTCTAATCGAAAAAAAAAAAAGGTAAAAAGATGATGCACAAGTTGGACTAAATTATAAGGAACACAAGAATTTGAACAAAAAGGTGGATAGTTGTTGGATGTGGTTTTTTGGCGGGAAAATTGTAGATTGAATAGTAAAAAAACAACACAAGTGAACAGCTTTATGAAGATATAGAATTTGGTCTCAACAACTAAATGGTATTTATGACCAATCACAAATCCCAAGCTGAAATATAAGACCATGATGACATTTCCCCAGTTCTGGAAGGGCTACAGTCCTGGCAATTTTCATTTGAGTGGATTTCTCCTTTCTTTTCTTTAGAAACTATAACAAAGTTTTGCTTATTTGTGTTAAACCGAGAGCCTCATAGAAATCTTTTCATGGTGCTCCACATACTATACTAGTCCAAAACAAAAACCAAACTCTTAATCCTACAAGAATCATAACCCAACAGAATCCTCCAGAATCGTTTTAGTGGAAAACAAACATTGATGGATCAGTGCTTTGTAAACTAGGATCAGCGAGCATTGGAGCAGTGATTAGAGGTCACACAGGACATTTCCTATTCATCATCTCCAAATATATTAATATGCAAAAAAATCCTGATCAAGCTTGCTTTGGACTCAGTTCTCCAAATCCAAAAGGCTCCCTCCCCAAAATTGTTGTTGAATGCAACTTAACTAAACTTCCCTGGAAGCTGATTTTCAATCTGTCTCTAGATTGTAAAGGTCCCTCTCATTATTTTCCAACATATCCTTCGTTGGACAGATAATGTTGCAGATTATTTTACTAAGCATGGTGCAAAGGAAACATAGATATATCTGCTTGGTTGTAATCCCATATGAGTTTAAAAAACTTCTTATATTTCATATTTCTTCTTTTGATAAAGATATTTTCTACTCTCTCACAAACAATTTTTTTGGAAGAAGAAGAAGAAATGCTACCTTAAATTCCACCAATCTTCTCGATTGTCCAGAATCGATCATATCATAGCAAGATCTTTGACAGCATAGATTTAGCACAAAGGTTGGGCAAATGTCATATTTATTTTGCTTGTCGTTCTGAGAACTGGATGCAGAAAGCCTGGAAAGTGAACAGTCAAACTTCACAGCTAATTGATTTATGCATTTATGTATGGGGCCCTTGCAAACAAATCTCGAGTTGATGTCTGCAGTTATGATTAAGGATAACAAAGATAAGATTTCTTTCACCACTGTTCCAAACAAGTGTGAGGAACATCACATTGGCATGGATACAGACATACTGAATTACCTGCAAGCAAGCAACCGCCCACAAAAAGTTAGAAGCTATTTTAAATATTAAGGGAAAAAACAAAAAAACAAAACAATCTGCCGTACCTTCAAATGGAATTTCTCACAAGGACCAGAAATAAACCCAGAAAGCTTCATGTTACTATCAGATAAATCCACGTTGTAGAAACTAACTGAATCTCCAATTCCCATAGTACTAGAAAGTAATTGTAGAGGAGAAGATAAAGGTCCAGTATGTAGCAGCTCATATGCACTGATATTCAAGAGAACAAAAGTAAACAACATTAAGAATTTTCATTTTAAATATGGGATGGAAAAAAAAAAAAAAAAAACTGTAATTAGTAAGTATAGGAGAAGAAGTAGAAGATCCAGTATGATGCTACATCACAATGAGCAAGATGATGCTAACTAAATAATATAAAAATCCAATACTGGAACATTGAAACAACTAAAGCAAGGGACCATACCTCTCCATATCCACAACCTTGAAGCAAATATTAACATGAACAAGGGCAATTCTCAACACAGTCATCTTGATTGAATCCAACAGTTTACTGGGGCTGAAATACCCAATGCATGCAAAATACAATTATGAGCTAACAGTAAATTTCAAAGAAGCCACATCCTTTAGTTGACCAAAAAATGAACTTGTTTAGCCAAATGAACCTGGATTCCATGTGCTTCCTTCTAACTGGTTGATTGTAAAATATGTCACGAACAATAACTGTAAACAGAGAAGGCCAAAAATTGAATTATATCAACTGAAAATAGCGCTATAGAGATAACACATAGCACATGATAACTACAACCAAGCTCACACACACACACACACACACACATATATATATACATATAATTAGCTCTGGTTAGTGGTTAGTAAAATAAATGAGTTAGCAACTATTTAGGCAACAAATATAGGTATGCTCTACCCGACGAAGGAATTTTTTCGCTAATAAAATGACTGAATGTGTGCAACAATATGTTGGAATTCACATGTTTCCAATAATTTTTGTATATGCCAAGCATAAATATAATGTGAGTATGAGTATAGGTATGCTCTACCCGACGAAGGAATTTTTTAGCTAATAAAATGACTGAATGTGTGCAACAATATGCTGGAATTCACATGTTTCCAATAATTTTTGTATATGCCAAGCATAAATATAATGTGAGTATGAGTATTTTGATGAATTTCAGGAAAAGAATACCATTCTCACGAGTTAATGGTTAACTAGCAAACACATGATGTCTGCCACATCATTGTCTCCCCTTGAGGTGCACCGACACTTAGGCCATCCTTCCCTGGGGAATCGAAAGAAACTGTGCCCACAGTTCCCTGGTTTGAAGTCCTTGTAAATCACGCCAATTTGCTAAACAGTCTTGTTCTCATATAAATCCTCAGAATTTTACATATTTTGGATTTAGTTTATTCCATTGTTCGGAGACTGTAACAAACTAACATGTTTTGTCTATAAGTTTCAAGTATTCTTTTGCATTCATTGATAATTATTCTCAGTTACTTGGCAGGAAAAATCATTCTTGAGGTGTTCAAGCATTTTTCTCATTCTTGTGTCGAAATAAAAACACAGTTGACTGTTTCTATCCATACTCCATGTTGTATTAATGCAAGAGAGTAGCTGTCTTCCTAGTTTCAATCCTACATACTTAAATATGGAATTCTACACCAATCTTCTTGTGCAGATACTCCACCAAAATTGTGTTGTTGAACTTAAGAACCACCAACTCTTGGAAGTTTCTCGAGCACTTCTTCTGATAAGTGTTATGAAACCATCTTGGGCTGACGCTGTGCTCTTGCTTTTTTTTTTTTTTTTGGATGTCTTTTGCCTCTCATTGTTCTTGATGAAGCTATTCTCAATTCTCATTTGTTTCCTCTTAAAACAAAATTTTCCCATTAAGTTATGTTTCTTCAATGGTAATTATTTTGTTCACAATACTCAACCTTCATTACCAAGTTAGAGCCCGAGATTCTCAATGCATTCTTCCTTGGTATTAAAAAAGGGTATAAGTGTCTTTCTTCTCTGAATATTGTATTGTCTCTCCCAATGTGTTTTTTTTTTTTTTTCCATCTTTCTTATTATCATGTGACTTCCTCTCAGAGCCGATTAGAGGACCCAAATCATTTCTTCTATCTTGTATTCAAGTCATCCCAACTCCCCCTACTTCTTCACCATCAATACACCTCGACCTCACCAATTAAAGTTTACACTTGATGCCATTGCCTAACTATGGCTCATATAGATTCTAGTCCTTTGGCAGATGATCCTATCAAGGTTGTCATGGCGAGATTCTTTTGTTAATATCTCTTGCTGCCCTTATGATTGACCTCTTCATCAATTGGACACTAAATATGCCTTTCTCTATAGTTTTCTTCATATATAGGTTTATATAGAGCAACCATGTGGCTTTGTTGCTCATGGGGAATATGGAAGGGTTCACCATCTTCTTAAATCCTTATATAGGGTAAAACAAAGCCTTCGTGCTTGGTTTCACAAAATCAATATAGAAGATATGCTTAGTTGGTGATTTATTTATTTATTGTTCTGGGTTCTTGTTTGAATAATAGTTTGGATATGATGTTTTATAAAAGAGAGTATGTAGTATATTTTTATAGAAAATCGTAAGAGTTGAATAGTGAAAAAAAGTTAAAATAATGACCAAGTGAACACACACTTAGTCTAGAAATATAGGATGTATATGTGCAAGTCCAATCACTCAATGCACACTCAAGTGTAATTATCGTATTGATTTCATATGTTGATGACATTGTGATTATTGAGAATGACAAATTTGGCATTATTGCGTTGGAATTACTTCTCCAAATATTTTACAACAAAAGACTTTAAGGTTTTGTTTGTCTGGACTAATCTCACACTATTCATCACTTTTGCCCACTCGAGACCATAAAATCGAACAACTATTTTTCATTTAAAATATCACATTAAAATCAATCTTCTATTCAAAATATCATATCCAATATCTATTTACAATACATCAAAGTCATGGCTCATATCTCAATTGAATGCTTATTATTCCCAAACCCTCTCAACCAAACACACCTTTAGGTCTTGTTGTCTGAGAATAGGTTTTATTGTTTTTCCCAAAAAAAACCATCAAATCAAGCACCTATTTCATTAAAATATTACCTAAAAATCAATTTTCATTCAAGCATCATATTAAATACATATTTATACCATATCAAACATTATTTCAATTAAATTCTATTATTGCCAAACCTCAAATCCAAACACAACCACCAGACAAATAGACCCTTAAGACCTTTGAGATGTTTTATATAAGTTGAAATAACAAGGAACAAGAAAAGAATATTTCTATCTCGAATGAAGTATGTTCATCTCCTTAAAAGGGCTAGAAAATCAAAAGTTAAGCCTCGCTCACTCTGATGACTCCCAACACACATCCAGAGAGACCCTAAGAGCTATCAAAGACTTATAAAAAATTTGCACTATTTGACATTAACTTATTCCGACATTACATTGCAATTAGCGTTGTAACCTGGCTCCAACACTCAATCATTGGATCCTATTAGACCTACTTATATGTGTTCCAAGTGTTGTTTAGAATCACCTAAATGGCTACCCAAAATTTTAAGCAAGCTGCAGCTATCTTGTACTTAGAAACATTAGAGATTTTAAGGGAAAGGAATACTAAAGAAAGGTGCAAACTGAAAATATGTTAGGCCAACTCAAACAGTGTCTCTTCTTCTTTTTCTTATTTTAATCTTATATATTGCCTAACAGATACTCCAATATTTAGCCTGCTAAAAAGAGATTCGGGCTTCCAACCTAAAACCAATTGGTGATAGGTGGAGTGATCATTCACCCTTATATAGCAGGGGAGTTCCCACATGTTTACCAATATGGGACAATATTCAACACTATCCCTCGAGATAATAATCTCGAAAATTCATATAGGATCAATACCCAATACGGGTACCATGGCTCTGATACCATGTTAAGAAAGGATCCGGACTTTCAACCTAAAACCAATTGGTGATAGGCGGAGTGACCCTTCACCCTTATATAGTAGGGGAGTTCCCACATGTTTACTAATGTGGAACAATATTCAACATAGCCTAATAGCATCACCTGATAGAGATGATCTGCCAGAAGATCTAAATTGTACATAGAAAAGAGAACAATGCCAGTAGAAAAGAAAGAAAAATTTGTGAGTTAGATATTTGTATTAACCAAAGGGGCTGGCAAGTTATCAATAGAGATAATTCATATGAAGATTACCTGTTGTCCCCACCTCTTGTCTATCATCACTGATTCCAAGGAACATGCACTGTCTGTTCTGTTAAAGAACAAATGTAAGTTAACCAAAGACAGTTAAGACTAAAAGCCACACATCTGGTAGACACACTTCATTGATGATCCTTTTACCTTCATTATCTTTTTGTATCCATTTGGTTTTCCACGTGCTTTAGTCACAATCTCCAACAAAGAAACATTTGAAATTGAACACAGAGCTTCTCCATGAGAATCAAGGTTTTCAAAGCCAGTATCCATCAGAGTCATTTGGTCAACTTTTGATGTTGCTATTTGCAGAATAAGTAGCAAAAAGAGTTAAATAGAGAGGTCAGTGTGCAAACTAAGATCTTCTGAATGCTCACTGGCTTGGAGCTGACATGATTAGTACATCATCTGCAGGAGAAGGTTCCATACATAGTCAAGAGTTACCTTGTCGTTCACCCAACAACACCAATCCATCCCTTGAAATACCAGATCCTACAAAAGCATGGATCCATGAATAAGAAAGAATGACTAGTCAAATTTCTATCACATCACTTTCTGGGAAAGTAGTGAGATGCAATGATCTTGTTTTGGCAAATTGTCCAAACTCTAAAATGAATAAAGCAATCTTTCTCACATCTTTCACATAATTGATACACAGTACTAAGGATTTATTTCACTTGCCAACTGATATCTAGCCTTAAAAGGAATCATAGTTAGAGAGGTCTATGGAGCTTACCATTATCCACCACTTTAACGTAGCAGCTCCTAACTCCAACTGCAGCATAAATCTAAGGTGAAATTTTAGTTAGCTATGATGGTAGAGCATTTCCAATAATTCAATAGTAATACGTATAAAGAGCATAAACCAGATGTAAATGAAAATTACAGATCCCATCCCGAGATGAATTATCCCCACAACACTATATTAATGGTTTGTTCACGTGTCCAATATCCATTTCAAACACATTCAGGCACTCTGTGCGCACACATGCATGCAGAGCATCCAACAGCACGATGACATCTACTGATGTCATAAAAAACAATGTCATGAAAGTATGAAACAAGTCTTTGATACAGAAATGCACAAGCAAACCAGGGTCATACAAACAACTAAAGTTTCCCCAGCACAGATATAACCCTAATTTAACATATTTTTCCGCACTGCAATAAAAGGGTTGCCTTTTGGTGCACTTTCTCGAAAAGAGAAGCAAATACCTCCCTCTAAACACACCATCGACTAGCATACACAATAAATCATGAGCACAATTCAAAAAAAGCATTTTTATTACATGCCTTCGTAGCACCTGCTTCCAGGCTGTTGAAAATCAGCTCCTCGACAATCTTCGTCAAATCAGCTATCACAACCCCCGAACGCACAGAGCTACGGACAGATTCAGGCAACCGTTCGACGTTCCTCATCTAAAAACACCAATCCAAACTTAGTCGCGACACCATGTAGAAAGACTATAGAAGTATTTGCAATCGTACACAATAAAAACAAAAAAAAAAATCAAAGTAACAGAACTCTCAGTGCACTTAGAATGTGATCCTCACGAGTCACTACTACCACTGCAATTAAGATTTTGTCCGGTCAATGAAACACAAATCCATCTTCATGTTCTTGCGAACACGTTATCTCACCCGGTAGCATCAACTATTAGAAAACGGAGAGTAATGGTCTTACCGTGAAACGCCGGAGCATGAAAACCGAGTTTCGAGTTTGGAAGTAGGGGTGGAACTGTAAATTGGAGTTCAGTGAAAGTGTTTTTCGAAACTAATGGGTGTGTTTATTTTATTAATTTGGAAAGAAATATGTATTGAATTTGATAATAAAATAATATTCGACAGAAGTTTGTAAAAAATTGGGAATTTTGAGTTAAAAAAACACACCTTATATTTTTCATATGAATTAGAGATAATAATGACATTAATATAATAAAAATAAATATATAATATATTAATTTTTATTTAAAAAATATACTCCAGTCTATAAAAAATATCTTTTTTTTTTCGCTTAAAAAAATATTATTTTCTAATTTAATAATTGTACTACCTAACATAATTAATACCTTTATAATTTTTAATATATTACATAAATATCATATTTTTTTATCACATAATTTAATAGGATATTTTTGTCGTTTTTACAATAAATTAATATAATATTAATATCAAAAATTTACGTGCAAAAAATAAATATTACTCTTTTTGCGAGATGGATATAGTATATATGTTTTTTAAAACACGAGGGTTCAACATATCTTATGGTTGTATTCTTTTGTGATTTACCATATATTTTTACCATTATTTTTTTTAAATATCAAATTAAATCATTATTTTTTATATTATAATACAAATTTATTTTACATTATCAATATCTATTTATATAACATCAAACAAATTATTTAAATTTATTTTTTTACTATTTTAAAAAATTTTAAAATTCAAATCACAACTCAAAATTATGTTCCAAAACTATAGGGATATTTGGGATGAATGCGAAAATTAATAAATAATAGTATTATATTGAGAACGTGTGTAAATACAGTGGCTACAGTACCGTTCCAACCATAAACTTCAATTTTTACTCCAAATTATATTATATATATATATATTTTTTATATTATTTTATATAACTTTTTATATTTATAAATTACACCAAACTTTAATTATTTTTACATTATAATCCATACACATATAATTTATATTTTATTTAAAAATTACATATATTAAAATTAACATTTATAATTAATAACTATTATAAATAAAATAATTAAATGTTATTAAGACAATTAACTATTTAAAATAAAAAATTATACATACATTTTTATAAAATAAAAGTGTATGTAACTTTAAAAAAATAAAATTATATCACTTCCGAAATGTAAAATCATATATTAATTTTAAAAATAAAATTATACATTATTTTTTAAAAAAATAAAATTTTATAATCACTTTTCAAAAAATAAAATTATACATTATTTAAAAAAAAAAATAAAATTATACATAACTTTTTAATATATAAAAGTATATCATTTCTAAAAAATAAAATTATACAATATATCCCAAAAAATAACAAAAATACAAAAAAAAACTACAAAATAACATAAAATTTCCACTCCAAAAATACATTACTTCAGACAGCAATCAGAAAAAAGAAACTATTATTTTAAAAAATATATACTTATATTATAAAATAACTTCAAATTGTGAGAACTCTCTCGTGTAAACTGAGCCTTGAAAATAGTACAAAAATGTTTGAGGGAACCCATTTTGCGTTAGTTGGGACAGACTAAAATTTGCTTGTTAGAGTTGGGACAAAACAACGTTTTCCTCTGAAAATAAATACAGATATATACATCAGCGGTCACACTTTCCCCTTCTTCCTTTGTGTCCAGTCCAGCTGAAGGAGATGGGTTCAATGGGTGCCAATGGCAATGGCGGCCTATGGGGCATTGGTCCATTTCACGACAACTTTCATCGAAGGCGGAATACTAGGAGGAACAAGGACTCCAAGCCCTCTAGCTCTAGAGGCGGCGCCGGAGATTCTGCCTCCGCCCCATCCTTTGGGTTCCCGCTCAAGCAAGCCGCCACGGCTGCGTCCCTTGCCCTAACCGGCGACTCCATCGCGCAGATACGGCAGAGATGGATCCGGAAAAGGGACGAGTTGTCAAATTCCGAAGATTTCAAGGTGCGAATGCGTGCGTCTCATGTTTGAGGTTTCAATCTGGACTTGTAATTGCTTTCATCTTGAAACTGCTCAGGGATTTGGAATGTTGTTTCTCGAAGTTTGATGATTTCTATGAAATTTCTGATTATTTGCAGTTATAACAAAAACAAACAAAAAAACTTATATATGCTTATCGATTGTTCACTGTATCAAAATCGCGTGGAATAACCTGAGGTCATTGTGTTTAGCGTTCATCTCATTTCTGGCTTGACGAGTAAATATTTGTTAGGGTTCATCAACAGGATTTCTATTCTGAGATGACAGAATAGGGAATTATCATTCTTTTTCTTAATCTTTGTGATGTGATCATGAAATTGATTCCTTTGATGCCCTGTAAGCAATCTCTTGTATTAATGTAATGAGCACTAGCATATATATTCGCTCAATTAGGTCTATATTGTTAATGTTGATTCAGTATCACAAAGATTATTCCATTTGATAAAGTACATGAATCTTTAATCATATGCTATCAAAACCAGCAACGATCATTTGTTTGGTTTAACTGGTTGCTATGTATTTGTTTATAACTACATGATTACTAAATAATTTTCACTGGTTGGTAGAGTGCAGAAACATAAGACGTTGGTGAGTATAGCTGCTGTAACTGTGTATTTGTAATCGATTGTAAATTTAAATTTTCTTTTGTTCTGTTTGCTCAAAATTTGCTAAGATGGAATTCTTCCTCCCGGCATTGTGATGTTTTTGGTCGGTTAAAGTTATACAGAGTTTTTTTTGCTTCTGTTCGACAGTTTTCTGTGATACATTAATTACAAAAAAGAAAAATCTAAATCCTTGCCTTAGGTATGTATTCTGTGTTAGGTAGACTGTTTCGTTGTAGTTGAATTAGCAGATTACCATCAATTCCACTGTTAATTCTATTATATCCTGCAATGTTATTCTTCTTGGTTGCTGTATGGATTCCCTGCATTCAAAAAATAAGTAGCTCCACAGCCTTTACTTTGTCCATTCCAAACTAAGTTCCGGTGGAACTCTGAGGTGTATGATCCAAAATGAAAAATAAGATATTGGCTATATTTTATGCTATTGGCGATATTCTCCTCACGTTTGATCACCGTCACAATTAAACACTGTCATTGGAGCGAGTAACTGTCACAGACGAATTTCTTGAAATACATGTACTGACCTGTAACATACAATGCATATCACCACATGCATATTTGTTATTTATTTGTCTTCAGATAGATGTGCAGATGCAAGCTCATACATAATTTGCACCCCATTGTGTGTGTGTACATGTAAGTATGTGCTTGCGAAGATCTAGAATTAATATTATCTCCTGTGTGTTAAGAACCTAAGGTATTATTGCTAAAACTAGGGACAGGTTATTCGTTGAACTAACTCAAACCGAAGATTTTCTTTTGTTTTAGTAGTAGAGAAGTTTATTGATTCGGGTTTGTTGGATAAAATTAATACAGATTATTGAGAATTGTTTTCCAGTCCTTTATTTTGATGTTGGGGTATTTAAGTTGTCTGTTCTTTTATTTGCTTTCCTAATCACTTCAACTTGACTTGTCTTGGAATTTCTTCATATAGGACATCACAAGCACGCTTTTATCTGAACATGACTGGATCCGAGCCCTTAGGATGACATCATATGGATTCCTGCTCTACGGTCCTGGTTCATATGCATGGTATCAGTTTCTCGATCGTTGCATGCCAAAGCAAAATTTTCAAAACCTCATGATGAAGGTACATTGAAGGATTATCAAAACTAATCCTTGTGTTACTTAAGGATTGATTTTCAACTTCCTTATGATGCAGGTTCTACTAAATCAGATCATACTCGGCCCCTCAGTAATTGCTGTTGTTTTTGCATGGAATAATCTATGGCTTGGGACGCTTTCCGAGCTTCCCAATAAATACAAGAAAGATGCCCTCCCCACCCTCTTTACCGGTAACAATCCTTATTCCTTAATGTTGTCTGATCATTGTAACCAACATTTTCTTCTAAATTGGTGTCGTCTATAATACAGGATTCCGGTTCTGGATTCCAGTCAGCATATTGAATTTCTGGTAGGTTGCTCTTCTTTGATCTTCTCTTCTCCCCTACCAAAGTCGACAAATGTTAGTTGCAAAAATTTCAGAAATGCAATGGTGTTGAATGCAAGATGTATAATGTAATGTTGTGTTGGAACTGGCAGGGTGGTCCCCCTTCAAGCCCGTGTTGGTTTCATGTCGATGGGATCTATATTCTGGAACTTTTTCTTGTCCTCAACCATGAGCAGGTGACTTACAGTCTGCCATTGCTCTGTATTAGGCCTTCATCAATCAATCTTGAATACAATCTAGTATTATTCTTTTGTTTTGTTATGCTTTCCTCCTATTCGAACTGAACAGTTAAATGTAATCGTGACATGGCTACTACAATTTCTTTAGTTTGTCTATGTTTCTTGTGGTGCATTGTCTTGTCTTGTCCCCATCCATCAGTCACTTGTGTACTTGTACAATTTTGATTTAGATTTTACTATTCAAAAAAATTTTCCCAAAAAAAAAACATCAGATCTACTTTTATTTTTCATTTATTATATACTCCCCCGTCCAAGAAGAAATGTCTAGTTGAGAGTTGGCACGAAAATTAAAGAATAATATAATAGCTGGATTTTAAAAAATAGATTAGAGTAATAATTAGGTGTAGTTTGAAAAGTAGGAATAATTTTGTTATAAAATGGGGACCACGGTTAAACAAGATAATTATTTTCGGACGGACGAAAATGAAAAAACAAGACCACTGTTTTGGGACGGAGGAAATATTAGAGTAAAATTTAATTTTATATTGAATCAATGCATATTTATATCACAAAGAAACTATTTCAATTTCAAATTTTACTATTCAAAATCAAAATCAAAATCCCACATGTACAATAATTAAATATTTATAAATAGTATATACATATGTATATTTTTAATTACAAAGTAATTATTTTATTAAATATTCTATTTTTTTCATAAATATTTTTATTTTACCAATCATATTATTATTTTTACATTAAAAAAATAAAAATAAAATTATTTTCACATTATTTTTAATTATTTATTACAATTAAAATATTATTATTTTTTAAATTATGTTAAAAATAAATATTTATTTATAAATTGGGCGGAGAAATAATATCAATGAGACAAATTATATATATTAGTTTATTAATAAATTAAAACTTATAGTACAAAATTTTAACTAGATAATTAATTATTTTTTAAATTATGACTTAACATATTGATTTATTTATAATCATAAATCTTAAGCCTAGAGCAATTATGTTTAAAATTATAACTTTAAACTCTAAAACTAATATACATATAATTATAAGTTAATATCTTAAGTTTATATTTTAGTAAAATTTTTATTTTATTAATTTAGTTTGTTAAAATCAAAATTTTTATTTATTTTTAATTAAAAATAACTTTCAATTGAATAATAGAATATTTTTATTTTTTATTCTTCACACTATTTTTACTTTAATGTCAAAGTTAAAATAGATTTTATACTACTTTATTATAATATATAATATTAATTTATCTTAATATGCATGCAAAAGTAGCGGAAGAATTATATTTTACTTGTTAAATTTAGATTTAAATATATACTCTTACAATTAGTATAAAATTTACAATGAGTACAAATTGTCTAAAAAAAATTTAAAATAATAGATTTACAATTAATTATAAATTATTCTTAAATATTAATTTTAATAAAAATCAAGTTATATAGATTAAATAAAAATTAAATACAATTCAAACTAATTAAATCTATAAATGAAATTAATCAAAATAATCCAATATTAATTCCAATTAAAAAATTGAGCAAACAAATTAATTTAATAATAATATATTTACAAAACTTTAAATTAATTAAACTAATAACATAATTAATTTAGATTATTACCCAAATTACCCCAATTCTTGCCCAACACCATCCTCTCTAAATTGACACAATTCCTTTTTCTTCCCAAGTTCTAACTTCTTCTAATTTGAAATTGAAGGAGAACAAAACAAACGGTAGAATGAAGCCTGTGTTTACCTGAAAAATTTGAATTTTTTTAAATTTTTTAATTAATTTATTTTTAAAAAATATTAAACTAAAAAATCTATTTTTTATTTATTATATTACACTAAATTAAATTTTATATTCAAAATATTATATAAATACATATTTATATTATATCAAATAATTATTTAAATTCAAAATTTTATATTTCAAAACCAAAATTTCACAAATAAACACAGTTTTTCTTTGAACCGGAATGGGATCCGGTTCGGTTCCGTGTGGACTCGGCCGATCCGGCGAACCACCCCTGCCCCTCCCCAGTTCCTCTTCCTGTATTTTCTGCCCATTTCACCTCTGCCTTTCTCTGCATATACATACATATATATATATAGGCGTGTCGGAGCATTTGAATAAGGAAATTCGAGGGCGGGGACCTGGCAGGAGACATGAAAACATTCCTCGTAAAAGCGAAGGCTCGCAGAGCCAATTTGAGGTATGATCGTTTGTTTTTGCCGTTCCTTGTTCTGTAATTTTCAACGATTTTGTGCGTCGCCGTTTTGAATGAGGCGGAGATTTTTCAATGTGGCTAGGGTTATTGTATAAGTAATTTGGTGTTCGTCTTGCAATAGGTTTGTTAGAGTTTCGTTCATTCCTTGTTTCGAGTTTGTTTCATGCAATGGCGATTATGTTGTTTTGTTGTCTTTCGTTTCCAATTTCCAAATGCAGTTTCGTAAGGTTTTTCCATGTCAATTACAAGGCTGTGTTGAGTTGATTCCAACATTGAATTCCGATGCCTGAATTCATCATGGATGGATCCAAATCCAAATCCAAATCCAATGGTGAGATTTTTGCCAAGGATCATGAACAACAGCATTACATCTTCTCTGAGAGGTCTCCTAGAAGTCCATTGAGCACACACAGTGTACCTCCTTTGAGCACCGAGGCCAACTCCCTCGATCTAGCCATTGATGGAGCAGTCGACACCTCTATCGACCAGCTGTACCACAACATATGTGAGATGCAGAGCTCCCATGAGTGTCAATCCGGGCGCAGCTTTCTGTCCTATGGCGAAGAGCCACGTATCGATTCTGAACTAAGGTTCCTTGTTGGAGGAGATTACGATAATGTAATGGAGGTCGAGGAAGTTGTCTCCAAGCTTGGCAATGGAGGAGATAACAACAAGCTTGAATATGCCAGTGATGTTGTTAATCCTTCAAGCAATAAGTCCATGTCCTCGGCACAGGCCAAAAAGTTCTCTTCAGGCTTGGAGGCCATCCGAAAGGCGAGTTTGAAAAGCAAGACATTCGGCGGGAGGCCACCAAATGGAAAGCAAAGTGTCGAGGGTGCAAAAAAGTTGAGTACTGTTTCCTCAATGAAAATTGAGAAAACTCGTCCACTTGCAGGTGCTAAGGTGCAGAATGGAGGAGATGACAATCACGGCGAAACAGAGTATCTTGGGCCGTATCTGCTTAAGCCGGCGAGGGACATAATAATGTCCGGGGATAACTATCACAAGGCTCTCGAACTTGCTCTCCGGGCGATGAAATCTTTTGAGGTTTCCTCGAGTGAAAAGTCTAATTTAGATTATGTTATGTGTCTGCACATTGTGGCAGCACTGTACAGCCGTTTAGGGCAACATGCCGAAGCCATCCCCATTTTAGAAAGATCGATTGATATTCCAGTGATGGATTTGGGGCAGAACCATGCTCTCGCAAAGTTTGCAGGGTGCATGCAGTTGGGGGATACGTATGCGATGCTCGGGCAGATCGAGAATTCGTTGCTTTTCTACGCTGCAGGTTTGGAGATCCAACGACAAGTGTTGGGAGAAAACGACCCTCGAATTGGCGAGACTTGCAGGTATTTGGCTGAAACTCATGTTCAAGCAATAAAGTTTGATGAGGCAGAGAAGCTCTGTTTGATGGCTCTTGAAATCCATAAAAAGAATGGCATGTCAGCTTCACCCGAGGAAGCTGCAGACCGGAGACTTCTTGGGCTGATCTGTGATTTGAAAGGGGAATACGAGAGGGCTCTCGAGCATTATGTTCTCGCCAGCATGGCAATGGCTGCCAACGGGCAGAATGAAGATGTTGCAGCAATAGACTGCAACATTGGCGACGCGTGCTTATCCTTGGCACGCTACGATGAGGCAATTTTCGCATATCAGAAAGCTCTAAACATGTTTAAGTCATGCAAAGGAGAGAATCATCCCTCGGTTGCTTCGATTTACGTTCGCTTGGCAGATTTGTACAACAAGATAGGGAAGTTCAGCGAGTCGAAATCCTACTGCGAAAATGCTCTTCGAATTTACAACAAGCCGAGCCCCGGAAGCCTTCCGGAGGAGATTGGCAGTGGATTGGTTGATATTTCAGCTATATACGAGTCGATGAACGAGCCGGAGCGCGCATTGCAGATGCTTGAAAAGGCAGTAAAAGTGTATGGCAATGCACCAGGACAAGTTAGCATAATTGCAGGGATTGAGGCTCAAATGGGAGTCTTGCACTACATTTTGGGAAGCTATTCGGAGTCTTATAATTCTCTGAAGAACGCTCTGACTAGGTTTAGATCCACAGGAGAAAAGAAATCAGCTCTTTTCGGGATCGCCCTTAATCAGATGGGGCTTGCTTGTGTGCAGCTCTTGATGATAAACGAGGCTGCTGATCTGTTCGAAGAAGCAAGAACTATTCTTGAAGCTGAATGTGGACCGTACCATGAGGATACATTAGGGGTTTACAGCAATCTTGCAGGAACATATGATGCAATGGGCAGGTCAGTGTTTTGGTATTCTAAATTGTTGTTATAAGTTTGATTGAATTTTTTATGATCATCATGGTTTGTGAGTGAATATGCATCGTTAATTAGGTATTATATAGATGGTTATGATTATGGTGTGGGGGGTGTAGGACTGGTGATGCAGTAGAGATATTGGAATATGTTGTGGAGATGAGGGAGGAGAAGTTGGGAACTGCAAATCCAGAGGTGGAAGATGAGAAGAGAAGGCTGAGTGTTCTTTTGAAGGAGACAGGAATGGTGAGGACAAGAAAATTAAGGTCATTGGAGAAGCTGCTTGTCAATAATAATAATAATAATTCACACAACTTTAGGCCTTATGTTGATGGTGAGGTTGGGGAGTAGGGTTCTTGAATATACATACTATTATATATATATATGTATATATACTTACTACTAGTGATGGGATGGGGATGAGATTGGAACATCTGGTCTGAGGTTTGATTTCTTCTACTTATTTTTTCTTGTTCTCATTCTTTTTATGATTTTCTTTTGACTAGTCTAGTCTGTTGGATTAGTTGTGGTTGTGTTTTTGGTGGGGATTGTGTATTTGCAAGATTGAGTGTATGTATGTATGTATATGTATACTATGTAAAGTGAGGTATTTGAATGAGCTTTGGGTGGGTGTCAAATGTAAATTGTTATGTACCCTTCCCAGCAGTTTCATCAAGTTTCCTCTGTCAACTACTATTTTTTTTCTTTTTTTTCTTTTTCCGCGTGTGTACAATGCAATGTAATGTAATATGGTGTTTACAATGCTGAACTTAAAATTTAGCATTGTTCTGAAAAACACATTGTGTTGTATATATGACAATATACAAATAATGCACATTGTATATGTTAATATAATAAAAACAAATATAATACAAATACAATAAATAAAACTAACAGTACATTATATAATTTTATACAATACACATAAACTTTTGTACTCCCTCCTTCCCACCTTCCCAGATACCATATCCATGTTGTCGTTTCTGTCCGTCCCACACATACCATGTCATTTCCTTTTTCTGGAAAATGATTACACACTTTAATTTCATTTTAAAATTTTTAATTTTTTTTTTAATTTTAATTAAACTAATTAATTATCTTAATCTTAATTTATAATTATACTTTAATTTCATTTTAAAATTTTTAATTTTTTTTTAATTTTAATTAAACTAATTAATTATCTTAATCTTAATTTATAATTATTTATATTATAGAATAATTATTTTCACTAATACATTTTTAATTATCTACTAATTACATCCCTCCTAAAATACGGTCAGACACAGTATTTGGGACGGATCTGGGACAGAGGGAGTATATATTATGGATGTTCCATTCGTTTTTTATTAGAGCTGTAAAACAAATAAACAGTTCGCGAACTCGATTCGATTCGACTTGTTTGAGTTCGTTAAGCTAGGCAAACTGAATATGGCTCATTATGTTTAAGAATGAGCTAAACTTGTTCATCAACGTTTGACAATATTTATTAAAAAATTAAATTAATAATTTTATATTTAATAAGTATATATATATATATTTATAAATATTATATTTAATTCTATTTTTTTATTTAAATTTATTAATATAAAAGTATCATTATTATTAATTTAATTTTTTTAATAAATTAAATAAAATTTCCTTAACGAGCCTAACTGAATACGAACAAAAATTTTGCTAAACGGAGTTTAAACAAAAATTTCAACTCATATCTCTTAATCAACAAACACGAGCCGTACTCGAATCCTTAACAAGCCGAACTCAAACATAAGAAGCTCATATGGGTTCGTTTAGTATATTGAAGTGGAAGATGAGATTTCCTTCTTCTTTTTTTTTTTTTTTTTTTTTTTTTTTCTGAGGTTGATTTGATTCATGTTTTAAAAAGGTTATCCTACATGGGAAGTAGGACAGAAAGCTGAGTTTTTGTATTATTATTATTATACAAATCATATCTGCATAAATTTATTGTATCATCTTCACAACACATTAACTGTTGTACAAAAGATGATATAGAAAAATCCAAGTAGTTCCATCAAACATTAAAAAATACAAAATTACACTTGGAACATATATGTCCTTTTTATCATATACAATTCCCAAAGAATATCATCATATCAACTAGTAAGTTCTACCCAAGAAAAAAGGCCTAAACCCTAATTAGAATGGATGGGTTAAGAATGACAAGGAAATGTAAAAAGGAAAGAATTATATCTATATCCCATTCATTCTCTAGTGTCTTGCCTAATAAACCAATATGACCAAAAGAACCATCACCAGCCAAACTAAGACAGTTAACTTCTAATTCAGGAAAATGAAACTTGACCTGTTCGTTGCTGCGCTCGATCAGTTTCGTCATCAGATTGGGCCGGAGAATTGGTAGCTTCTGCAAGAGATTCCAGCATTGCTACCACTTCAGATGAGTCGTCTAAGTAGTATTTTGCTTTGCTGGGCTTTTGCCCGACTGTGCAGGCAAATACTTCGGTATTGTAAGATATAATTTGCCTAGATACTGCTGTCCTGATAAGCTCAAACATGTCCTCATCAGATCTATCATCACCTATACACAGAACAAACTCTGCCTGATTCCCACTTTCGGTTATCGATGTGAAAACTTTTTCAGCAACAATTCCTTTGCTAACACCCTGCAGTAACAGTATATTGACATTAGAGGTCTCAAATTTAAACTGTTTTTGTAGAAATAAATACGACCCAACAAACGTGTAGTGAAAACATATCAGCCGTATAAGACTTTGATGAGTTCATTATGCTTCAAAAGCACATATATGATAAAACTACGAATTAGCTCCCTGTGCAATATGATATGTCTTACCCGAAAAATACCAAGAAACAAGCTCATATTTTACTATTGGGCACATACCTGAGGTTTGACTTCGACAATAAACTGCCCACTTTTCACAGCTACAGGTTCATTTGCCAAAACACTTTCTAAATGATCCAACATTTCTTTTGCCTGGGAAAATCCGAATCCCAGGTCTGCATCTTGATAATGCCAAACTAGAGCACTTTCCTTTCTCTCAATACCGGAACCATCTGTAGCCTCGGTATATGATTTCATAACTGGTTCGGCCATCTCCATCCAACCAAACTCAGAACCCTGGCTGTATGTTTCCCAATCTTCATGTTGTGGCCACCTGAAGAATTCAATTTACCGACATAGAAATTTTGTTTTCAGTATAACTAAGAAGAGAAAGTGATGTTATTAAGAACTGAAACCATCTGATTTCACAATTTGAACCAATGAAATTTACCTACAGTACCACTAAAAAGGAAAATATACACAAGGATTAAAATCATCTTGTTTCACAAAAAGCTCAAACAAAATTCACCTATGTTACCGCCTTAAACACAATCTAAGAGATACTGAAAACAAACATCATGGAAGACTAATTTAAAATTCTTGCTCACATAAACACAAACTCCCTTTGTACAAACCAACCACAAGCCCTTTACCAAGCATTTACTGCAGTGGTTAATTTGTTAGTGTAATAAAAATACATAATGACATTGCCTATCAGGTAAAAGTGAGTAAGTAACAAGAAGGCCTGCAAGCATTCTGTATTTGTGGTCCAAACTAAGAACCATATTGATGGTCCATCAGTGACTTACTGAAAAGTTCATATATTTAACCAAAACAGAATGATTATTAGTAAGATATATGCTGAGAGTTTTCAAAGCAGTTGTAATTTTCAACCAAGAATTGAACATTTTACCAATTTTTTACAATTCAATCTTCCAATTCCCCTAAAAACATTACATTCAAATCCATTCAAAATATGACATCTATCAGCTATTTAACCTAAAAACCATCAAAACAACAAATTATGCACACATACACAAAAAATTACAAGAAAACAAACCCTAGCTTTTGTGTTTGATTATGACATCGTATAAATAGCCATTTTATGGCTCAACTGAACAGTTTTACCTACCTTATTGGATTTTCTTACATTTCACTAAATTCTTGTGTTAAGTGTGATTTTGTGTCTTGATTAGTTCATGTGCTAGTGTTATTCAACTTCACAATTAATCAGCCTCAAGATTCAGTGATTTATAATAGTTCTTCACTTCTCAATTGATACAGGAATCGATTGGTGCGTGAGGTTTAAGTCACTATTGGCTTAGTGAAATTGTGTTGCTTAAGCTCTATTCTTTGTGTTTTTCCAATTGATTCTGAAATTTGAGAATTCTAGATTACCCATCCATACTTCAACTGGATTATACATTTTTTTTATTTGTGTAACCAGTGAGTCTATGGATAATCAACTCTCCAATTATGTTCACATCAAACAATTATCTAAGCAAGCATTCTTGTTATTATGAATTATAATACACTCATCAACATATAAGTCAGCTTGAGCTAATGAGAAACACAAAGAAATGCAATACCTCATAAAGTAGCCATGTTCGGCAGCAAGTCCCAACTTATTGCATGGAAGAAACCAACTGCTTAAACTGCTCCTCCCTCTTCCACTCACCATGAAAACAATGTTTTTTGGATCTTCACACAGACTATTCAACAGGGATATCACTTGGGCACTTGGAGTCTTAATAATCGAATTTTGAGGCATTAAGGTGCCATCATAGTCCAACAAGATAGCCCTACTCTTGGCCCTACAGTAAGCAGCCACCACATCATCTATGGAAAGCTTTCTAAAGTTAGGATCCAAAGCCACTACTCGAAAGCCAAAGCCAAGACCAATGCCCCAGCACCTTTTCCTGAAATGATCTGCACAAGTTCTTTCCATATCTTGCAAGAAGCTTCTGGACCAAAAGGCTACATCATGGGTGCTAACATACCGGTAATGCTTCTCATGCCGCAACACTTTCTCTGATTCCATCATTGATATGGCCTCATTCATTGCCTCAGCTGTTGATTCGACATCCCATGGATTAACACGAATGGCACCACTTAGAGAAGGAGAGCAGCCAATGAATTCAGAGACCACGAGCATGCTCTTCTTAGGTCCACTTACATCCAGCCCTGTTTCAGCGTCGGGTACCCCTTGCCTGCAGACAATGTACTCATAAGGAATCAGGTTCATCCCATCCCTCACTGCAGTCACGACAACACATTCAGCAATGCTGTAATAAGCCATTCTTTCGGTGATTGATACCGGATGATGGATAAAAACAATAGGTTGATATCCAGGCCTCCCGAGCTCGTTATTAATTCTCTTACAGGTCTCTTCTATCTCAGCAAGTGTTTCGTCCAAACTTATTCCTTTTCCTCTTGCAGGATTTGCAATCTGCACTAGAACAGCTGTCCCCTGCCATTTCTGACGTTGCTTGAGCATTTGTTCCATAGCTAAAAATTTCAGGTTTATACCTTTAAATACATCCAAATCATCAACCCCAAGCAGCACTGTCTTGCCTTCGAACTGACGCTTCAGCTCCTCAACCTTCAGCTCTTTATCCGCTTGCCTAATTACAGACTCAATATTACCCATATGTACCCCAACAGGCATAATCTTTATTCCTACTGTCCTTCCAAAATATTCCAGCCCTATGTACCCCCTCTTCGACTGATACTCTAAGCCCAACATCCGACTGCAGCATGAGAGGAAATGCCGAGCATAATCAAAAGTGTGAAAACCAATCAGATCAGAGTTGAGCAGTGCCTTGAGGATTTCTTCTCTAACAGGAAGTGACCTATAAATCTCAGACGAAGGAAATGGACTATGAAGAAAAAAACCCATTCTTAAGCGGACAAAGCGCCTCCTCAAAAATGTGGGCAAAACCATTAAATGGTAATCATGAATCCAAACAAAATCATCCTCAGGATTGAGAACCTCAATAACTTTCTGCGAGAACAACTTATTAGCAGACACATAGGCTTCCCACATAGTCCTATCAAATCTACCACCAAGCTCGGATGTAAACGGCAACATGTAATGAAAAAGTGGCCATAACTGTTTCTTGCAAAATCCATGATAATATTTTTCCAAAAGGCTCGGTGGCAAAAAGGCAGCCACGCAGTTAAACTTCTCCAAAAGATAATTGGATACATCATCTTGTTCGATCGGATCAATATCAACAGGTAATGAACCTACATACAGCACCTCCATATCTTCTGAAAACCCATTCTTCACCTGTAAAAGCAATGAATCGTCATTCCAACAAAAACTCCACCCTTTATTGTCCAGCCTCCGTTTCGCTTTCAGAGGCAAAAGATTTGAAACAATGATTATTCGATCACCAGCTATGGAAGATGGATTTTCAGATGTAACACTATTTGTTTGCTCATCGTCTAGCTCTGATATATTCCCTGGAAGTGTCATTACCCGAGGGAAACGTTTCCGCTCTGTCTCCGCACCAATTGCTGGGAAATTACCAGAGACCAAATCCAAAAGATTGGTGTAAGATCTTGACATCATCTTTGCAACTTTTCCCTTATTGTCTCCTCAAAGGGAGCAGTACAAATGTAGATTCTTCTCTTCAAGAAAAAAACAAATCCCTAAGTACACAATTCTTCTCTTCAAATAAATCTCCAAAAAAATCTGTATCAAGAAAAACCATTTACAGAGACCTAAATCCCACATACCAACATTTAATAAATAAATAAACATGGCCTGTGACGAAATGCCGCAAGAAAGTTAGGGAGAAAATAAAATGCAAAGAAATCCAACATAAGCAATACAACACAACAGAGACAAATAAATTAATTAACAAATCAAGAACATATCTAAGCCAACGCCAAAGACCAAATTTTCCAAGAACATCAAACTACACAAAAATCTATGACAAAGAACCCGTGGCTCTCAAAGGATTACAAAAACGAAACGCTTACCAGAGTCGCAACGATGATTTGTAGATTGGAGGAGTCTCACATTTCAATTAAGCAGAAATGTGTCTCAGTGAAATGAGAAAGCCAGTCAACCTTCGACCAATGAGAGAATTTTGATTCTAGGGTTTGAAGCCAAAACCGAAATTGGGATTAATCGAGGGTTTGATAAACGTATCTGGAACACGGAGTTTGGGAAATGAATCTTTGATCAATGATCCATTCCTCCATCCTCTTCATGGATGATTATATTGGATGTGTTTGCACGTCTCGCCAGACGTTTCTAAAGGTGAAAATTGTGAAAATAGTTCTTGCAGACAAGTTTGTATAAAATACTATTAGGGTGTGTTTGTTTGGAGGGTTTGGATTATTTGTTGGGATTTGAATAGTAAAAATTTTGAATTTGAATAGTTGTATGATGTGATATAAATATGGGTTAGATGTTTTAATGTAAAATTGATTTTTTTTTGTATAATATAAAAAAATGAAAAATAGATGTTTGATTTAATATTTTTGAAGGAAAAAATGGGATGAATAGTATATTTAAAATCCAATTCCCAAACAAACACACCGAGGATCTCATATTTGCATTTCTTTAAGGACGGTAATTAGGTTGGTAACTTTCGGGAAATCGGTTTATAGTAGTAATATTTCATGTATTTTGGAGCCTTCTACATTTACATTATCATAGGAAGGAATTGTGATTCAAGTGATCGAATTATTCCTTTTGCATTCTAAAAAATTTTAATTTGAAATACAAACTAATTGTTGTGGTTTGGATGAAATAATGACGATCAATAGTTGTGATTTGGATGAAGTGATGATTACCAATGAGTAAGAATGATAGGAGGGAAGAAAATTTTTAATAATATTTTAAAATTATGATTTTTATTAAGAATGTTTCAACTAGTTATGAAATGGAATAAATTTTTAAAAAATATGTAAAGTAAAAATTAGGGTTTGTTCGTATAACATTTCTAAATAGAACGATTCTATGTAAATATTATTAACATATATAATATACATATATTAATATAATATTTATTTTATTTTTCACAAAAAATCAACAATTAACAAAAAAACATAAAATTATATTTTATATTATCAATATAATTATTTATATTTAATAAAACCATTTACATCTAAAAAATAGAAATTAAATAGTAAACAATATTTTAAATAGATATTAGATATTAAAGATTAAATAAACTCAATTTCAAACTTTGAGCATATAATGTGGGGTTCACCTCTTGAGAAATTTACTTTTGAGCTTCTTTTATGTAAGATTAGTACTCAATTTACTAGATAATAATAATATTATTTTTTATTGTCTTACCAAAAAAAAAATGAATAAATATATATGAGACGAAAGGAGTATATATTTTTAAATATAGCTTGAAAATATAGTATGTAATGTAAAAAGTGTTAAGTATTTTGAAGATAAATTTGAGAATATTTTTAAGACTTTGGTAAATGCAAATATCACGTGTATCACATGTTCTATTTTTAGTTCGAATTCATCACCTTATAGCTCTAATTGTTAACTTTCATAACAAATTCATATTTTTCTAGAGTATACAAATTTTAAACTCATAAATCACGGCCACAAGTTCATCTCTTGTAATATTGTTGAAGAGTTTTAAACTCATAATTCTGTAAAATTGAACCTGAGTCACTGGCTCCATACAGAAATGACAACTATTTGACCTAAAGACAAGTCAATTTATGGGTGTTAACTGTTATTGCTAACATATTGTAGTGAATCTTATGCTATTCAATCCTAATCTTGTTGGCCTTTCCAAAGCAATTTATGTGTGTTTGAAACTTTGAATTCGAGCTAAAGACTATTAGTAAGTTCTTGATGTTGTTATTTGTATGCTACAAGTTGGGATGGTTGGAGTGTAATAGAATCTTCTAGGTCTCCAAAAATATTTTAAAATTTAATAGATTGAAGGAGGTTGGAAACTCAATCGGTCCCAAAAGAGGTCCAATGCCTCCGAATTTTTTGCACAGCGGAAATATGAAACCATCGGCGGCGACACAGTTTTACAACGTGTGGTTGTCTCGTAATTATAACAGTGTGTGTTCGTGCACATATCGATGGCTGACTAAGTGCATAAAGCAAAACAAGACACAAAGTTTGTTTACTCTGTTCGATTTTTCAACCTACGTTTGAAGGATTCCAATCCAAGAGTCTTAATAAACCAAACACTTGGTTTACACCATATTAGACACCATACAAAATTACCCAACCTATCTTCTATCCAAACTCTATTTAGTTTTTACAAAATCTCTATGATTGGCTATTACTACGCCGTAACAACTCCAGCAGACCGGCCAAACTAAAAATAGGTTGTATACCGAATGGTTATCTCCTTCGGCTTCGACTCTAAAAATTCTTCTTCTCGTCTTCAAACCTCTATAGATGAGCTTTCCTAACACGCTAATAGGTGGAGAGGAAAACACTTCAAGTTCTGGTTGCTTACCTACGAAAACAAACATACATACATATAAAAAAAATACTGCACACAAAAGACAAAGTTGACTGTATGCAGTCTTTGGGGCAGCAGAGACAAGGCATAAATGCCTTTCAAGACGAGTGGAGTACGCAAGTATCATCTCCTACATGTCTTCTATATGGGGCAAGTTGATTTGTCCCAAAGCATTAAATATCCAGCATGATTGACCTGTCCAAAGGTGGTAACTCGGCCACAGTACTTGTCTGTGCTGCAGATTTTCTAAAGTGTGTTAAACAACCGCTGCAACAACACCTGGAGTCTTGCTTATGCTCTAAAATTAGAAGAATGAACATAAATATCAAAGTAACGGAGGAGCATTATTTAGTCAAAGTTATTTATTATTTTTTTATTTCAAAATCTCTACCATTATGGAGATAATATTTTTTTACATTTAATCATTTAAGTATTGTTCAAGCATTTCCATTATGGAATTAGCTGAGGAAAACAATTTAGAAATCGAATTGGTGTTATAACTTTAGGTTTCTAACCAAAATTAATGAAAAAATCTGATCAGAGCAAGATGTATTGGTGTGTGTGGTTTTTTTTTTTTTAATGAGAAAAACACACATGTGTCTTTAAAAAGATTAATATATTAAATATATTTATTATTTTTATATTATCTAAATAATTTTTCATATTTAATATTTCTAAAGTGTGATTTTTATTTTAAAACTTTTTCAAAAAAAAATGAAGGGAGTCTTTTTTAATTAACATATAAAAAATAATCAGATAATACGTATTAGATTAGCTGAAAGTATATACTGACAATGATATTTTATACTTATTTTGTATAAATAAATATAAATATTTTTTGTATCAATTTTATTATTAGTTTATTTATTGTATTTACATGGAGTATTATTATATTGAATGTATTAACACAATAGCTTATGCTTAACATTCAAAATTGTAAAAGCAACATGTTAAAAACACATAAAATTATTCATTTACTTCTAATTATACATCTATCCAAAATTCTATAGTACTTCATATCAAAATCATTTATTTATTTATTTTAACATTATAACATAATTTCAAATTTGATATCAAATTTATTGCACCAAAAATTTCTCTAAATCCATGGGAAGAACCAAATCAAGGTTGTGCTGATGTCAAAATAAAAAACAAAACATGTTTTTATTAGCGCTATTTATAATAAAAATACGCGACATGTGAAGGTGAAGTATATTTTATATGTTTTAAAATCAACTGTTACATGTATTATATTTATATTATATTAATATAAATAATATACTATCGATAATATTTGCTCTCTGGTGGTTGGAGACAATGCTAAATTTAAATTGCCCTCATTATACTAAATCGTTATATATTTGGCTATTGATTACCAAATGATACACAAGAAATAGAGTAGATGGAATCTGATGTACCTAAAAATTCTAAAAAGTGCAATTTTAAAAAAAAAAAAAAAAAAACGATCGCAAAACAGGCAATCCCAAAACGACGCCGTTTTCCCCTTTGCCGAAATCCCCGACAGAGGTCTCCCGTCTCTCCAGGCCACTTCACTGCCGAATTCCAATATCACACACCACACCAGAATTCCCATTCCCATTTCCACTTCAAATTCTCCTTTTTGCAAAGTCAGCACCATTATCATCGATTCATTTCCCACTTTACCACCACTCACTCCCCAATCCCTTCCTAATCCTCCCACCAATCAATAATTCGCGGAGGCGGAGATGGCCGGGTACAGGGCGGAGGACGAGTACGATTATCTCTTCAAGCTCGTGCTAATAGGCGATTCCGGCGTTGGTAAATCCAATCTTCTATCCAGGTTTACCAAGAACGAGTTCAATCTCGAGTCCAAGTCCACAATAGGAGTTGAATTTGCCACCAGAAGCCTTACCATCGACGGAAAAGTCATCAAGGCTCAGATTTGGGACACCGCCGGCCAGGAAAGGTTAGCTCTCCTTTTTCTTCGCTAATCATGCTTCGGTTGCTCATATGCGATTTCTATCTTCCTTGTTTTCGCACTCGTGCGGCAGATGTTGTGATGCTGGAACTGGGGTTTCTGCTTTGCAGTTTTGATTATGGTTTTTTGTTGAAGATTACTTCGTCTTATTAAGTGGTTAGAGTTGATCCATATAATTTTGCTATCTTTCCTTTCAACTCTTATGTTCTTCCCTCCATTGCCTTTCCTCGAAAAACAATCATCATATGTATGTCCCAAGGATCTACGCTTGTCAATGGTGTTCTTAGGTTTGAATCCAATGGAATTCACAAGTTTGAAATCTTAGCATCGAAATCTTTAGGACAATGGATTTGAAACATTGAAATTCCGAGCTATTTTAGGGTTCCTTTAATTATTTTAAATTTTTTTTGTGGCCTTTGAGTTGGGAATATTGAAATTAGGTTGACAAGTTCTGTAATCTACTATTTGATTGTATATTAGATATGATGTACATTTAATTCAAAGTTGAAATTGCAAAGCAATCATAAGACTGCATTCTTTCCATTTTGATGAATTGAGTTTCAAAATTAGCTATAAAGTCAGGGAATTTAAATTTTGTATACCCCAATGTATGGTGGTAGGGCTTATTTACATTTGTATCGAATTTAGGGAAGGTTTGTATTACACACTGGTTTTTTAATGGTTTTTGGTTATTCACGGAATCGACATCTAAATTCAATTCACTGAACTCGTTGATCTAACCCATTGCATCAGTAGATTTATCTTCTTGGATTTGATGATCTGTCTTTCCAATGGTTGACCTCAAGTGTGCTGCTGTTTGTGTATTTGCACTTGACCTTAGTTTGTTGTGACAAAATTGGTCGATCTTATAAGTGCCCGGATCTAAGTTTTACCATTTCATATCTTGTTTATTTCTGTGGTGTTGAAGTTAGTGTACTTTTTGGATTGTGATATAAATAATGCACAAATTGTGTTGCTTTGCTTCTTTTGTGTGTATATTGATAATAGCTCATATAATGATTAAATGCATGATAATGTTTAGGTTTATAAGAATATAGATGATGTGGATTTGTGTGTTCATCTGATAATATGTTTTGTTTTGTTTTGTTTTTTTAAATAATATTTTTTTTGGAAATAAAAAAATTTTATTTCTAAAAATGTGTAGCCACAGTAGTTAGTAAACTGAATAGACAGAAAATAAAATAAGCATACCCATGATTGTTAAACCATGTAATGATTAAGGATTTGTTCTTCCAACTATTTTTTTTTCGAGACTCAATTCCCAATTTATATAGTATTTATCATCTCTAAAAAAAATTAACATTCAATATAAAATATTATTTTTATTTTAGTTATACAATTTCTTATACATCTCATAAAAAAGTATACCTCAAACCAAAATACAAAACAAACAAATCCTAAGTTTTAACTATTTTTATCTATACAATAGTGTTAACTTACTTTTTCTGTTTATTTTGAATTTTCTTTATTCCTAGTCTCAAGAAAAAAAATACCCAAAGTATTTATTATGCTTTTCAAACCCCTCTCCACGGGGGGTTTCCTGGGAGTGTTTGTTTGGTATTTTTAAGACAAATGTGTGTATTTAATAAGTAGATATATATTTTTCACATGGGGCAATTTGCTCTATTTTTAGCAATTATTTTCATGTTCAGTTTGCAACTAAACAAAACCCATGTATCTCAGTCTGCATCCAAATTGTCGATGCATTACATGATTTCAGCCATAAGTATATGCTTGAATTATTTGAATATTACTCAATTAAAACTCAGCCCATGCTCAGAAATTATTGGTACACAATTGGGGACATCACAGTATCCTAAATCAGTGACTTTGAAGTCCGAAAATAGGTGTGATGTTGGTTGGATGTTCCTTCTAGGTAATGACACTATGGTCTCATTATCCTAATCTTAGTAGAATCATCGTCTCTTAAGCAACCATGAGCCCTATCATGGTTGGAAATGGTTGAGCGTGCGACCTTACTTGAGTGCTGTCATTGCATGCTTATAGTGCTATGGCACTCACCATATGCACCATTGTCAAGGCAGAGTTCCTAAACATGCCAATCATGATACTGTTAGATTTTCCATGTTTTACCCCCTCTTTTATACATATTAGTATCCACATGAATTGGATAGATTCGAATGTAAACCCCAATTCGTTAATTGTATACAGACATATATACAACTATTATTCATCCTCAATGTAAACTTGACTGATCATATTTAAATCTCTCGCTTGGTGTTTAACTGATCATTGCTGATTTTTTTTTTTTGTTTCACAGGTACCGTGCCATTACTAGTGCTTACTATCGAGGAGCTGTTGGCGCATTGCTTGTATATGACGTGACACGGCGTGCTACATTTGAGAATGTATTGAGATGGCTCAAGGAGTTGAGGGATCATACCGATCCAAGCATTGTGGTCATGCTCATTGGCAACAAATCAGATCTCAGACATCTCGTGGCTGTGTCAACTGAGGATGGCAGAGAATTGGCTGAACGTGAGTCTCTCTACTTCATGGAGACGTCTGCTCTGGAAGCAACAAATGTTGATAATGCCTTCAGTGAAGTCCTCACTCAAATTCACCAAATCCTGAGCAGAAAGGCGGTTGAAGCCACTGACGACAATGCTGCTTCCTCTGTTTTGCCTAAGGGGGAGACAATTAACCTCAAAGATGAGACATCTATTTGGAAGAAATTCAGTTGCTGCTCAAGCTAGATCGACAATCGTTGAGGGTAAGTATTCCAATGTGTTTGTTTTCATTCATGGCCGGTCTGTCGCCTCCGTTTGTTATACCATTTATCTTTTGGTTCTTTTCTTGCATCCTCTGTAGTTCATAGGGGCAAGCTTGGATGCACAGAACCTGAAAATATGGGAAAGAGGTATTTTCATGCCAACGCCGTAGATGTGAGAAAACAGTGTGTTATTACTGGTAAGCCTATACGATGTTATGCCTTAAAGATGCATTTGGAACATGGCATGATTTGGGAATTCTTGTGTATTGAAAACCTTTTCAAGGTATAATGTCTACAAGAATTTATATTCATTCATGTGTGTTATTTTGTCCAAACTCCCATACTTGCTGAATACTCACCTCACATGGTATGTTCAATAAAATCTTATCATATCCGCAACTAAAGCAAAATTTAAAACTATAGCTGGCTGCCCTTTACTGTTTGTTACTCAATTAAGAATTTTATAAGAATCTTTTGTTCTTGTCTGAATATTATTACAATAAGAATCTTCTGTTCTTGCCTGAGAATATTAGAGGTCTGCTTCATGTCTCACTTTGACAATAGTACTATGTTGTTATATACAGTTGTGTTATGATAAGATCAAACACTCTAGCCTGTGTTAGAGATTGTTTCTGGAAGTTTGAAGGTGGGGCGTTTGTCGACGCCCTTCCTAGAATACTCTCTCCATCTCCGAGCAGCAGCAGCAGCTCGGGCAGCCCTCTCCTTCACTTCTTTCTCTACAACCCCAAAGAAAAGAATATAGCCGAAGCACATAGGACATAAGAAAGCCCGAAAAATAAAAGAAAGCCTTAGCTGATGTATACAGTTAAGGATCAATGTAATCATTAACAATCCGAGGCTAAAACTAATGAATTTATCAGTATCAAAACCTATCAAACCGAATTTGCGCATTTACGTTTCTAAGTGTTATGAGTTTTTTAGCGGCATTAAAGAAAATGATAGTCAACCTGAAGTTGTCAATGCATGAAGTTTGATTTACCTGTGGATTTGTTTTCATTATTCTTGGATTGTCCCCAAAGGTTGTTCCAAACAGCTTCATATTTTTCTGTGCCCTTTTGCTTCATCATACTTACTCTAGCTTGCTCCTGTGACATTGGAAGATTGATTTATGTAAGAGTAATCCTTACCACTTAAAACCTTAAATTGACAGGAAAATTGAACCCCAGATAACGGTAATGATAGTGTGTAAGTTTCAGGATAGTATCATAAAGGACATAGAGGAGTAAGGACCAGCAACTGTTAGCACAAAATGATGTATGGAAACTAAAAGGGAAGTGTTTAGAATCTTAACTGTTGATAAGGTTACAAGTGTGAGGCTTTAAAAAATGCCCTTGGATTTTTTGTTTGGATTTTTGAATAATAATTTTTGATATAAATAGGTATTTGATGCAATGTTTTGGAGATTTGTAATATAATATAAAATGATATTACCAAGACTTTTGCTTGTCTTTTTTCCCATCGAGTGCTTGCCTGCACCAAGTAAAAGCAATCAGAATTGCAACATGAAGTTCCAAAAACGAAGCAAATGAATTGATAAAGAAAAAGAAAAAAAGAAAAGAAAAAAAAGCCATATAAAATTTTCTGATCATCACATGTTCTTAATCACAGAAGCATGAACAACACCAATGATCAATGGGGTTGTTCTTCTTGTTTGTCTTTTGCTCTATCAAACCTTTCAAATCCATTTCCCATTTTTAGACCTACCCGAACTAATGCTACAAATCAATTGAGCATAAGGACTCACCATCCGAAATACATCAACAGATCCGGAGCCCATGCCGGCGAGCATCAATCCAACCTGAAGTTCAGTATGAAATTATACTAAATTACCCATCTGAAAAAGACAAATCTAAGACATAAGGTATGGAAAATTGTTTTCACAAGGCCAAGGAAGATCAAACATGGTTCATGCTAAGTTATCAGAGCATCATTGAACCACTTCATATGGTAAGATTGATAAAGAAATATTCAATAATCTCAGTAGAATGGTAAATCAATGTCTGCGAAGTTCCAAGTAAATGAGAGAAATCAGAAAGGGATTCATATTCTTACATTTACCCTCTCCACTCTTCGCATTTCATCTTCAAGCAAAGATAACTGAGCAGCAGAAGTCCAGTGAATACAATCAACTGGGCTGCATCGAAAAGATGCAGTTATGCAACCATAAAAATCGAGTCATGTTCAACATAAATTTCATATTATACATATGCCAGAAAAATTCAATTTATATAAGCAATAACTAGACATTACTAGATTAAAGACATGTTCACAAGCACTATACAATATTTTCCTCTCACTCAGCTTATATAACGAATCCACAGCTATTACTTGTTCATACTCATTAATTACTTAATAACTATATATGTAAATGGATAATCGAACAAGTAAACGAGCAGTTCTTAAATTGTTTATTTATTGACACCTCTAGTGTTTCTGTCTTTCCATCTAAACACAAAATTATTAGCTGATTAACAAAAATCCTGAGAACTAGCACAGCATCGGTCTACACTCTCCTGCTCGTCCGCAGATTTTATTACCAATCCTGGCCTGGTTTTCCAATAGTGATGTTAAAATCATAACAACATTGCCTAGAATTGGTACCTTGATTTAAAACTATTGAACCAAATGAATGACACAATTATTATCTACTTTTATGATAACTCGTGCCCAAACATTTAAGTACACAATTGGATGACGGAGGAGTATTAGCTTACCAGCTCTCAATTGCTTGCTGAATTTTATTCGGGATTCCAGATTGGCTGTAAACTCTGGCTCTTCCGTATTCTTCCTCGATGCCAAAGACATCAGAGCAAACATTTGCACAGTTCTTGCAACCTACACATTAAAAAGGGAAGACAGATATTATTAGTCAGTATAACATTCCTCTTCAACAATTGGATGCACTGCTTGACCCATAGAAAATATTATACATATGTATATACAAAAACTAGTGCATTTTTTAAGCCTGTAAAATGATAAAACCAGTAAAAAATTATCAGGCATGTGTATCATCACCATCTAAGACTTTATCCATTTTATGGTTTCCGTATGTGAGTTTGGTTCTCCTTTTCATTTTCCATTTATGTTTGGTCGTGTTTTCAAGACACCACAGTCACTATTACTATACAAAAACTTATCTTTTTCCCCCCAAAACACATCACATAAAATGCATAATTTTCATTTACACCTTAAATATTTTCTATTCAAAATATCATATATATCGAACACTTACTTCAATATCATAAACGTATGAACAATGCAGAAGCAAAAGTTTAAACTCACTTTTCATTGACTTACCTCTCTGGGTTGCTGTCATACCACTTTTACAATTGATGTGTTTTCTAAAGTAAAAACTAATCTATTATGATCTCAAACAGTTAAAATTAAATCATTATGATTTTAACTAATGTGTTTTCGAACCAACACCACAAGCACTCATGTGTTAAGCATGATTTCAAGAGCTCAAGCACAATTGAAAAGCCAAAATTCTGCAGAACCAAGAAACTCAAACATACCTATGCAGCTGAATTCATCAACAAATACGTGATCCTTAGGGCTAGAATCATCTAGAAAAGGATTGATTCCAGTCAAAGCATAGCCATGAATTTCATCATAAATCATCCGTTGCAGGGGATCGCTGAGAACCTAAATAGAGAAAAAGTCACTTGGTAGTACAATGAAATCACCCAATATTTAGTTAGTGCCGGAGTTTATTGAACTCACTGCATAAACTTCATTTATAAACATGCAGAAATTAGTTGTCTCCGGATCGTCACCACTCAAGTCTGGATGGCAAGCTTTCATGCAATTATAATAGGCTTTCTTTATCTGCTTTGGTGTGGCATCAGGAAGCTGACAGACAACAAACGTTTTGAATATCAAATGATAAAAACAGGTAAAATCCTTTCGCTGTCTTAAATAAGTTGCCACCTTAGTATTCACCAAGTAAATGTAGAGCCCAGTAGTAAATCATGAAACATTGGGGAAAAAGAAAAATTAGAGGATGATTTTTGTCATTGTTTGTTACATGATGGCTCGATGGTACAGCACAATTTCCACTCACCAACAAGAACATTACATATATATGTATATCATTTATAGGATTCACGCAAGCATACATTTACATATTTGCATGCTGGATCGCTATTTCCATGCACTTTAAGAACCGTAGTGAGCAAATTCATATAGATTCTAAATTACTATTGATGGAAAATAGAAGATAGCATTCCAACTACAGGATATGAGATCTACTCTTATCTTTCAATCGAGTTCTTAAAAATAGTACACTTCCTTCTATAGCATAACTTCAGCAATTCATATCCTTGATTTTCTTCCAAGTCCAATAATCTAGATCATAAATTTGCAAGTTTGCAGCAATGCTTACAATCTCTCACATGGACACCGAGTCTAATTTGTCGAATTCCGTTTTTTGGAATTAAGAAAGCTCACTACTCAATCAATCCTTAGCAATACAATAAGCAATTAACCATCACAACCTATACAGTTTAACCGGAGGTTTATGCCCATTCCACGGGTGTCGAAATCAAGAAACTCTTCCTTCGATCAAGAACACTCGAATGGAACTATTAATCTCCTATATGACAATCAAGATCAATCTTTCCCCAGCAATAAGTTCCTTAGCAATAAGTTCCTTACACCAAGTTCATCAAATTTCATCAAGTCCAACTTTCACTATTCTTCGCCAAAAATGTCTTAACATACCAAAATTCCCATCACACAAAAACTTTCTTCCAAGCTCCATAAACACACCGAGCCTTAAGCAACAACAACAAACAGATTATCTAACGATGTCAGTAGTATATCTAAAAGCAACAAAACATAGAATTGGACGAGTGCCGATAAAGTAAAACGATTTTCCACATTACCAGACCCAATACAGCATAATAATCATCTGCAACTTCTTCCCGCGATGCAGCAGAATCCTGAGATGCAGCTCTTATTCTTCTCAGATGTTTCTTTCTCCCACAATGACTGCTCCTCCACCAATTACCAACTAAATTGGGGCATTCGTATCTTGGGCGGAGACTGTACCGAGAGTTTTGGAATTTGAGAATATGGGTGGAAACCGGCGACATCAATTGAGCCATCACATCGATCACCACGGGGAACGCAAGAAATGGAAATGTTATCAGTTATCACACTGCTTTGTTCAAATCAAGACACACTCTCTCAGTCTCACAGCATACGAAAACCTGAAAAATATCAGTACTTAGTAGAAACAGAGGATATTTTGATTAAGAAACAATGACGGGAATTCGAAATTGAATTTATGCGGAGGGAGAATTTTTTGGGTAGGAAAATGGGGGCCATTTGTTTGGGAAAGAATCGGGGGATATTTTGCTTCATGCTCGCCTTCATGGTGTGACGTGACTGAGCTCTCACTTCTATTCTGTAGGGCTGTCGTGTCGATATTCTCGTTTTCTATTACATTCGTTCAACCAGTACCGTTTTCGATACGAGAAAGAGTATTTTTAATCACAAAATATAATATTATTGAATTAAAATCTTAAATAAAAAAAATTAAAATTAAAATCAAACAAACTATTTATGTTCTTGCATAGTTACTTTTTATTATTTAAATTTTAAAAAAATATATTTTTACAAAAATATCAAATTAAATATTATTCTATCTTTCTCTAAATTTTCTTATGAAGTTTTGGTTTTGAATTTTGATTTTAAATAGTAAAATTTTGAATTAAAATAGTTGTTTGATGTGATATATATATATATGTAATGATGCATGTAAAATTAGATTTTAATGTAATAAAAATAAATAAAAATTAAATATTTGATTTGATGTTTTTGAAATAAAAAAAACTTAGAATAGTAAAACCAAAATTAAAATCTCACGAGTAAACAAAATTATAATAAAATATTTGGTTTCCGATGGATAATATTAATTAGAATAATTAGAATTAGATAATGTAATTAGAAGAAAAATATATATTTATTTTTTATTTGAATAATGATATGAGATAAAATATAATTAATTATTATTATTTTTTAAAATACTAAATTAGAAAGTAGAAAATACTGAGCTGGAGGCAATGGCAAGATGATGGATGTAGTATTTTTCTTGTGAGGGAGAGTAGAAGCATATTTTGGTGAAAAATGAGGGGAGAGGGAGGGGCAAAACAAACATATTACTTTGTCCGTCCTAGGTAATATAGAATAAATACGAAAATTTAAGTAAAATATAATTAGTAAGTAATTAAAAAATATATTAGTAAAAATAATTATTATATAATACAAATAATTATAAATTAAGACTAACATAACTAAATAGTTTAATTAAAATTAAAAAAATTATAAAATATAAAATTTAAAATGTGATTAAAGTGTATAATCATATATATATTTTAAAAAGAACAAATTATGTAGGACGAATGGAAATAAAAAATATGGATAAATTATGTGAACGGAGGGAATACATGACTATTTCGTACAATTCGTCGGTTAAAGTGGCATATCCGTAAATTCTTGAAATTTCATGGGTAAAAGTGACATATTAGACGTATCCATATTCCATACTACTTCAGATATATTAGCATTGATATAGATTCAAATGAATTACAAATTTGTTGTATTGAATGTGATATATATAATATCTAGGCTTTTTAAGTTTATTAATTTAGTGTTTAAAATTTGTTTTAAGATGATTGAGTTTGTTATTAGAAGCTTGGAATTAATTATCAGAAACTTGAAGGGGATGGACATAATCAATGAAGTTAGGCATTATATTTCTGAAATTTAATTTCTTCAAATTACCATGTCATGTTATCTTCCATTGGAAATTCCTTTGATTTGAAGAAACTCCACAATATTCTTTTTATGGTTTAAAAAATTGTATGAGACCTTTGGTATCTTAAAAAATATTACACAAAATTTCATTTTCAAAAGATTCTCTACGATATTTATGAAAACCGGAGAGAGGTTTCTGCAATTTTTAAGATATTTTGTGCAATATTTTTTAAAGATAAATTGTAAAAAATATCCTATAGGTAGATCTTATTATTATTTTCAAATATTTTGTGTGTGTGTGTGTGCGCGCGCATTTTCTCAATAAAGGACAATAGATCCTTCGAGATCTTAAAATTGTTCTTTGGTGTTGAAAAAAAATACATAAGTCTCACGTGAGCGGACATGGCCTCACTTGCTCTTACGTGGAACTTGTCGGAGCCAATGTGGCAGGTGAGGTAGGCAGGTAGCCTCGTCTTTGGCTGCTAATGTGGAAATTTACAATTTCGGATAATATGTCAACTTGGGGTCTTATTTTTATTCTTCCGCATTTAAAAAACACATGTGACAAGCATGAGCGCCTACGTGGCCTCCTCTGCTGCAGACGTGGATTTTTGCCAGTGCTGTGTCGTCGCATGACGTAGACCGGCGGCGGCATGAGTGAATTTTTTTTTAAAAAATATATATTTTTTAATTTCAATTTGTTATTTGCAATTAATAGTATATATATAAATAATTTAAAATGTAATTGTAAATAGTTACCAATTTTTTTTCATAAAAATATATGTATAATTAAATGTTGCAAAATATTAGGAACTTATATTATGATTTTTAAATAGTAATGAATAATAAAAAAATTTATTCAATTACAATATATGTAAAAATAAAGATATTAAAGATATTTTTATTACTTTGTTACTTTAAATAGTTGCGAATAATATTTGATTACAAAAAAAAAATTGCAATATTTTACCATGGAATTATTTGTAATAATTTAAAATATTGCGAATATTTATGTTATTTGTGCAGCAACATAAATTGTCCATAAATAAATTTTGTGCCGATATTTTTGACGAAATAACAAAAAAACACCTAATAGAAATTTTTGAATTTTTTTGTTAATTGCAAATGATAAACTGAAATAAAAAATTATTTTAAATAAAATGTGTTTCCAAGTCACGTCACTGCCGGTCCACGTCGCGACAAGGCAAGGTCACATTTACAACGGAGAGGCCAAGTAGACGCATGTACCTGTCACTTGTGATTTTTAGGTATTGGAGAACATAAATAAGACAATGAGTTGACATATCGTCCTAAATTGCAAATTTTCATGTCAGCAGCCGGAGGCGAGGCCATATCAGCTATCACATCGGCTCCGGCGAGTTTCACGCAAGCGCCGGCAATGCCACGTCTGCTCACGTAAAGTGCACGTGCCTTTTCTTGACGCTAGAGAAAATTTTAAAACTTCGGACGAACTTATTGTCCTTTATTGAAAGAAAGCAAAAAAATAGAAAAAAAAATCCAAAAATGATAATGACACTTGTATATAGGACATTTTTTTTGCAATTTTCATTTTTTTAAATATGAGAGTTTCATTCAATTTTTGAATTATGAAAATTATACAGAAATATGAGAGGGTTTTATGCAATTTTTAAATTACAAAAAAGTACGCTCTAAATTTTCTAAATTACAAACGAGTTATAAGTAATTTTTCCTTTTAATTTTGATCATAACATCAATTATACATATATATATATATATGTAATAACATGTAACTAGTTGATGACAACCCTGCAGTCCCTTCGGATAGTTCCATCAGAGCCGATGAGCGGGCTGATGTTGCCCATCTTCACCATCACCGAATTCTCGCCAGAAAGCCGCAATGTCGGCGCTGTAGAGACAAACCAGCGAGTCCACCGTCCCATTGTTGAAGAGCACCTGGTCCAAGGGCAAAAGGCCACGCCGACTCAACAGGTTCGCGTAGTAGCCATTGTCGAAGCAGGTGGGAGTGTGCAGGTCAAGGACGGCGAGGTTGTTGTCGCCGGCGGCACCTTGGGGGCAGATGCCGCGGCGGTTGGGGGTGAAGAGAGGGTTTATGTCGGTGCTGTTGTACATACGGCTGCGGAAAGTGAAGCACCGGGCGAAGCTGAAATTGTGGGCCCCGGAGAGCGCGACCATGTCGCCGGCGGAGAGACCCTCTGCGGCAAATATGGTGATGAGAGTCGAGAGTGAGCCCAATGGCGGAGGTATTTGGTAGTTGGCGGCGCTCTGGCTCGCGGTCCGGCTATCCCTCCGCCCCACGGGACGGGCCACGTCGGCCCTCCCTTCTGCAATGCAATATTCGTTGTGTGTGGTACGAGTTTTTGTTATTTATTATTTTCGGTATACTCTCTTCGTCCCAAATCAAATAGGTTATTTGAATTTTATAGTAGATCAAGAAATAATAATATTATTTAGTAGAAGTGTGTAACATTTTTTACATTGGACTTTATATATAATAATTGTATGTGTAAGTAGTATTTTTGTAATTTAAGTAAAAGTTAAATAATATTTTGGTATTAGATGATTTTTTTTTTCTAAAATAAGAAAGTGAATAAAGTGAGACATATATAAAAAAATAGTTTGAATTATGATGGAGGGACTATATTTTTATGTACTATTTTTAATAAAATTATACGATTTTGTCTTATAAAAATTATAGTGTCAAACTATTATTATGAAAATTCAAACTACTTAAATAAATTTAAATCGGAACCAAACAAATATTTTCTTAAATAGTTATCATCAAGTGTGTTTATTTGTGAGATTTTGATTTTGAGGTTTGATTTTGAATAGTAAAAATTTGAATTGAAATAGTTGATTGATGTGATATAAATATGTATTTATGTGATGTTTTGAATGTAAAATTAAATTTTAGTGTAATATAATAAATGAAAATTAGGTATTTGATTTGATATTTCCGGAGGAAAAAAATTATTGGAATAGTAAAATCAAAAACAAAATTGCTCAAGTAAACACAAATCTTTTTGGATTTGCATGTTTCTAATTTTCAATTTATTTACAATTTTGATTTTACATTGTTTGAAAAAATATATAATTTTTTATAAAATATAGTATCTAATATTTTTTTTTAAAAAAAAATTAAACATTCAAATTTAATTAATTCAAATTTAAAAAAAATATCATAAGTTGTTTATTTAATTAATATAATAAAATTTTGAATGAAAATTAAATTTTCAATGTTTTATACTTTAAGAAAAATGTGTGTTTTGAATACTTTTAAAGTTATTTATCTGTTTAGTTTAGTTTTGAACAATATATTTATATTAGAAAATTAAAGACTATATAAATTGTGATTAACAATATATTCTTTATTCAAGAATTTATCTCAATTACGTATTTTGTTAATTTTTAATTATTTAAAAAATGACTTACAATATCAAAATATATTTAAAGCGCACACACATATATCCAAATAAAACTGAACAAGAAAAAAGTGTTGAATGTAACTTGATTTAAAGTTCTAAATAT